AATAAAAAAGAACAATTATGGTGTATTCCCAAAATGGGTAATGACCCTCATTAACATATTATATATGTAATCGTGATATATCCATCAAACACTTATATATTTATTTATACTCATATATTTATTTATACTCATATATACCTCTTCCATCAACGCAATGAAGAACGGGACGACAGTATCGTAGTGCTGGTGCGCAAAAATCACCTACACGACGAATTTATATCATCCACCACCTGCATTTGCAATCGAAACACAGAGTATTTTATATTTACCTCGTGGAGCGTGTTAAAGCACAAATCCAAGATGCTACCACCACGTGTGAGATATATAATTTACGGACGCTATTTATATATATACCGTCTAAATTACCTGTGCAAGAGCCCCGCGAGCGTAGGCGAGTATTCCTCGACCAAAATGCGCAGCAATTTCAAGAATGCACACAGCACGGCCGTACCTGGGGCCCCCAGCGCCTCCAGCCTACACACAACCACCCTTCAACTGGAAATAATCGCTTGGTTGTTCTCGTACTTGGACGCAAACTGGCCGTGCTGAAAGAGCTCCACAAGGGTCGTCACGGTTGCGCCGACGACGTCTGTCGGTAGTTCCTTTCGGATCGAGCGAAACAAGTCCGAGTAGAACCCAATGAGGTCGTGGATGGCACCCACGGCCGAAGAGAGCTGGCTCGGCGGACACTGGGGAAGCACGTTCATGTAGACACGGACGGCGTCCAGAGTGTACGGCAGCACGCCATGCATTTGCGAGTAAAAGCTCAATTTGACCTGCTTGGGTTTGGTCAGCACCACCCGCGCCAGAGCTCGGCAGATAGAGATGTCCCGCATGAGCTGAGCCAACAGCGCCGGCTCGAGCACCCGCTGCGCGTTCTGCTGCATCGTAACCACCGACTCCACCACGGACGTGAGCACGGGCGTCACGAGCGACGAAAACGAAGCCACACTCAAACCAGTGCTGAGTACGTTGTGGGCCAGCGCCGTGTACAGTTGACACTGGACAGACGGACTCAAATGCAAACAAAAATCTTGCAAATTCGCATACAAGTGCCCCAGTGACGGGATCTCGACTTGGATCGCATATGGAAATACCGACCCCATCCCCGCGAGCAGGTTCAACGCCGACTGCATCACATTCTATGGTCCAAATAATAATTATAAATATATATATATATATATATATATATATATAAACTGTAGCGACGTACCAGAGGCGACGGGACGATGGACGTGTCGAGTGTAGCTAGAATCAACCGGACCATCGACTCGCCCACGGACTTGAGGGGGTCTGACCCGCCGTTCTCATACACGAACGGCACGCAGCTCATGCAAAGCCGCACACAGGACAGTACTTCACACTATATATATATATCAATGAATTATATACATATGTGATGAATATATATATTTCATTAATATATGTATATAATTCATTGATATATAATTCATTGATATATATATATATAATTTATTAATACATATATATAATTCATATATATATATAGTTCATTGATATACGGTTCAAAGAGTATGTTTCGTATATATATTTATATATATATATTGATTGAAATAGAAGCAAGCGCCACTATATTGTGCCATCACAAACGACCTTATGCGTATATATAGCACCTATAACAACGCCATGATGTTATAACAAAGCACCGTGCTGTGATATACCACAACGCCCCCAAGTTCGAGCAAAGAATAACTGTAGTCATAAACTAAAGCCACCAACCAGGTTATATCGAACAAACTGTATATATATATATATATAATATAGTCACCATAGTATATAGCAAAGAACCGCATATATACCAAAGCGGCCATGATATCATACAATTATATATATATATATATAGAATGACGAACCTCGAGGTCGACAAAGGCCGCGCCGCGAGTGTGCACGCGATGCGTGGTGATATATTCGGCCAAGTCGACAAACAACACCAAAATATCCCACCCAGTGGACTTATCTGCGACGACGTTGCTGTTGGTCACGTGCTGGGCCGACACACACGACAGCAGCGCACACTGCACAGTCAAGTCGTGCACCTATATACAGTACACACCATGCAATGTGAACACCACCATCAACAACAACAATAAAGCCAATCAGCAGCCAATAAGCCAACCACGTCGCATATTTTGTTGATTTCTACCGACCGCATGGCGTTCCGCAGTGCCATCCGCTGGAATCGACGTGTGATGGATGGTCTTGAAGAGGCTTACCGAGGCCTTGACCGACGGCAGCAACGTCGTCAGCAACGGTTGCGCACATCCTGGAAGCTACTCATATACGAGTGTGTTATCTATTGTGAATGCACTATACACTTTAAAAAAATTCGCGTGATTTGTCGAATCAATCTCACTTTTCTGGGAGAGTTGTGATTGGTTGGCTATACTTGTCTTTCTTTCTGTAAGAGCCAATCAAATCCACTCAAAAAATTGAATTCACCAATCGCGTCGATTCGTAATTCGAGATATTCGATATATTTTCAACGGAAAGTCGAATCCATCTATATATATATATATATATATATACCATACACAGATGCATATCGTATCCAACAACAACAACTTACCCGTGTAATCCGTCGGACGAGCGAAAAGCACTCAAATACAAACGCTTTCAGGTCCGACAACTCGGTTGACGTTTGATCTTGATCCACGAGGGCGCCCGTGGCAATATCGTCTTCCTTGTCGGCATATTCGTCGTAGGTTGATCGAGTAGTAGTAGTAGTAGGATTGCCGCCTCCTTCCTCTTCGTCGAGTTCGCCAAGTTGTGGCCCGTTGGATGCAAACAGAATGCGCTCAACCAAGAGCTGCATGACACCCACGAGACCCACTTCGTATGATCGCAACAGACCATCGTTAGATTGACGTCCCATCTCGTTCTCTTCTATGTCTTCCACATGCGAGACGAATACTTCCCATACGGTCAAGCAATGAAACAACCCCGATACGTGGGGCTGGAGCGACGTGAGCGTCACCACATGCCCCAGCAGCGCCGACAAGGACGCGATGTACCGCGCATGATGCAAATGCCGCAGATGGTGGGATAGAAACGTCTCTACGAATGCACTCACAGTGTCCAAGTATGCATCATCATGATCATGATCCACGGCGCGCTGGACCGCGGATTCCGACAACAAGGCGAGCCATGCCAACAACCCGTCCAGCGCACAGTTGACGACGACGACCGTCACATCCCTCGGCCACTTGGTCGCGACGATCGTGCACAATGCGTTGCATGCGGCGTTGCTTGACAACGCCAGACGAATGCTGCTGCTTTGTGAGGACGACGGCGTATGTTGTCGAAGGGGGTAGGCAGCAAACTCCATCGCCAGCACGATCATGTCCCGCACGATATCGGCGGCGCCATCCCCCGCGAACCGGAACGTGCTGATGAACCCGGCGATGCGAAGGGTCGTGGCCAGCGCCGCGTCCGAGAACGACGGCGACTGGACGGCCACCTGGTGTTGGAAATGACGCAGTAACTTGACCACTTCGGTGGCAAAGGACATCACATGCGCTTCGAACTGCGCGTGGTGGGCCATGCGGTCCCTCGTGAGCTCGACAAACACCCCTGGCGTCGACTCGTTCTGGGACATGGACATTTCCTCGCACAAGCAGCTCCACACGTCCAACGTAGGCTGCCGCACGGTGCCGTTCGATTGCAACGTGTCCACTGCGTCGAGGATCTGAACGCACAGTTCAGACAGGGAGTTGTGTCGCAGCACGGCGTAGACAAGCACCAACCGCAGCTTGTCGACAATGTACTTGGGCAGGTTCGTCGACGGCTCCATCACGACGCTCCAAAGCAGGGTAATCAATGGAGAGCAATCCAGGTCCACTCGAGAACGAACCAGTTCCTCCAACGTCGACGTGGCAAACCAAAGCTGCTTCTCGTTTGTCCTGCCATACAACGACGGTTAACAACCAACGCATGGAGAAAGGACAACGATATATGGATGTCCGTACGAGGTTTGCAGGAACTGCAACGCGTACGGAAACGTCTTGTACTGAGCCAAGTAGTTCACTGCCAACTGGCGTCCTTCAGGAGTCGACTTTGGTGAAAACCCAAGGGCGATGTCCAAAGCTTCGTCCAAGCTCGCGTAGCTCATGACGTCAGGGGTCGAGATTGCTTGCAAAATATTCGGCGGCGGCGATTTTACTAGTATTAATAGTACAGGAGTAATTGCTTATTATTAATAGTAATACTAACTGGTTCATTTTTGTCCTGCAAGAGCTAGTACTACTATTGAAACAGTGACGTACTAGTAGTAGGTGAACATCACAAGGTGGTGAAATAGTGCATTATCTCTTGTCAAGGCCAAAGTTTGCATTCCCACCGCAAGTCTCGACGATGGCAACATCCGACAAATATGACCGCCAGGTTCGGAAGTTGGCGCTGGAGTGTGATGCTTACTACTAATGTAGCTGCGTCTATGGGGAGCGCGAGGGCAAGAAAAGCTCATGGCCACCAAGCTGCTTCTGTTGAATGCCGGGCCTACGGGATCTGAAATCTTGAAGAATGTCGTGTTGCCGGGAGTGGGGTCGTTCGAGATCTGCGACGATCACATCGTATCCGAGTCAGATCTAGGCAACAACTTCTTCGTAACGGCTGCCGATCTCAATCGTCCGCGGGCTCAAGTTGTGACGGAATGGATGCTCGAAATGAACTCGGACGTCACCGGCACGTTTCTCGTCAAGCGTCCTTCCGACGTGATTGCGAAAGGTACCATGCCATCCCTCCCATACGGATGATTGTCATGTGCGTGTGTGCTGTAGACATCTCGTACGTGAACGGGTTCAACTTGGTCGTTGCAACGCAGCTCGTCGAGCCTTCCTTGAGCGCGTTGGCCAAGCATTGCCAAGAACACGCCATCCCTCTCTTGGTAGCAATCCATCGACTATGCATCTTCATCGTCTGACTACTTTTGACTCGAAGGTGCTCCATTCGTTCGGGCTCTTTGGGTACCTCCGCCTTCAGATCCCCAACCACACAATCATCGACTCGAAGCCCGACACCCCCTTCCACGACTTGCGCCTCGCCAGTCCGTTTCCCGAATTGCAGGTATATATATATCCATATATTTGTACTATTTCGACATATCATGGAATTCTGAATCTTATCAACTAGCAATTCGCAGCGTCGTTTGACCTGGCCAAATTGAACGCACACGAACAAAGCCATGTGCCGTATGTTGTCATTTTGATTCAATGCATTCAAGAATGGCAAGCAAGTCACCACGGCGCCTTCCCCAAGTTGGTTATATATCTGTATATATTCTATTGCCAAATATATATACATATATATATAATGTAATTTAGGAACTCTTTCTTCTATATTAATATATATATATATATATATATATATATATATATTATACATATATATAATGTAATTTAGGAACTCTTTCTTATATATATATATTATTTGGTAGCATGAACTTTGATGAAAATTTTCTATTATATCTTGCCAAGTAGATATATACTAGTATATAATATATAATGTACTCTAGGAACTTTGGGGAAAAAGACGCGTTTAAACAGTGCATCCGATCCAAATGTCATGGGTCGTTTGGCCAACAAGTGAACTTTCAAGAAGCCTTTGACAATGCGTTTAAAGCGTACAGCCTTCCCAATGTATCCTATATATATATAATTAGTATTATATATATAATTAGTATTATATATTCACTTAGGATGCGATTCCAGACGAAGTGACCAGCGTGCTCCAGTATGCGTCGTCGTTAGCTGTGACGCCAACCACTCCGTCGTTTTGGGTTTTGGCGCGAGCAGTAGCTGAGTTTGTGACATCTCACGACAGTTTGCCGCTGAGTGGCCACGTGCCTGACATGACTGCGTTCACACACACTTACATTGCGCTCCAGCAGATTTATGTCCGCCAGGCGGCGGCCGACTGCGACGAAGTCTTGGCCACGGTAGAAATGTTGCTCACGACCGCTGGAGGAGACCCCAAGAGGTGAGTTGGTTGGCTCGTGGTGTGGGGTTTTACATTGCTAAATAAGTAAGTGGATGTAGAATTGCACGGGACGAAGTGCTCGAGTTTTGCAAACATGCGGCCAGCATCCGAGTACGCCATAATACGTATACGACCGGTTTATGGTCGTAATTTTATTGAATATATATATATATATATATATATATATATATATATATATATATGGAAACTGACTGACGAGTGTATGTGTGTGTGCAGGTGGTGCAAACCAAACCGCTGGCCGACGAATATAAACAAGTGGATTTGCAACAGGTATGCGTTTTCTAAATGTATCTCTAGTTTTAAAATCTTTATATTGCTTCGACCTTGATGTAGAAAAGATTATATATTGATCATCCGTTGGTATATAATCGATTTATATATGGGATCTTCTTTGATATATATGTATATATATAATATATATGTATATATATAATATATATGTATATATATAATATTTATGTATATATATATATAATATTTATGTATATATATATATAATATTTATGTATATATATATTGTATCGCCAGGTGGATTTTGAAGACGAAAACGCGACGCAATCGCCCCTCATTTGGTACTTTATGATCCGCGCCATCCAATCGTTTGTCGAAGAGGTACACACACGTACATACGTACAGTAGTAGTAGTACTAGTACTACTACTAGTAATACTAACTATGGATAGTTTGGAAAGTACCCTGGCGTGGATTCGAATACACCGGCGGAAGCCCAATGGCTGGTGGACAAGGCCCGTCACATTGCCACGTCATCGGCGACCTCTGCTGACACTTTCCCAATTGAATGGATTACACTGGACCACGGAATTGAAGCTTGCCGAAACAGCGAAGTCGAAGTGCACAACATTTCTGCGATACTGGGCGGGGTGGCGGCCCAAGAAGCGGTCAAGGTACGGCCTAGTACTACTAGTAGTAGTACTACTAGTGGCTCGTTGTAGGTGATCACCCACCAATTCCTGCCCATGAACAACACGTACATTTTCAATGGCATCACCGGATGTGCGGCCACGTATATGCTTTAAACAACCGACTTTACTTTGTCTTCATATTGTCAAGTTGGAGTCGAGACGACCAATCAAAAGCCAGAACTCTTTCAATTGGCCAATCAAACTACTACATGTATACCTTTAAATAGTGTGAATGGCGTCCCACACTTTATATACAACAACCAGGACAAAAAACTCAATTTGCTGCATCAAAGATCAACATTATGGCACACTACTATTAATAGTACTATTATTATAGTAGTATATTTGGTCGTTATTCTACTGCAACATGAGTTCCTCATTGCATCGGTCGCACGTACAGGCAAAGTGATACTCACTATACGAACGAAATATTAATATATTGATAATATATATATATATAACAATTGACAATAAATTGTACCTGAGTTCTGCTTGGCGGTCGTCCACATCCAAGTCTGTGTCAATATACGAGATGCACAGCTCGTCGCCAGCCTAATTGACCCAATTAGAAATATATATCTACACACGAACGGCGTACGGAAATATCATCAAGTGCCACCACAGTAGCCACGCCCGTCTCGTACGTGACCGCGACGTTGGGGGTGCAGCTGTGGTTCATCATGCAGATGAGCGAGAACAGCGCCGTGCCATCTAGGTCTGGGAACTCCCATCCGTCCACTTCCTCGCCATCTTCCTCAGTGTGTGGATGGTCCAGCTCGAGTTTGGCTTGGACGGTAGCTGACACGGTGGCCAGCCACGTCATGACTTCTTGGCTCGTGTCGGGATGATGCTCTTCCATGATGATGTGGTTGAGAGGATGGCGGATCTCGAGGCTGATGTTGTTCATCTCAAACATGCCCACGACCTGTGCGAAGAAGTCGAGGTCGAACACGCCCGCCGCCTCGCATGCTTCCATCGCACCATCCAAGTCGACTGTCGCCAGGAAACACGAATCCGGATCCGGATGATTGTCGTGAATCACCAGATGGTTGACGTTGAACTTCAACCCGTGGAGAAACAGCGACAGTGTGTACTCGAGCAGGTCTCGAAAGATGCTGCAGTACTCGTCCAGCGTCTGGCCTTCTTCGAGCTCGGCGTTCACAGCGACTACCTACATACAGTACATGCCGGCTACGTTAGACGACGTCCATATACACATGGTGACGACGAACCTCCCACCACGGCAGCTTGCAAAAGACATCCACGGGGCGTCGGGCGTCGGCCATGTCTGGGGACACGGCGTACCGCACCACGATCGAGCACAGAACTTGCGCGGCGAGCAAGAAGATCTCGTTGGTTTCTGTAGGAAACACGTAAATCATCGCGGAAGGAGGCGTCGAGTCGGGGGACGACGTTGTCGTGCGACGACAAGTCACAGCATCTCTACCGGTAGAATAGTCGACGAACGCTTGCATGGGGGTGTCGGGGTGCGCGGGGCATAGCAAGCAGTGGTACCGCTCCCACGCCGCGACTTGGCACGCCTTGGAGCAGTAGATGTCGCCACAAGCACATGACACGATTGTTGTTTCGTGTTGGAATGACGAAGAACTTGTGGGTTCCTTCAACGCGACTGGGACCGTCGGGACGGCTTCCGTGCCAATGCTCAGCAGGTGCGCGACCTGGTCCTCGATCGTGCCAACCACCGCGAAGCAGTTGTCACAGCCCTGAGTCGTGCTCTACATGTACATTAGATCATGTACAAGGGACAAGGACTTACGCGATTGGCACGGTGTTGCATGGCTACCAACGGCACTTCGCTGAAAATGGCCTGGCCTGCGCTGAACTCGGTAGGAGCAAACAGCGCCTTGCCTTTCCCCTCCGCATACCCGAACCTAGACCCAACACGTCAGTCCCATGCATGCATGCCTGGGATGCTCACACACCGAATGGGCTTGTCCTGGATCAGGTCCGCAAAGTACTTGGCCGTCGCCGCGGCTTCATCACTCGCAGCCATGAGCAATTCTTGCTTGTGATGTGTTGTGCAATACAAATTGTCAAATTATCTCGAATAGTATAACGTTTCTTGAACTCTATTTAACTAATACTACTCATATAAACCCTGAGATTAAATAAATAGTACCGCTCACAATATCTATTAGTTCGTTTAAATATGTCACCCTTTCCTGGACATGGATTGGTGGAATATTCTCGTCGTGCTCGTCCGTGCAATCTGATTGGCTGAACAAAACCCATGCTATCAACCAATGGATTTCCATGGTGCGAAAGAGCCAAACCCATATTTCCCAAGCCAAAGCAACCAACATGTCGAGGAAGAACCGCGTAGACATTGGGGACCTGAATGCGCCCGCGAAGAAGGCCAAGACGGACTCCTCCTCACTGGGTGGCGAGGATCCTCCTGCCGTAAACCCTCTGACAGGCGCGTTATACAGTAACAAGTTTAAGAGCTTGTACGCGAAGCGACGGACGTTGCCGGTCTACCAATTCCTCAAGGAGATCCAAGACGACGTGCGCAAGAACCAAGTGGTTGTGGTCGAAGGCGAGACCGGAAGTGGGAAGACTACGCAAATCCCTCAGTTCTTGGTGCAGGCAGGGTACACAGACAACGGCAAGATCGTCGCCTGCACGCAGCCGCGTCGGGTGGCGGCGATGAGCATTGCCAAGCGCGTGTCAGAAGAGATGGACGTCGTGCTGGGCCAGCAAGTGGGGTATACCATCCGTTTCGAGGACGTGACAAGCGACAAGACGCTGCTGCGCTTCATGACGGACGGGATGTTGCTGCAACATGCAATGAACGACCCGCTGTTGTCCAAGTACTCTGTGATCATCCTCGACGAAGCGCACGACCGCACGTTGAGCACAGACATCTTGATGGGGCTTCTCAAGGAAGTGCTGGTCAAGCGCCCGGACTTGAAGGTCGTCGTGATGAGTGCGACGCTGGACGCACTCAAGTTTCAAACGTACTTCGACAACGCGCCGCTCGTTCGCGTGCCTGGCCGCATGCATCACGTGGACGTGTTCTACACCCCCGAGCCGCAGCGCGACTACGTCGAAGCGGCGGTCCGCACCGCCGTGCAAATCCACTTGTGCGAGCCCGAAGGCGACATCCTTCTGTTCTTGACGGGTCAGGAAGAAATCGACACGGCTGTGCGCCAGATCACCGCCGAGTGCCACGCCCTCGATCAGTCCAAGGTCGGACCCGTCGAAGTGTACCCTCTCTACTCGACCCTCCCGCCGGCGCAGCAGCAGCGCATCTTCAATGCCGCCCCCGCCCCCGCGTTCCCCGGCGGCCCCCCCGGGCGCAAAATCGTGGTTGCGACAAACATTGCCGAAACCAGTCTCACTATCGACGGCATCGTGTACGTGATAGACCCAGGCTTCTCCAAGCAAAAGGTGTACAACCCGCGCATCCGCATCTCGTCGCTGCTGGTGTCGCCCATCTCCCGCGCGTCCGCCCAGCAGCGCGCCGGCCGCGCCGGCCGCACCCGCCCAGGCAAGTGCTTTCGCTTGTACACGGAGCGCGCGTTCAAGTCGGACCTACAGGAGCAAACGTACCCCGAGATTTTGTGCTCGGAGATGAGCACGGTGGTGCTAACACTCAAGAAACTTGGCATTGACGACTTGGTGCACTTTGATTTCATGGACCCGCCGGCGCCCGAGACGCTCATGCGCGCGCTGGAAATGCTCAACTACCTGGGCGCGTTAGACGACGAGGGCGACCTCACCGAACTCGGCGGCCAGATGGCCATGCTGCCGGTGGAACCGCAGCTCGCCAAGATGCTGCTCACGTCGGGATCGTACAATTGTGTGAGCGAAGTCGCAACCATCGCGGCTATGCTCACGAGCGGGTCCGAGCCATTTGTTCGCCCGAAAGCCGAAGGCAAAGCCGCGGACGAGGCCAAATCCCAGTTTGCCCACATCGACGGCGATCACTGCACGCTCCTCAATGTATTTCATGCATACAAACTGAACCATGAAGACAAGAACTGGACGTATGAGAATTACTTGAACTTCCGAGCGCTGCAGTCGGCCAGCAACGTGCGCGAACAACTCCTGCGCAATATGCAACGGCTCGGCCTTCATGCGCGGCAGGGCGACATGCAAGCATCCGATTACTACGAAAACATCCGGAAATGTATCGCCGCTGGCTTCTTCATGCAAGTAGCGCACAAGCGAAGCACGGGCGGGTATCTCACGGTCAAGGACAACCAGGAAGTGCACCTGCACCCGAGTTGTGTGCTGGACGACAAGCCCGAGTGGGTGCTTTACAATGAGTTTGTACTCACAAGCAAAAACTATATCCGACTCAACACACGCATCAAGGGAGAATGGCTCGTGGAGCTGGCGCCGCATTACTACGACCTCGAAAACTTTCCCGCGTGTGAAGCCAAGAAGGAACTGGAGGCGCTGTATCGACGCCTGCACGCCAAGCTACAACGTAAATAACGAGAGCGACATACTGTACTTACGGAGAATGATTTATAGTCGTGGTAGCCAATCAGATACTAGTATATTGTTGCAGGAAATCAGCTTCGTATAATATAATAGTGTGAAGCCTAAATTAGTACTACTACTAGTATTGTGAATTCGCTTTGAACATCCAAAATTCGCGTGGTTTGTTAATATCGAATCACGCTGGAGTTCTGATTGGTTGAAAACATACTTAAGAGCTAATCAAATCCAATCAAAATTGGATTAGCCAATAGAGTCGATTCGGCAGCGAGAGATTCGATTCGACGGGGTCTGGAAATTTGTACCGAATTTGACGAATCATCCAAATTTTGGATAATAGGACAATACTAACTGTTAGTCGTACTTGACTACTACACCCCCATGGGGCTGACATGCAAGGTGGACCGGCCTCCTTGGCTTTTCACATAGGAAGCGAGTTGGTCCTGGCTGAAGGCCCGCATGCGCGCGTTGATGGCGTACACTTCGGCACGATGCCGTTGTTGTGTGCTGGGCTTGTCGTCGACGTGACCTGGGACCTGCTGCAGTCTAGAAGTCGTCCCTTGCTTTGCATTGGTCGCGCCAGCATCGCCAGGTCGTGTGGGTCTATTTGGTCCCCAATTGGCGCCATGTTGGACTTGAAGGATCTTGCTCATTGTCGGGTGGCGCCGCTGACGGGGCAGCGAGGTAGCCATGGCTGGACTTCGGGATATGGTTGCCGAGTGTGTCGTCCTCGTCTTCGCTCGCACTCGTTCTGATGCCTGCGGCAGCGTAGCAATCGGGACTTGAGGAAGCTTCACAGGCAAGCTCTACCACAGCATGCTGCTCAGGGAGGGAGGAAGGAAGGAATCGATCGTTGAGGGTGCGGTGCTTACGTGGAGTTTGTCAGACTTGAGTCTGTCCAGGCATTCACTCCGATCCTCCTGGTCAAGTCCGCTCAATGACGTGGCAGTGTCAGGATTGATCATGGTGGATGTCCCTTGTGTCAAAGGAACGCTCATTATTGCTTCATCGAGCACTCGCCCTGTTTCGCGGGGTGGTGGTTGCATCGAGTGATTTGCAACTACTAAAAATACATCTAGTAGGCTTACTAGTAACCTTGCTGGGTGTATAGTAAATTCGGCGGATCCTGATTGGCTAGGCAATGAACTTTCGGCACTTGCAGAAGTAGGCCAGATCCGCCCTTCACTCTTTGTCTTCCGCCACCATCGGTCGTTCGTCTGGCCATACACATGAAGACATGGTGGAATTGTCGCGTCACAATCGTAGCCAGCCTTGGTGCAGCGTTAGCAAGTAGCCTCTCCGACAACGCACCCGCTGTGCCATCAACCTCACTCGTAAACCTCCCGAGCACGGTGGTAGGCAACTGGTCCACAACCGTACCAGTAGTAGCACCGACAGCGTGCCCCCCACTGTTGTGCAATGACACTAGCTCCATCGAATGTGTGATTTCATCTCCCATCGAGTTCCCGTGTGTGAATGCAGACCTGTACTGCGTTTGGGAGTCGGCAAAGGACGTCATACTGCAGACGACAGTGGGCACGTCCGTGTACCCTCCGAAATGCCGTGTGCATTTGTCGTGGCTCGTCCACGGGTCGTTCCACATGACCAGCAATTCTTCCATTTCGGTCACGTCGCTCGACTTGACGGCGTTGGATCTGTTCATGGACGACGCGAGTCTGCTCACGATCGAAGAAAGTGTGGCGGTGAACGTGTCAAGGAAGTTTCGCCTCGATCAGGACGCGACCATCATCTCTGGCGGGTCATGGCCTGGTAAGTAGCCCCATTTCTCCCATCTCAGCCCGTCCTTACACGTGAAATCCTAGGCCATTCAGGAGGGCATGTGAATGTGACCACGTCATCGTTTATCTTGCACGGGGAGATCCGTGCTTCGGGTGGCGAAGGCATCTGCATCGATGGCAAGTGCACGCCGGGCGGCAATGGTGGCCTCGTCACGCTCTTGTACACGTCGGTGGCCACGGAAACAGGCAGCATCGTCGTATCTGGCGGCGCAAACCCGCTGGGATCCGCCGCCGCTCCTTCCCGCGATCTGACCGAACATGATGATACCGACGATGCGTTGTACTTCCCGTCCGACTGCTTGTCTGGCGCGGCAGGTCAAGTGCTTCGTATCTTCGCCTCGAACAAGGGCGTCGTCGACGGGTACTTGGTCATTAGCAACGGCTTCAACGGCCCGACTAGTAGTACTAGCCACCACACCCAACGGCGCTGTGCCGCGGTGGTGTTCGACACTGACAGCATCGACCCGTCTGTGAAACGCGTCTTGATCCAAGGCGAATCACTCGTCCGGTTCGAAGGCTCGGCGTGGGGGCTCCACGGGGATAGCGAGCTCATCATCGAAGATGCCACCCTCGTCGGCATGTCCAACTCGCCTCTGAGCATCATGGTCAAGCAGTTAGTCGTGCGGGGTACCAGCATCCTGCACGCGTCCGCGGGGTTGCTCGTGTCTGCCGACATTGTGTCGATCGATTATGGCGCGACAGTGTCATGGACGAACACGGCTACGTCCATCTTCAAGGTGGCGGATGGTGTCCAGATCAGCGGAAATATCACGACCACCACCCTATCACTCAATGATACAGACACCGCGGACGGCTACCTTGTCATTCAGAGCGGGGGAAACCTCGTTGTGGATGGCATGATTGCCACGTCAAGCTTGTTTGCCGCGTCCAGAACCAACATGCTGCTCACTGGCGCCCGCATTCAAACCCATGGCAGGGCTACGCAGGCCAGTTTGACGTACCCGCCGTGCTCGGATGCTGTGTACGCGAACCCGCAGCTGCTAAACTACTCGCTGGTGCTGGCGTCCCAAGGCTCGATCGATCTCGGCCAATATCCCAAGCCCACCTCCGTCACAGGCAGCTCAATCTTACTATGTAGTAACCAGTCCATTCGAGTGGGCCACAAGTCTGTGGTGTCGTCTAGCGGGCTCGGGTTTTCTGCCAACCACGGCCTGGGGGCTGGCGACTGTACAACCAACGGCGGCGGCGGCGGCGGTGGCGGGTACGGCGGCGACGGAGGCGACTCGGTCCAACTGCTTCTGCAGAGCCACGCGGCGTCCACTGTCCACGCCGATGGCGGCGTCGCGTACGGCTCTCGCTCCAGCACGGGGTTCCTCGGGTCTGGCGGCGGGTGCGTCGATGGAGGATCTGGCGGTGGTCTCGTGATGCTCGGCGCGGTCCGCATCGAATTAAATGGAAGTGTTATGGCCAACGGGCAAAGCGGCCGCGCCGCGCGATCCGGAGGCGGGTCGGGCGGGTACATTGGGCTGACCATTTCCAACGGAATTGTGGGCTCGGGGCACCTGTCCGCGTCGGGGGGGAACGCCACGTGCAGCCAAGACGGCTTATCGCACACGAATCTGTCGAGTTGGATCTGCGGGGGTGGCGGCGGCGGCGGTCGCCTGCGATTGTTGGGGTGCCAGAACTTTAGCGACTGCACGACCAGCTTCTCGGGTACGTACTCGGTGGTGGGGGGGCGACCAGACAAGGTTAAGGCGCCAATTGCGGGCATCGGGACGTACTTTGGGTTTCCATGTCCGCCAGGGTATGGCGGGCTCATGTGTCGAGTGTGCAGTGTCGGCACGTTCAAGCAGGAACGGGGGAGTTCCGAGTGTCTGGCATGCACGAATGGCCCTAGCAATGCGCACTTTACTCTGAATGGTACGTGTCCATTGACCTAAAATGTGGACTCTTTAGTGTGTGCAGAGTCTGCAAATCTATCGATTATTCGTTGTACTTGTGAATTTTGTACTTTTAACAGTATGAGAATTATTAATATTTTCTGAATTTTGTATATTGTCTTTCGTTTACCCAAAGTTTGGTCGACTACTTTTGTGCTGATTCGTCAAATGTATCGATCAATTTGTTTGTATTGACTTTTGTATGCAAAGATTGTCCCGTATCACACTAATTGAAGTCACATACGAATTCGATGTATGGTGTGAATTGGTCGAAGAATGGATTTGATTGGCTACTTGATCTGGGTTTTGATTGGTCGTATATCGATTTATTCTCTGCCGATTTGGTGATTCTGGTCATTCATATTGACAGTGAGCAGCAACCCCAATGACTTCGAATCGACTTGGCAATCAATATGTCAAAAGTGGTTTGGTATTATTATGCTTTCGAGTAATTTTTCGTGTTGTGGCGTGGTTTCTCGTTGGAATTTAAATCGATTTGATTGGCTACTTCAGTTGAGCTCAAAATTATTAACCAATCAAAACCTTCTCAATGAAATTCAACCAATCAGATCGGTTTGGTCGGCGCGATTCGATTGCACAACCCCTCCCCAACTTTGTATCAAATGTCGCCAATATACTAATTGACGTCACATACTAATTAGATGTTGAAATCGGAAAAGTCTGCGGCAATGTTTGATAGTCTTGATACTTTGATTACATGTATTTGATAGTAATATCGAATTACATTCATTCTCCAGTGTAGAATAATAAATACAATATTCCAAAACCACATCGTTTGAAACAACACGACCATCATTCGTAGGCTCGACGTCTTCGGAATGTGTGTGGTCGTGCGACCCCGGGTACACGGGTATCCACTGCTTGTCGCCATTGGACGACTTTTTCGACATGTTTGGCGGCAAAGTCGTGTTCCTGATGGTCGCGGTCGGAACCCTGGGGGCGATCGTGGCTATGGGGTACCTATGCAAACGGGACCCGTACACCCCCGACAAGTCGAAGGATCACTTGCTCGTCCCGAAGCGGCCATGGTACCAGCTCCGCCTCGCGCGCCTTGTGTGGCCTCGAGTATCATACCCAAAGTTGCAAGAGAATGAGCTCAAGATTCACATGGCGCGCATCTACTTGACGGGCAACAACACTCAGGAAGCCCCGCTGACGCTGCATCCGGATGTTCCCCGGGGCTTAGAACAGGTTTTGGACAAGGACAAGTACAAAAATCTGGCCGACCACGTCAATTCGATCCTGGCCTTCTCCACTGGCGGCAGTGTGCTGTTCAATATCACGAGATTTCTCTTCTACCCCCTCGCCACCGACGTGATGCTGTTTCGCCGACACAAAAAGTTCAACGCGCTGAAGCGGTGGATGTCCAAGTATAACCACGAGTGCATGCTGGGTCCGCGATCCCGCGCCATGGCCAACGCCATCAAGCTGGGCTACTGTACCGACTACTCGCTTGCGTACATTGAGCTCTTATATGTCGAGAATAACCCGTCGAATTGCATGCCCCGCCAGTTGGTCGGCAAGCCGCGGTTGCCGCTGGTGCTGCTGTTTGCCGGCTTGGGCTCGTACGAGTCGCCATTGTACTTGGACCCGAACGACTTGCTCGTGCGCAGCTTACCCCAGTCCCCAGAGCTCACGGCGTTCATCGACGAAGCCTGGATTGAAATCATTGCCGACCTCAATGCGATGCTGCGTGTGGTGAACCTCGCCGACAAGAGTCTGCGTGGCCTTATTGACGTGGCCACGTTTTGCGAGCACAAAAATGGACATCATCTGCGACAGAGTAACAGCTTCAAAACCACGCCCAGCTTGGGCGGGTTGCGCATGCAGTTGGGGCGCTTCTTTCCTGGTGACAAGGACCACGACCGGTGGGGCCTGTTTGTCACGTGTGTGGGCATTCAAACAAGCGTCCAGGTACGTGAATTCAAGACGTAGTAGTAGTACTAGTAATACTGTACGACTAGATCCCGCCCGCCCAGGCCAACATGACGATTATTGGCATCCGGGAACAGGCACTCCTGGAAACCCCCAATGTATGGTCGCCCACCAAGCAGCAGTACTCTGGCTCGCGCGGCGGGTGGGACGCCGCGATCGACGACACGCTGCCGATTCCTGGCATTTTGCTCAATGCGGAAGCACTGGAAGATCGACAGAGTCATGTGGTGACAAGCAACCGCCGCGGCGTCCTTTGGCCCGCATCGATCGTGTGTCCATCCAACGTGATGAAGCCCGGAACTGTATCGCAGTCGTGGCTAATCTACATGAGCATCATCGTGTCCATTTTGCTCGACTTGGCCACGACGCTCGGCATGCTCGTGAACCTCAAGTGCGTCAAGAATGGCACAGAAGTGCGCGCGTGCACCAACAGTGTGCTGTGGCCCGTGCTGTTGATATACCCCTTGGCCATTGTGTTTGCCCCTGTGACAGGCCTCGTGACGCTTGCCACGTCATCGCCCACCTTTGGCCGCAAATATGGCCTCTGGAATGCCTGTTCCCTTGTCAATATTGCCGTGGCGATTATCATTTGTTATGCCAAGTCGGACATGCTCGTGGCGCCGTACGTCACACGTCCGCTGCCGCTCTTCCCCGCCGCCGCCCTCGTCTTCAAGCTCGTGCAAGTGGCACTGGTCGACTATTACATTGCCGACATGGAGTCGACGCGCCGACGCCGCGGGTGGCGTGGCCTCATGAAACGGCGCGACTCGGACTCGAGCACCCCCCCGACCTCCCCCTAGTACGTACTAGTACTACTACTACAAGTCTTACTAGATGTTGGCGACGATGATGATTGATGTGTGTTTGTGTGGGGTAGCAACTCGCCGAGCCGTCGCCTTCATGAATCAGTGCCGTTCAAACCAATGGAATCATCCCGACGAGGCAGCAGCACGTTGCATTATGGAACGGGGTAGACGATAATATAATTGGAGGGAAAAAAGCAGTATATACGATATATATATATATATATATTTTTTTATTTTTTTTTTTTCTACGTGTATCTCTACGAACGATATGAAGTAACGTTAGTATAGTTTTACGAATCACTGTCAGTAACTTAGACAATCAGGTCGAAGAATATGTTGACATGATAATAGTGGGAAGGCGCAATATCCAGGGGGAACACTGGGTGGTTGCGGGTGAAACGGAAAGTGAATGAATAGCTTAGTCACTGTCAAGAGGGACGACGACGAGAACACTTGTGGGCAAGACTAAAGTGATGATTAACCGACTTGTTAGCTGCCTATGATTGGGCAGAAACAGTCGAGCTTCTGCATACCAGTCAATTTCGGATGACCGGATATTATCCGTAAGTGACCAAACCTGGGCGAAAAAGGCCAAAGCAAGAACGGCCAAAGTGCCCCTTCTTGACAGCGGCAACGCACTGCTGAAGGGGGGGCAATTTACTTCGTGATTTGCCTTTGGATTCGGACTTCACAAGGTCCGTTGAGTGGAGACGCAACAAAGAGATATCAAATGAAATCAATGGCCAATCATATCCAAGGAATTTAAAGTTTTGACCAATCAGTATCTGTACGATGGCGGTCGTGCAAATTCCAATTACATCACGTCAAATTCAAATATCTTGATATTTCTATATAGGGGTTCTTAATTTCTCGATGGTCGTTGTGCACGAAGCCTTATAACCGGATGCCGGTCATGTAAAAACCGTATTATGTCGACAGTAAGACGAAAAAATTTAGTGTCGCTCCAAACCAAATACTTAGGGGCTGGTCTGCGAACATTCCCGTCCACGCTTCTTGAAGTATGGACGCAAATATGACTCCGGATTGGCTAAAGCGTGAATTTTTCCGGATAACACAACCTCAAAAGCTGGGATGAATCATCCCTGCTTTTGAATGTCCGTTCCTGCTTTTGCATGTTTCGATAGAAATTAAGAAGTATTTTTGATATACTATCAAAATCATCGAAATAGTTCGGATAACATCCCTGCCTTAAAGCTTGGACGGTTTTTCACAGAGCTGCCCCTACTGTATGTAATGTATGTAAGGGGATGCCTGTAGACTTCATGATACTATCACGGATATTTGAGATAAAGTAATTATCCGTAACTTCGAATAGTAGTACTACGTAGTACTAGTAGTAGAAAATTACAGTTGTGTGCGATGGTCGCGGAATATTTCTGTCCATGGTTCAAGATATTCCGAGTTTTTGATTGGTTAGTATCCAAATTATCCGGATAACACAATCATTCACGCTTTCCGGAATAACTCAGACATGGATGCGAGTTTTGAGGCGTGGATGGTCCATCGACGCCTGGAATAGTCCGTTCATGTCTGGCACTCATTTTCATAAAAATCGAAAAAGTATTGATCGACATTTTTTGGATTGCGAAAATATTTTGTCCGGATACGTCTCAATTCGGACATGGACTTTATCTTCCCAGACCAGCCCCCTAGGGCTGGGGCTGGTCTGGCTAGTCAGGGGCTGGTCTGGGAAGATAAAGTCCATGTCCGGGCTGGTCGGGGAAGATAAAGTCTAATAGACACACTAGGGGCTAAGGACTTTTGATTGGCTTTTCGACAAGAGGTGCGCTTCCATGGAGCAAGGTTGAAGACCAAATCTCCCCAGCGAAGACGGCCCGAAGTACAGTACGTTGAAGTATGAACTAATCCATGATCATAAATATTCCGCCACCAGCCCCTAAAAGGGGCTACTACAGTACCGGTAAGCTATACAATACACGATGACTGTTTCTTGGGGCAGTACTAACTTACCCTAGAAAGAAATATAAAGAAATGAGCATCTCCAACGCTTTGGGGATAGGACATCGATATATGCAGGGACCCCCGTTGGAGATGCTCATTTCTTTATATTTCTTTCCAGGGTAAGTTAGTACTGTCCCAAGAAACAGTCATCGTGTACTGTATGGCTTACCGGTACTGTAGTAGCCCCTTCTAGGGGCTGGCGTGGATAAAGTAATAAACATGGATTCTTGATTTACTCTTTCGATTGAGGGTACTCTGGGACGGTATTAGTTTATTCGTATTCACCTTGAACTCCTCTATCAAAGCATACCTTTAGTTTTCGATATTTTGATAATCTTGACTCTCATTATTAAATTATTCTGAATGTTGCAACTACTTCCGGACAGAGATAGTACAGTAGTACTACATTGTAGTGCGCATCTCCATCGCACTACTGTAGTACTCCGGAGTACTGTAGTACTGCTTGGTATGCTGTAGTGCGATCGAGATGCTTGGCATGCTGCGAATTCGTTTGTTGAAGTAGTTTTGGACATTTCCCAAGAAACGCAGTCATCCAGCGTGGCTTGGTCGATCAATTGTTGTTTGCATGACGTACCGTACGTTTGGGCGAAAACGCTTCAGAAATTTGGTAACTTCCTCAATACTACTCCAATTTTTTGCTGAAATTTTGGGAAGAACTTCAGATTAGTATAAAACAGTTTAGCGTCAAATTTCATCTCTATCTGACTTGTGGTTTGTATTGAAATGCAGGTAAGTATTTCCTATTGCCCGAGTATAATGTGATTGCAAATTCGAATAAAAATTGTCGAAATTCTATTTTCAGTTACAATAAAAATATGCGATTACATCGAGGTTGGGCCTAACCAGTACTACCGAAGTTTCTTCAGTTCTATCCAATCATGCTTGAGATACTTTGGGCCAAACTAAGGATTGCTTTAAATAAGCCAATCATATCCGTTTGCCTGTATGTATTCGATCAGTCCAACCAGAACAAGTTATTATTACATTCTGTAAAATAAAACGTCGAATTTCGTTTTTGGTTGTATGGTGTTGAAGAGATGAAAATCATGAAATCTATGCTGCATTCGAAAATGAAGCTTCTCCTCATGCAATAAATACTCCACGTATTGGTGTGCAACCTAGCCCAGTACACGCAGAACATTGTCGTGCATGTACTGGGATATGCCGTAGTTATTAATGTTTTGAATTGGCGGAGGAGTAGGCTCCTTCAATTTCGGGAAAGCGCTTTCGCCCAAACGTACGGTATGTAGGACACCCACACAAAAAAGGGTCGGGACCATGTGTCATTTTTCGTTTTCGCTTATTGCCATGAAGTTCCTTGCTGCTCTTGTCCACGCCGCCGCCGCTGCCCTTCCGATCCAATGGGACTTTAACAACCCCGCGCAAGGCGACGAAGGCGTCTACATCGCAAACGAAAAATGGGCGGTTGCATTCCGCACCCCAGCGTCAGGGACTACCATATGTTTGGGCGAAACGGCTCCCAAGAAAATGAAGGATGCTACTCCTCCGCCAAATCTCAGTATTATCTCAAACGGAATAAATAGCCCACAGCATCCACCACAGTCTGTTGCATGCTGTGGGCTTAATTGCACATCGATACGTTGAATATTGCATGAGGAGTAGCTTCCTTCATTTTGTCAGGAGCATATATTTTATGATTTTCATCTCTTGAACACCAAGTACTACGTAGTAACCAAAAAAGAATTTCGACTGTATTTTTTACAGAATGTTGTCAATAGTCCCTGACGCCGGGGTGCGGAATGCAACCGCCCAATTTTCGTCCGCGATGTAGACGCTTTCGTCGCCTTGCGCGGGGTTGGTAAAATCCCATTGGATCGGAAGGGCAGCGGCGGCGGCGTGGACAAGAGCAGCAAGGAACTTCATGGCAATAAGCGAAAACGAAAAATGACACGAAGCCCCGACCCTTTTTTGTGTCGGTGTCTGTCTTACATACGTAATACAAACAACAATTGATCGACCAAGCCACGCTGGATGACTGCGTTTCTTGGGAAATGTCCAAAACTACTTCAACAAACGAATTCGCAGCATGCCAAGCATCTCGATCGCACCACAGCATACCAAGCAGTACTACAGTACTCCGGAGTACTACAGTAGTGCGATGGAGATGCGCACTACAATGTAGTACTACCTCTGTCCGGAAGTAGTTGCAACATTCAGAATAATTTAATAATGAGAGTCAAGATTATCAAAATATCGAAAACTAAAGGTATGCTTTGATAGAGGAGTTCAAGGTGAATACGAATAAACTAATACCGTCCCAGAGTACCCTCAATCGAAAGAGTAAATCAAGAATCCATGTTTATTACTTTATCCACGCCAGCCCCTAGAAGGGGCTACTACAGTACCGGTAAGCCATACAGTACACGATGACTGTTTCTTGGGACAGTACTAACTTACCCTGGAAAGAAATATAAAGAAATGAGCATCTCCAACGGGGGTCCCTATATCGATATGTCGTACCTTCGAAGTTACGGATAATTTGGGGATGTATCCGGGTGTTTCTGAAAATATATCCAATCATATTTGAGAACATTTGGGCCAAACTAAGGATTGATCTAACTAAATAAGCCAATCATATCGGTATCCATGGCCATATTTGAAGTACCACTGTAGTCCAACTTGGCATTTCCAGATCAAGTTGTTATTGCACTACTGGTCGGACACGCAATTCAAATCCGTCTTTTGTTCATTTCTGGTTTACCATCAGTACGGATGCTAGCGTTTCCGCCACGCCGTCCATGTCGTTGCAACAAGAGTTGTGCCCTTCCGTCCACGGTAACCAACCCCCCACATTGTTTTATACATTCATTCCCCCCTTTCAACCCAATGTATACTGTATTCACGAGAGTTTTCTTCTAGACTTGCCCGATTGCACCAACTCCATCGTCTCTTTGCGCATCCCCATCGCTAGCAATGGCGATGTCGTCAGTTCCTTCGAAAGGGGCAATTTACTGCGTACCAGTGGGGGCGTTTATTCCTGGTTCCCCGAACCCGAAATTGTTGGTGCGCCCAACACCACGTACTGGTTCGTACTGGGCGCCTCCAGCGAATCCTGGGTCAAGGGGCCCATCTGGTTGTTCGGCCAAAGGTACTTCTCAACCGCGACCAACGTGAATGTCGCGACCTTCAATGGCGAAGACAACTCATGGTCCTTGATTCCCTTCAACGAAAACAACCGCCTCCTGTCCCTCGTTGTGGTTGCTACGTATACTCATTAGCAGTGTACTGTTGCTGCCAGTCGTGCGTGGCAAAGGCTCGTTAAGTGTGAAGGAGGCAAATGCACGGCAAATGCACGTGTTCCGAAATCTGTCTATTGTATTCTTCGCCGACCCAGGTCATGACGTTTCATAACATGATCACTCCCTGTCTGTCTCGGGTATGACACTTGAAAGAGGTGACATATATGTATGTACTAGTAGATCCAACTCGACGTGTAACCATAACGTTAGACCAGATACTGCAGTAACTTCTATGTAACTCCTACGACTACTGGGCATGTTTGGTGAGCTTGGACTTCAGCACTTGGGCTGGCAGCAACAGCCCGCCCGTCTTTTTCGCAGCTTGTGGCTGCTTGGGGGGTCCTTGGGGCTGCTGCTGGTAGGGGGGTGGCAGCGGAGGTTGCTGCTGCTGTTGGTAGGGGGGAATGGCAGCTCGAGCAGGCGGCGGTGGCGGCGGCGCCATGTCCGGGCGAGCTTGGAGTTTGTTGAAGTACTGCGCCATGGAATGGGCTGGGGCGTGCAAATCGCGGGATTCTTCTTTTTCAGCCCATTTAGCAATGAGCGAGTGCATTTTCTCCGTCGACGGCGGCGGCGGCGGCGTCACCACGTCCGTCGGCAGCACAATCAAAGGAGCGACAAGAGAGGGCGGATGGGGGGGTGATTGAGGGGACTTTGGACGGGAAGATGATGAGGATGATGTTGGTTGGTTGGGCGCTGGATGATACTCGGCAGACTTTGGCTGGTTTGATTGCTTTGGTTGGTGCTGCTGCGGTAGTAGTTGCTTGGAGCGGTGGAGGTGATGGTGGTTGGTTGGCGGCGGCGGGGGCGTCGACACGACCAGCAACGAAGACCAGTGCACCAACTTGCCGCGATATGCCGAACAGGTGCCTCCAAGAGTCGTGCCGCCGCTAAATTTCGCGTCAAACAGCACTTCCACACATGCGGTCGCTTGATGGGAGGCCACGACCGTACCCCTCAGTCCGAACGGAACCCCCCGGGCACTGAGACTCACGACGCGGTCGCCTAGCAGGGGCGGGCGTTGGCCAGTCGCTGACGATGCCGACAGATCGTAGTTGGACTCGACCGGTCGAAACAGTGCCGACGACTCAACGGTAATCTCCACGTCGCCTGTCGTCGATGATGGCGATGCTGCCGCTGTGCGACTGTCACCGGCGGCTTGAATCGCGTGAATGGCGGCGCGGGGCAGTGTCGCAGATGACACTGGAATCAACGGCAGTGGGGCAATATCGAGCTGGGAGAGCCACGTTTTGATGCTTTCCAGCACGCTTTTCACGGCGCTAGGGTTGGCCACGTTCAAGAACGCCGCGCCATCGTACACGGCCGAGTACGGCAACGTCTCGAGCGCGGCAAAGACCCGCGGGAACTTTCTCTGAAATGCCACGAGCGTGTAGAACGCCTTGTCCGTGTACTCCCATATGCCGCCATCTTTGCCGTCATTGTCGGCATCATCGTTGCCTACAACTAGCGATACGCTGTCGCCACGTGTCCATGCCATATCATCCGCGCCTCCTTCTTTTCGGATGTATCGGCAGTATCCAGCCAGCATGAGCTCCTTCTTAAACTTGATATTGAGCCCAATGTCATACCGACCAGGGTTGACCAACAGCGAGCCCGTGATGCGACCCAACGTCGACGGCTGGATGCCGAGTTTCTGGCACAGTACAAAGCTTGAGTAGTACTTGTCGCAGATGGCCGCGGCGATCGCATACCCAAACGGCGGCTCGGGCGACCGCGGGGATACGCGCACGCCTATCGTGGCTTGGTCTTTTGCATGATGGCGCACGACGGTGCCCGTGAGCCCCTTGGACGGACCGCGGAGGACGACCACGGACGTGTGCAGGGGAAAGCGGTCGGGGGCCGCCGCCGCCGCCGTCTCCTGGAACCGCAAGTCCAACAAATCGTGATGCAGCACCGCCAGCTGGAATGGAATCTTGACCGGATCGCGGCCAAACTTTTTGTGCATGGCGCCGGTACCCGGGTCCACCACCATGCCCTGAAGCGGCAGCACATGCAGCAGACACGTGACCGCTCCGATGGAGACGCCGCCGGTCCCCGGTACCCCCCGCCCAGACAGGTACCGACTGGCTTCGACCTGAGCGCGTTTAGCCCAGTCGGTTTGCTCTGAAGGGGAATGCCCATGGACGTGAACTTCGTTGGAAGAGGGCCAAGAAGATGTGATGACGCCGTCGCGGGTGCTGATGGCCACCACTTTGGCTTCGTGCAAGTGGGGATAGTTGACGTGCACCTAGGTGTATGATAAAAAACGTCAATAACACACTAGAGTGTTCCGTCGACAACGATGTCAAGCAGTCGATTCGAAATTGGAGTGGGGTGCTTGCTCAATCGAATTACCAGAATCACCAAATCGAGTACGATGTGATTGGTCGATATATCGACCAATCAAAGACCCAGAGGATAAATTGAGTGGCCAATCAAATCCACTCTTTGACCAAGTCAACCTTGAATTAGCGTGTGACTGAAATTAGTGTGATACTGGCTGATCTTTGCATTCAAAAGCTAGGACAAAGAATGGATCGATAGAGTTGGCGAATCAGCACAATAGACCTAATTTTGGGTAAAAGGACACAATATATGACGATACATAGTGTGTGTGATGATATACAACGTGATCAAAATTCAATCCCATCACCTACTGGAGTGTACTTTTGAGATAACACTGGATCCATCATGGATGAAATAGACAAACTATATATTGTGCTTTCGAGTGAATAATTTCGTGTGGTGGTTTCTCGTTGGAATTTAAATCGATTTGATTGGCTACCCCAGATGAGCTCAAAATTATTAGCCAATCAAAACCTTCTCAATGAATTCAACCAATCAGATCGGTTTGGTCGGCGCGATTCGATTGCACCCCCTCCCCAACTTTATATCAAATTGACAATATATATATATATATACTTTGTACGAGGAGGTCGTAGTAGTATATAAATATATTTTTTTATTTTCTATTTTCATCAATGCACATTGATAACAACAATACAAAGATCAAAACGTATTTCCGACAAACCCCCTCGTCCAACACATTTGCAACAGTCTCAAAACCCTCGACTCAAGAATGCATAAACATCCCCGTACCCTTCATGTATATATATATATATATATATATATATATATATATAATATTTCAAACACGAGAAATCACATGTCATGCAGTCGTCCCATCCTATATATATATATACATATAGATCAGGCCATACCGTAGTGCCAAGGACGAGTTTAGCTTGGTCGAGTGTTAATAACGACGCCTGATCATCAGCGGACGGGGGGGCTACATACAGCACGAGCGTATCCTTCTTGGAGCTCATGCCAAAGCAATTGACGCCGATTTTCGACAGCGCCGAGCTGGCTAGCGGCAGCGAGTAGAGCGATGGAAACCCCGCAATGGGCATGGTGAGTCCGTCGGTGAGGGTACAGCGGAAGTTGCGGCGTGGCGGCGGCAGCTCGTACACTTGGACACTTGAGTGGCAGCATGCAATGTCATCGAGCACGCCGGGGAGAGTCGACGGCAGCGTGTCCATGGCGCCGAGGTCGTGCTTGAACACGTACGCGGTACCCGGTCGGTTGCGGCGGCGTTCGGCGTCCGTGAGGTCGGCTTCGGGGCAGTGCAAGTGGATAGCGTCCACGAGTCGGCTGGCGTCGATGAACGGGAGGATGTTGACACCTTCCCATGCATTGCGCTTGCCGTCCATGTCGATTTCAAACGAAATCGGGTAAAACGATGCAATGGGGGACGTTGGGTCGGTCATGAGGCGCTGGTACCCCGGGGGGACGAGGGTCGCGCTTGTGGGGGGAAGCGTCGAGAGCAGTTGCTGGAACGGGAGGAACGGCACGCCCACGTCAAAGTGGATGCTGGCCACGATCGACGCAATGTCGGTCAAGTCCGACAGCATCGGCGAGTAGTGAAACGGGTAAAACCACGACCAAGATGGCACGCCGTGGAAGTAGTAGCCTGCGCACCACACCAATGCCTCAACATAGGCAACTTTGATGGCCGTGAGAAGCTCCGTGGAGGTGTCACGCAAGCCAAATTTAGCGCCGTAGTATGCCCACTTGGTAGCTTGAAACTCGGGGCTGCCACTCAGCACAACCACGTCGTCGCCTTCTTCTTCTTCGCCTTGAAAGGATAACGCATGCAGCAAATCCTGTTCAAACTGGCGGTCATTCCCGTCGTCGTCGTCTAATTCCGTGTCGTCGTGAGCTGAAACAACCTTGGCACGAACGGGAGAAGATCCATTCCGGCCATATCCGTTCCCGTATCGCTTCCGGTCGCGGAATTTCCGTTCCTCGTGCACGCGTTTTGTCAAAATAGCTTCCTCCATCGACCCAATGACCTGACATAGCCCCTCCAAGTGCTCGGGATGGGTCACTACGCCTGCTTCCGTCAAGTAATTGCCCCACTGGGGCAGCAAATCCCGGTACAGCCCCAGCAAGAGCGCGATCGCGTCCTCAGAGATGTCCAGTGTTGGGCTGTGCGGAATGAAATCGTTCCCGAGCAAAAACGTTAAAAAGATAAAGTCGTCGAGCGCGCGCTCCATGTCGTACCAGGCCACCTGAGGATGCCAACCAACGAGATATGGGATTGAGTGAGTAAGATGAGAGAGAGATGGGGGGACGACACGTACCGGTACGGACAACTCCATGTTCAAGTACTGTCGAAACAAGCTCAAGTGCACGAGCTGCCATTCAGGTTCTTTGGTCTGCCGCGCGATGATCTTCTTGGCCGAGTTGTCGTCCTTGCCTTTCTTGCGCGATGACCCGCCGCCAAAGTTGACCACTTCGCGGACGAGCGTGAAGTGCGGCTCATGGGCCATGAGACCGAGAAGCATCAGGTCGGCGTCCGAGCCGTACATGCAGTGGCGGACGTTTGGCGGGTACCTGTCCTCATGGAACAACGAACGGCGTGAGGACACGTAGCTAGCTAGACAGACACATGGATATTCGCTACCCGGGTTGCATCTTGGTGCGCCGAATGTACTCGACTATCTTGTGCTCGCCTTCACCCGGTACGTCTTGCCCGGAGAAGATGACAGTCAGGTCGCGCCACGACGGATCTTCCTTGAGCTTTTTGCGAATGAAGTACTGCAGGTGGCTCGAGAGGCGGTACATGAACTCGGTTCCGGGGGTGATGCAGTTGGAATCGAACAGCGCCTTGGGGGCCTCGCTCGACTCATTGTCGTCGTCGTCGTCGCGTTGCAGCGACAAGTTCTTCTCGTACAGCTCTTTGCCGGCGCGAAACCGACGGCTGCGTTGCTGGTTGAGCTTGGCGCGCGGCGCCACGCCATCCACGGCCAGGAAAAGAAGATTCTTCGGCTTGACAATGTGCGACACAATGCGGTCGATGTACGCAAAGATGGCCGGGATGTGGTGGGCTTCGCCCAACTCTTCGCACACCTCGTCGTCACTCGGGTGCGTGCATTGATGGATGATGCCGTTCAAGTCGAGGTACAGGTTGTCAAACTCCGGGAGCAGGGACACGTCGCTGATCTGCTGGTTGATCTGCGGGTAGCGCTCGCTGATCCAGCGGTAGAAGCGCGGGATTCCCATGTCGTCGTCGGCGGTGGTGGTAGGGCTCTCTCACGTCTTCGTTCCAATTCGAACTATCCACCAAAAGGAAATCGACCGACACTCACGTCCCCTTACGTTTTCACTCTCACTCTCTCATACTCTCAATAAGTCCGGCCACTCTCATGATTACCACTCTCAACACGACGGCGCCGCGCCTTCGTCATGAGTCGTGTGACTGTCCTGTACGAGCAAGCGTTCAAGGCCGCCGAGGATGGACATGCGGCAGAGTCAGAGAACGACCGACCATCGGCAATCCAAAGCTTCGAGCAGGCAGTGCAGTTGTTCAGTCGTCTCGCCATGGTCGAGACGTCGACGAAGCGAACGTTGCTGGAGGAACATATTCGAGGGTTCCAGCAGCGGATTCAAGATCTTCGAGGAGCAGAGACGAAGGATGATCATGATGATGCAGCAGCTGCAGCGCCAACGACGGAGCTCGTTATCCCGTCTCCTTCGACTGGCGTCCTACCTGTGTCCACAGACAGCAGTTGCCGTGCGTCCGACGCGGACGATGACCTTCACGGCGACATTCGATGGCAGAACGCGTCGCGGCTCGAGCAATTAGCTCAATCGACCGAAGTCGATGGCGACTTGTCCATCTCGATCGATTTGTACATGAAATCAGCCGACGGACTCCTGGAGGTAGGTACATATAGCGCGACGACAGACTGCCGTCATGCATGCATGTTAGCTGCTCTTCCTCATAGCTCCACCGACTACTTTTGTGCATAGATGCTGCGAGACAAGAACTTGTCGGACGCATTCTTGTGCCAGCGCGTTCGGACCAAAGTTGAGTCTATCATCGATCGGATCACAGCATTGAAGGAGCGCCACGACCTAGACATGGAGGACGATCTATTGATGGAGGAAGACCTGCTCATGGAAGTCGCGCTCGGTCCTGAGAGTACGTCCAACCGCATAATCCGCGTATATTGACTCGCCATGTGTCAATAGACATGAAGCTAAAGCAGCCGTCGCAGCAACTCCATCCCCCCCTTCCCCAACATGCCAACCCCAACCAGTTCGCTTCATCTCCATCTTCTACCCATCTCACCCCCCCCCCCCATGCAAAGTACACGGCGGAAGAGGTGGACGTCCTTAGGCGGTCGTCAGTGATCAACGGCCGACTGTTTCAGCCGTGGATGGCCTCCGACACCCACGTCGACGTCGCCGCCGACTCTTTGTTTGTCGACCCTGATGGCTTCTTAGGTACATATATATATATATATATATATATATTCCCGGCCGACCAAGAACACACTTATTTTTAATTATTATTTTATTTAAAAAATGTATTCAAAAAATATATTTATAATTATTGGTCATCGAGATGGCTTTTTTCAACAAAGCATGGACTTTTTATATTTAATTTTCGGTGCTTTTTCTGGTGTAGTAGGTCATGGCGGTCATGCCTATCACACATATAATATATATATTATATATAGTATTCAATCTATGTATTGATTTGACTTTGTGTAGCCATGTCCCCCAAGCAGTTGGATAAGTTAGCCAAGTGGAGCCGACCATCCGACTACGGCACCAACACCCCCCGCATGGTGTCGCAGATTTCGCCGTATGCGATTGTCCAGGATGTTGTCACAGATTGCTCGTTTGTGGCGTCGCTGTGCATCACCGCAGCTTATGAACTGCGCTTTCACAAGCAGCTCATCACCAACATCATCTACCCCCAGGTACGAACGAGCAGCTTTTACTAAATATATATATTTGATATAGTTGAATACTAAATATATATCAGGACCAACATGGTGTGCCAATCATCAACCCCGCAGGCAAGTACGTAGTGAAACTGTGGGCCAATGGGGTGCCGAGAAAGGTCGTGGTGGACGATCTCTTACCTCTGGGGCACTCTGGGACCCTCCTGTGTTCGTGCACCACGGAATCCAACGAGCTTTGGGTACAAAATATCTATTTCTGCATGAACGCATATATTTATATATGTATATATATTCTATGGTGGTCGTCGTTTATAAAAATATGTAGTGTGTCTGTCGGCTATCTATCTCATACAAAAAACGAGATTATTCAAAACATATTTGCATTTTCTAAATAAATAAAAAAAATAAAGATGTTGTTGGATGCAGTCTGCCATTTTATTCTTCAAAATATAAATATACATTATGTTGATATATATACTGTATATAAATATATATATATATGTAGGTAAGCATTGTGGAAAAGGCATACCTCAAGGTCAATGGCGGGTACGACTTTCCAGGGAGTAACTCGGGCATCGACTTGTTTGCTCTCACGGGATGGATCCCCGAGTCCCTTGCATTTGGAGACCAGAGCCAGAGCTCATCCGACATCATCTGGCAACGTCTCATGTCTGCGCACAACTTTGGCGACTGCCTCATCACAATCGCCACGGATGACATGCCCAAACCCGTGGTTTGGACCATATATATATATATATATATATTCATAGCGATATATTAGGCCAAAAGAGTGGGTCTCGTGCCCTCCCATGCGTACGCAGTGCTGAATGTGGTCGAGACTTCCAACAGGTTGCGCCTTCTGCTGGTGAAAAACCCGTGGAATCGCAAGCGGTGGCGCGGGCCCTTTGGCATGGACGACAAGGACCGATGGACAGACGGTAGGTACCTATATATCTATCTTTGTTTTAATATATATATATATATACGCCTCTGTTTTCACGATACTTTTCATCAGTTTATGTATATATATGTATAAATACCTACGTTTTTTATCACGTCACCGTAATCAACTATATATATATATATATCTTATAATATGTACATATATATATGTGTATATTATACGTTTTTCTCACGTTACCGTAGTCAAGTATATATATGTCTTATAAGATTTAATATATATATATAATATATATATACGCTTTCTCGCGTCACCGCATTCATGGAACTATATGTGTGTTGTTCCACACGGATCAACGCATATACATTTCTTGGTCTTCAATCATAGAACCTATTATATTGTTCAATATATTTATATATATCATGTATCTCACCTCATACATCTCTCTTTCATATATACGGCAGACCTACAGCGTGAATTGAACTTTCACTGGCACGCCGCCCGCCAAAGCGACGACGACGGTCTCTTCTGGATCGACTTTGCATCCGTCCAGGTGTATTTTAGCGCGCTCTTCCTCAACTGGAACCCCGACCTGTTTCGGTTTCGATATACCGTGCACAAGCACTGGCCCGTGGACGTCGGGCCTCAGAATGACACGTACAACCTTGGGTACAACCCCCAGTACCGCCTAACTTTTTTCAATCCAGACAGGCACACCAAGGTCCACCCCCTTGTCATGACATATCACGTTGGTCTTATGACCATTATGAGTCTTATGCTAGGACCATGATGAGTCTTATTCTATGACCATGATGAGTCTGATTCTATGACCAAATTAGTCTTATTCTATGACCAAATTAGTCTTATTCTATGACCAAATTAGTCTTATTCTATGACCAAATTAGTCTTATTCTATGACCAAATTAGTCTTATGCTATGACCAAATTAGTCTTATTCTATGACCATGGGTAGTCGTTGTCGGTGTGGATCTTGCTGTCGCGCCACGTCACGGCCGCCGCCGTGGACACTCCGCAGCAGTTCCTCACCCTGCACGTATTCAAGCAGGCCCATCGGGTCTTTTACCCCAATCATGCGTTTACACGGGGCACGTACAGCAACAACCCCCACTCACTCACCTGCGTCGACATCCAGCTGACCGCCGACGAATCTGAGACAACGTTCATGCTCGTAGCGTCGCAGTTTGAGAAACTCGCGCCGCTCGACTACACGCTGTCCGTCTTCTCCACGGACGGGCCGTTCGAACTCACCGACGCGCCAGAGACCCCGCCTCATCGCATCAACTTGATGGACGCGTGGACATCGGCGACCGCCGGCGGCTGCCCCAAGTACGATGAACATCATTGTCGTCATATTCGATGTATATTATTTCTACCTATAACACTATCGATGGTTGTATTTTTTAAATTAATTTTTTTAAAAATATTGTAAAATAGAAATAAAATTTTCTATTTTACAAAATTATACTTTTTTATTTTTAAATTATTGTACATTTGTTTATATCGCTACATGTATCACTAGGGTGTGTGTAGCCATGGTCGGGTTGGTTTCCTTGTTATCGTGTCTATCGTGTACTTGTTCTAATCGTAAGTTTCCTTCGGTGGTTGGTTTTGAATGAACCGCCAAACTGTCGCCGGGCCTGCGATTAATATATTAATTTCGAAAAAAAAACATTTTTGAAAAGCAACAGTATTTTTTACTCCTTTAGTTTTCATTTTTTGTTTAATATCCGTAATTTAAAATATGCTACTATTTATAGAGCCTATAAAATTATTTTATTATTATATATTCCAAGTTGAAGAGGTATCTCTGCATTACAACATTCCACCTTTTTAACCAATCGTATTGCAACCTCTATTCTTTTTAGCCAATCATACTCCTTTGCTCAATTGGTTGGCGATTTTTCAACACAATCCCCCATATTGGCAAATTGGTCACTGATATACACAATATCATGTACATATGTGTGTGTTTAATGTCGTTCCCTGTGGACGTTGATCTTGGCAAATCGAATTATGTCCTGACCAATCAAAGTGCCCGGACGAGACAGACATTTCAACCAATCATCGATCCGTATCGTTGGTATTTGGCCGCCCATCCACCAGTCGACGTGTTCCTCTTTCAAAAGAGAACTATATTATCCCATACTATTATACTTACACATTGCATACACACTTCAAATCTGTTGCCAAACGTTTCAATTTCAATCACATATATATATATATATATATATATAAATGGGGATCCGGGTTCGTTCTCGTGTGTGGCTGTTTTACCTCTCATATTGTCCTTTTAACCAAAATGTGGACTACTTTTGTGCTGGATCGCCAAATCGATCGATCGATTCATTTTGTATGTAAAAAGTTGCCCTGTGGGGATTGATATCACACTAATTTCAGTCACACACTAATTCTACGTTGTTGATAGTTTCCTGCAATCTGATTGGCTAAATATATCCTTCTGCCGATTCTTGTGTACATGTATTTGATTGTGTCGATTCTTCATTCCCCATGTCGCTCCAGTTTCGAATATAAACACATAAACAATATATATATAATATACGCTGCGATGGTGTGTGCGTAGACATGCCACGTTCCTGGATAACCCCCAGTACCAACTGGTCGTGGAGAGCTTCATGGAGCGGATGCTGCTGACGTTGGAGGCGCCAGTAGATCTAGCAATCAACCTCCGGCTCGTGGGGGGCGACGGCCAGCGGGTGGGGAGTGTGTCTAAGAAGAGTCTGCGGGGCCAGTCGGGCGAGTACCGTCCCGGCTTTTGCTACTTGGACTTAGATGCGGTTGAGGCTGGTTTGTATACGATTGTTGCGTCCACATATGAGCCGCAGTGCATGGGGTCGTTCTCCCTGCAAGTAGCGGCCACGTCGCCGCAGTTTCAAGTGTTTGCGCTGCCTCCAGAAGGCCACAATATGGTGCCGTTTGTGTGCACTGGCAAGTGGAACCCGGACGCGGGCACGGCCGCGGGGTGCTCCAACTATGGACAGTACCTGCAAAACCCCCAATACCTGCTGCATGTCCCGTACGTTGTACAATGTACAACCAACCCTGTGTCGACATGGTTGATATGATTGGAAATTCGGCGTGAAAACTTGCAAATTTCGCGTGGTGTGTGTCTAAAATGAATGTTAAAATACATGCTGGAGTTCTGATTGGCTGAATAGACTTGTCTTTTCTGTAAGAGCCAATCAAAAATCCATTGAAATTTGGATGAGCCAATCGCGTTTCGAATTTATTCTTTTTGATTCGGTACCGAGATATTCTTGGATTCGACAATGTCTAGACATTTGTCCCGAATCCACAATATTATTATTATTTTTTTATTTCCTTGGATAGGGTCAAGTGCCAACTGTTTTTCCGACTCCGGCCACCTCGATCGACGTTGCCGTCGGAATGTTCCATCAACGTGTCCGTGTACGAGTGCAGCCCGTCGGGTCAGCTGCCCGACGCGACTGCCAACCCCACGACCGCCTTTCTCACGTCGGCCAAGGGCGCGTACACCAACAGCACTTGCGGCGTCCGTACCCCGCTCGCCCATGTCCCCCCTGGCTACTACCTTGTCATTCCATCCACGTTTGAACCCCGTCGCGGAGACTTTGACCTGCACGGGTACGCCAACCTCCCCGTCACGACCAGCCGGTTGCGCTGAGAGTGGAATTACGAATTCAACGTAGTCGCCCGATAAAAATAGTTTGTGATGTATGTATACAGTTAATAGCCTACTATTGTTAATAGTCGATTGCTAGACTACTACTACTGGACAACCATCCCAAAAATCCAACCTCAGACAATGTACATAAGAATAATGCAAATCAACGTTTAGTAACGTTTTTAGGACCATCTCAATCCAATGAACTTGCACCGTGGGAAATGTAGTAGTCCAAGCAATAGGAGGGAGGGTATGGGATATATATATATATATATTTAGAAATTGACCAGAGTAAGTACTACAGTACGTACTGTAGTAGTACCATAATTAGTGCGGTCCACACTATATATCTCAATCTACACTATATTATGGGCTTGGAGAATTCGTGCGAACCGCATCAATTTTGAATATTGAGAATTAGTAAGGATTATTATCTTGATTTTTGTATGTGGGATTTGTCGTGAAAAATGTCAAAACAGTAGTAGTCAATAATATACTGCAGATACATCATGTACAAGGAGTATTACACATTCCTTGATGGCTTTCTATTAGAGCAATTGAGCACACCCCAACACGAATTCCCAACCACAAATCTCTGGAATTCCATCACATATGGATTAGTGAGGACCACACGAATTCTCAATCCACACTAATTCTCAATCCACACTAATTCTCAATCCACACTAATTCTCAATCCACACTAATTCTCAATCCACACTAATTCTCAATCCATACTAATTCTCAATCCATACTATAACTACGGTCAATGGTAGCGCATGCGTTAATATTACTAAGTAGCTCGTAGTATTTGATTGCAAGTACTACTACTAATAACCTTGCAATCTCTGAGTACATACAGTTATTAGTAGTTACTTGTCAATATATATGTCTTTGATTTCGTCAATTGTTATTATGTGTTGTACAAGTACGCTTCGACCAACGCCATGTCGTGAACGTAGTGAAACGTGACAGAGTCCGCGGCGCAGCACTCGGAGCCGTTCTTCCACCCAATCCCAACATGGTCCGAGTGCCAGTTCTGACGGTCGAGTACGTCCGTGTCATTGGGCCAGTAATAAACTTGCTCGGGCGAGTACTGGTGGAACCGCTCGCGCCCGACGCCGTCGCGGGTGTCTTGGGGCACGACCTGTAGATGCAGCATGCAAAACGACACGGCCCAGTCGTCCGGCACGACTGCATTGGGGATGCAGAACGGCTCGTCGAGGACCTGAGTGATGGCGGACAAGTACGCAGCGTTAAACGCGTACCCGCCGCCTCCAGGGGTGTAGTACAGCCCCCCTACACATACATTACCAGGTAGCTAGCATCATGGCATCAACTAAGATCAAAGTCAGTCATGTATTATGCCGACAACCTTGTTCTTTCGTGGCCTTGGTCACTTGTCCAAGGAAGTACCTGTAGGTGACTTAGCCGATTCAATCTGATGTTGGAGCAACATAGTTAGGACGATGAACAGGATTAACAACCTATAGTCCAGGGGCATGTGTTGCTTGTCTCCAAATGCGTGATGCATGATCCAAGGCTGCAGCGTCATCCTGTGGCCCAGCAGCACCGGTTCCGACGGAGTGCCCGCGTGACGTGCCAGCAACGACTTCAAGTTGTCAATGATAACATACGAGTCGTCGTCGCACTTGAGAATCCAATCGAACGACGCCGCGTCGAATTCCCGACTGAGCAGGCGCAGCGCGAAGCGATGTTTTTGCCACAAGTGCTCGTGTGTCGGCGGCGCCACGACGCGCACGGTCGGGATGGTCGCGTCCTCGACGTTGCTCATGAAGAGCAGCTTGTTGCAGCGACGACCCCACGTGGCTTTGATGGCGCGTGCTCGGTCGTGCGTCGCGTTGAAAGTATTCACCCAGCACAGCACGCGCACTCGTTCGGCTTCGGGACTCGTGTGCACCGACACCAGTTGCAACGCTGGCAAGTGTGTGCCTAGGCGGCGCTCCAGCGGCGTCACGTTGTCCGCCATCATGTACTGCTTGGCATTCTCTTTGTAGCGGAAATCTTGCCCTTGGCCGTAAACGAGTCCAAGTACGTTAAGGGCGACGAGGATTACGCCGTAGATCGGCGCGTGGTTCCATCGCCACATGCAGGGATGGGTGTCCTTTGCTGGAAGATCTTCAAATGCATATTTTTCGTTCCAATAATCCCTCGTTATCCGGATGCGTCATTGTTTCCGTGACTGGTAGGAATCGATCTCCCTCTCGCACATCATCCGATGGCGGAACCGCAACTGAATGAGCAGCAAGTGATTGCGACGTACAAGGGTATGAAGAACGAAGTCCGTCAACTTGCTGAAAAGCATGCCGAACTGGAACTGGAACTCCATGAACATCAGCGAGTGGCAGAAACGTTGAACGGGTACGAAGGCACCCGCCGTGCGTTCCGCATGGTGGGCGGCGTGCTCGTGGAACGCACCGTGGCCGAAGTGCTGCCGGCGGTGGCCAGCAATGCCGACGGCATTCAGAAACTCATGGTGCAAGTTGCGGACCTGCTAAAGCAAAAGGAAGCGACGGCGAATGCGTGGCAGGCCCAGTACAACATTCGATCTCAATAATACCATAACACCCTCCTTGTTCAACGTTACTCGAGCTCTAGTTACGACCGAGTACTGCCGCCCACCATTCTCGTCTACAACACGTTCATGGTCACCACGAACGACACTCAATCCCTTGCTTCCTACCTGCAACACGACGTTGATGGCCTTAACGTGGTCGTACTTGGTGTTGGCCAAGTTCACTTTGTCGTCGGAAATGCTCTGCTGCCGTTCCAGCATCGCCTTGAGTGCTTGAATCGCGTGATCCTACAAGGACGCCCATATACATCACTACCTTCGACCGCCCTGCTATACCTTTTGCTTGATCGTCTTCTCGAGCTCCGCCACTCGATGGTCCTCATGAGAAGGTTCGTGGGGGATCATGCCGACGGAGGAGGAGGACGATGCACGTGTCCGCGCGCCATTCTTCTGGAGCGCCGTACTCCACGTGTACTTGAGGTCTTGCATCTCGAGCACATGACTCTGTCGCAACCGGTCCATCTCTGTCGCGTGAAAATGATCCCATTCCGCGACTTGCTACACTCACATCACACCTTGTCATTGGCATCATATATATATATCCTGTTCAGTCAATACTAGGATACATGTACTCATTTGCATATATATATACATATATATATCCTGCTGTCAGTCAAAATGCATGATATATATATATTCTGTTCCGTTGATATGCATGTACGCATTTGCATACATATATCCTGCTGTCAGTCAATATGCACAGGGTATATATATATATATATATCGTTATAGCAATATATAGAGATAGACAGATACCCTGCTCAGCCCAATACAGCTGTAAATTCGAGCTAGATATGCACTACTTGGCTCGGCCAATATATATATATATATATCCTGCAGCATACAAACTACCTTGGTCAAGGCATCGACTTGGGTTTCCAGTTGCTGAGTATGCGCCGTCCGCCGCCTTAGTTCGTCCACAGCGCCTTCCAGCGCGGCACTCGACGCCGTCAGCGCCTTCAGTTGGCCATGGGATGTCGCGAGCTCGAGTTTCAACGCTTCCACTTGCCCGTGCAATTCCAGGTTTTGTTCGCTCGAGAGTTTTCTGTCGGTGGCATACTTGGATATCCGCCGCTATCCAATATATATATAATATATATATACGCGTGAGAAAAGAACGAGGTTGGTTTGTATATATATATATATATATATATATATACGCGTGAGAAAAGAACGAGGTTGGTTTGTATATATATATATATATATACCTGGACTTCGTGTTCCCACTTGCGTCGCTCCTTTTCAAAAGATAGGATTTGGGTGCGCTGGCCGTGCATTTGCTTGTGTAAGCAGCGGTTGACTTCCTTTTCTACTTTTAACTCGCGCTGGTACCACCACTCCTTGGCGTGGGACCCCCGCAGCGCCGCGGCATGGGCGCGTACTTTGAGCATGTTGGCATGCATATCGTCTCTAGCAAACGAGTAAAAGGGCTGCATCATCCACGACACAACTGGGTCTGTCTTAGCATCATGTTTCCATTTGGAAGCGGCAGCACTAGAAGAAGGCGAGTCTACTGACGGCGGCGTGTCGTGGCTAGGTTGTACGGCCAGCCACGACACCAACCCCGCACTGGTATCTACCAAGGCGGGCGACGACGACGACGATAACGTTGGGTGAGCAAATAGACGGGGGTGGTGCCGCAGCTGAAGGAACAGCGCTTGCACGGTCGATCCCGTTGCTGGCGGAAATAGCTCCGTTGAGGTCAAGTTGGTGTGGAAGTAGCTCACGCATTCCCACGGCGCCAGCGCATATACGCACCGAAACACATAGGCCACGAGCCCCAGCGATGTTGACTCCACCACAGAAGTTCCCTCTGGACGCCGCCCGGTAGAGTCGTCGTGGGTCGTCGGTTGTGCGAACGACCCGCCAAGGCATACGAGCCATCCGTCCTCGTCAAACTTGCCAGTTAGCTCCACCAGCACCTCGTCACTCGTCTGTTTGTTGCTACTGCGCACGGACACGTCGAGGTTGGCGAGCCGGCTAGGGGTGCCGATCCATGGGTACTCGTGCTTGGATGTGGTAAACCGGATGGCGCCCACGAACGTACGGCGGCTGCGGGGGTTCTGCTGGTGATGATACTCATAGTTGGACACGTCCACGCACGTGATAAACTCGTGATGATCCAATGCCAACACTTGGCGCGTCGTGCGGAATGTATCATGGAGGGCCGCGGCGTCGCCGCGCAGCGGCAGCACATGCACCCCGCCAAACTCTACAATATATATATATATATATATAATATATTGTATGTACTACTCAAAACATTTCCTCTGGTGGTTGGTTGAATGAACCGCCAAACAATCGCCGGATCTTCGAAAGTTCATATAAAACGAAGTTGAAGAATGACTGCAAGACTACAATCAATCTTTTTAGCCAATCAAACTGCAACCTTCATTCTTTATATCCAATCATACTCCGTTGCTCGCGATTTCATCAATCCCCCAAAATATAGGCAATTTTTACTGAAATGCGAAGAATGGATATACTACTTCATATAGTGTACCGTCGTGGAGGGTCACTCGAAGCGCGCGGATGCCTGCGCCGCCCGTAGTGTTGGATTTCGCTGATCCGATCCACAATTCAATCTGGTGGAGCCCATATCCACGTGGCACGCTGTCGTGAAAGGTCGTTGTGGGAAGGGGGTCGTCGAGGGTTGTTGGTATTGGAATAGGCGGTTTCGTCGCCCAGTGCGTCCAATACGTGGCAAATGCAGAGTGCACTTGATCGGGTTTGAAGATCGGGATCGCGTCCGCGAGCTGGGCGTGGTCCCACATGGTCACGTCGGAGGGCGGTACGAGTGGCCGCGGCAGGACGGCCGCGCATGCTGCGATGGCGTGCCAAAGCAACTCGAGGACGTCCGCGATGGCTGAAGACGATTCGGTCCATATGGACGCGGCAGCTGCGGGTAGGAACAGCGCGAGAAACCACATTTGGAGTACGACAGTGGCTACGCCTTGACGAGGAGGCGGTGGCTGCACCAGAAGAGACCACAGGGGTGTCGACACGAATGTGACACTGTCAAACCAAGGCTGTATTACGACATGGCCTAGCAGAACCCATCGATGCATGGTCGCTGGGGTGGGGACGAGCTGGTGGTCAGGGGACATGAGGAGGTGCATTGCCGTGTAAAAGACACTGGGCTTGGCGTGAACAACATGCAAGAGCGCATTCAACTCGATGCTGCGGTCGGACACTTGCGTGACACTGCTACACGTACTACTTTGACCTGCGACGATGTCAATCAACGCTTTCAAGCACGTGTGGTGGCTTGTTGTCGATTGAGTGTCGAGTACGCACACGGCGACTAAGAAAGGCTCCAGGACGGACTGCAGCTCTAGCGTGGACCCTTGACCACACCATTTCAATGCCACGGATGCCCATGCGGATAAGATGGTGTGAATGGCGCTCTCGCACTCGTGCAAGACAGGGTGGAACGCTTGCACCAATGGAAGGCCAAATTGGAAGAACACGATGACCTCTTCTTCGCACATGCTCGATGCGGCATGCTCGTCCTGGCCACACGGCACGACCTCGCGTACATCCCGAGTGCTAGTGTCGGACGAAACTTCCGACTCGGTCAAGTCAGAAACGAGACCGAGCTGCTGAGACAGGGTTCGCAATGCGAGCACTTTGGCATTGGTACTCCGTTCGATCTCTTGAATGAAGGCATGCAGGACATCTTGGTCAACATTCTTGTGGCGAATGCAGTGCACCACATCGCCCACCACGCTCGTCGCCGCCGCCGCCATCTGAGAGTTTTGATTCCAGTAACGTTATCCAACATACAAATTCACTTTTTTTCGTGCAAATTTTATCGCTTTTTCTAACATACAAATTCACTTTTTTTCGTGCAAATTTTATCGCTTTTTCTAATTTTTGCGTATTTCGGGTGCACAGAACGTACGTACAGGCGTACATTAGGTGTACGTACTAGTACATTCCAATGGTCATGTACTATAGTATTACTATTAGTATGCGTTGGGTGGTTTGCCAGCACCTCCTGTGTCATCTCGATAACCAAACTTGACATGGACGACACCAACCTCACCGCGCAACAGAAGAACGAAGTCATTGCACGGGTACGCGTCTTCTCCCTCCCATTACAAACAGCGCACAGACAGAAGCAAGAGCCTTATCATATCTGTCTGTAGGTCCGTGCTGAGGTCCAACAGCAAGGCCTCCAGGAGCTGACCCAGGCCGTGCAGGAAAAGTGCTTTAACAAGTGCGTCACCCGGCCACAAGAACGACTTGACAGCAAGCAACAACAATGCTTGTCCATGTGCATTGAGCGATACATCGATACGATGAAAGTCGTGTCGGCCTCGATGATGCAGCGCGGCCAACGGGTATGTAGTAGTACCACGTGCATCCCATACCTGCTGACACTTCCATATACCTCGCTCTCTCCAAATGTGTCGTTTGATCCCGATTTTTGTAGGGCTAGTCACCACGGTCACTCGTTCTGCACAGTTTTGCTGCTGCTATGTCCAGCAGCAGTGACTTGGTTGCATATCAAGCGCATTCGGTTAACGACGAACGTCTTCTTATCATGGCTTTGGTTAACTTTGTACTACCGGTAGTATACGGTACACCAGTCGAACACGAGATTCGTGATGTGGGTAGAGTTCATAGATTTGTGGGGGCGGCTTCATATGTCCATGGCGCACGTTGGTATGGCTAATCGAGCTGCCGGTAGTTGGATCTACAGTAGCACGTACCCTTCCATGTGGTCCAGCATTGAACAAGGTATGCAACCAACCCAATAAAAATAGAACGAACAACAGTGGTGTGTCGATCCCCAAATCCCAAGGATACATTTGATACTGTTATTGAACCAAACTTCGCATACAACAGTCCGTCGCCTCCCCGCCGATGCGGAAGACGACGAAGTTGGTGGCGAAGAATCACTAGAATACACTCGTGGTTGTATGTCGAGAGATAACTTAGTTCTTTTCTTCGGCCTTGCGGACCAAGTCGGTCAACGCAGCGTCGCCTTCACCCTTGGCGCGGATGTAGCCGGACAACGCGTATACGTCGTTTTGGCCGGTGTAGACACCGTTGGCGTCCACCTTGGCGACGGCGATCTGCACGGAGGCATGGTCCTTGGCCGACAAGATGCGGTTGGTCCACGAGCACTTGCGGGGGATGTAGATGTCGATGTTTTGGCCAGCGTCGTTTTGCATCTTGGAGGGGTGGAGAATTCAAGAATGGCCACCAATCGATGGGGTATCGGAGTATTCGTTTTCACAGGTTTTCCAGCCTCCTGCCATTCAAGCTGTACGTACGTTACCTGCCACCCATACAAATTCTAAGTCAACTGCCATGAACTCCAATCCTTTCATGAACCAAATTGACTTGGATTTTGTATGCCAAATTATGTTTTTCTATTTTTTAAAGTGCATACAAAGACAAAGCTATTTTAAAACAACGAGGTGTATCGCCATCACCCCATATATCTCAACACGTACGATGTCCCGGTTCACGAAGAAGGGACGCCCGCCGCCAGGGTATGAGTACATTCAACCTGTGATGGATGCGCTAGAGAGCGAGCTGAGAGAGCGCACCACGGATCCACATGAAGGCTTGCGCAAGTGCGAAGCCATGTGGCCCATCCAGCAAATCAACTGGCAGCGAAGTCGGTACGTTTACGACATGTACTACAAATACAGCAAGATCTCCAAAGAAGTGTACGAGTACTGCCTGCGCATGAAGTTGGCCGATGCCAACTTGATTGCGAAGTGGAAGAAGCCAGGTTACGAACGTCTGTGCAGCACGTTTGCGATCAACTCGAAGAATTACAACTATGGGACCGTGAGCATTTGCCGAGTGCCCAAGCACCAATTGGCAGACGCACAGCAGATCCAGGAACGGCATTCGGGATGCCGCGGGTGTGCCTCTGGTCCCGGTGGGTACCACAACATCTTCGGCAACAAGTATGGCCAGCACTTGGCTGCGATTCAGATCATGCGCGAGCGCCGAGGGGGCGATGGCGTGTGGGCTCAGAACGAGGCCGCGGACGTGTCGGATGTGGAAGAAAGCGACGACGATGACCAAGCATCAGTGCCGAACGAAGTAGACGACGAGACAAAGATCGACCCCGACGAAGAAGAAAAAGAAGAGGTGGACGAGGAGGCCGCCGCCCCCAACGCCAAAAAGCGAAGAACCGATTAACAATCATCCTAGCAGCAATGCCATCTTGATCTCTTACGTCGGTTGCTCGCGCATAATGAGTTGCAACCACCTGCATGATATCCACACAAGTACAATAGACGACATCACGCCTTCACTGCAATATGAGATCTGTACACCAACTCATGTTGCAACGCTTCCTCTCGAATTGCCTACCTTTAGTATGTAGCGCCTTGTCCATCTCACTGTTGACGTAACAGTGTCGCAGGTTTTTCAGTTTTGCAAACGAATGTATGGCCGACCTCCACAGACAGATGTGTTTACTCGTGGCCATTGACTTGCATTCTGTAGCGCTCTGACAGGTCGTCCACGACCCTTATGTAGCATTTCTCTAGATGTTTATATGTGCGACACCACAGATGTATGTCTTAATCGACTAACAGTAAATTCCGTTTTTACGTTATTTGAGACTACTTGGATACTGAATTGTAGCTGAATTAACTGTAATGATATACAACGACATAACGTAAAATGCCAATTATTTATGACATACAACTTTCATTTGATTTCAAAACATGGGCATATCTCCGTCCTGCTTCATCATGATCGAATTCTAAATACTACTCCTAAAGGTAGAGAAATCCCTGGTGAAAAACCCATAATTAACATGTTCTTATGCCCTTGGGCAAGGCTTGGAGTCTTTATAGACGCAGAACCTCTATAATTTTGAATTTGTATTTTAACCTTCCTTTTGTATGTCATTGTAAATAGAAATTCAGAGGTTCACTGTATGATTGGTGCATATTCAACTAACGATCTATGATTAGTGCATTTTCGTACGACCTAAATTGACACATACGTCATAAATTGGCACTTTACGTTGTCGAATATATTGTGTTCTGCAGTCGTATTACCGTATAGTGTATATGTACTGTATTGCGACGGATTAATCTATTGCGACTCCTGTAATAACTGATAATTTTCTTGTAATAACTGATATTTACTTGTGAATATGTTGAATATACTTCAAATTTGTATGACGCAATGGATTAACAAAATTTTGAGAACGAGTGTCGGCCGGTTGGATATTGATTTGCAAGGCTTTTCTTCCAATACTCTTGCGCCGTTTGATTGGTTCTTGAACATAGATTTTAAATTGACTGTGAGTCATATGTCTTAACTGTAAATTGATTTTTTACGTTATCTATTTTTTACCTATTCTCAACCAGTGGGTTGATAGATTTCTGGAGGATGAAAAAGATAACGCTAGGCCAGGTCTAATGCCACAAAAAATGGCATAAAATGGCCGTTTTCGAAGAAAATTCGAAATTTTCCATTTTTCGAGATTTTGTGCGTCTGGATGCCACCAAAGTTCAAAACTCTATGCCACAATTTTCTTGAGAATCAGGTGTTTTATGACATGTAAAAATTGGTCTAACTTTTTTAGGGAGGTTTGTGTTCACGTTGAAGTCTTGCACTTCAATCGGAAATCGAATATTTTTTTCCAATATTTAGCTGGCATCCAGACAAATTTGGAGATACTTCTTTTCTCGATTTTTTTGTGGGATATGAAACTTTGGGAATTTTTTTTTGCAGACTTGCCTTATGGCATAACTTTATGGGGTGGCATCCAGACCAGCCCTTAACTTATTTTTCACTCGTGGCTCAAATAAATAACTTATTACTCGCTTCAGAGATTATTTCGAATAACGTTAACTTAGGGTGCGTCGGGTAACATTTCAAAAATAATATTCCATTTTCTCGCAAAATGGGATTACTACACCATTTTGCAGTTAAGTTGGACGAATGCCCGATATATTTGGTGGTGTGCCCGATATAATTGGCCATGTGCACGTTTAATTTGGCACACGGATGTCGTTTGCCTGATATATTTGGCGATGTGCCCAATATAATTAGCCGTGTGCCCAAGTAATTGGCCATCTGCCCGATGAATTGTGTCATGTGCTTGATGAAAATGGAAATCACGCAATAAAATGTCAATTCAATATAGAAATGGTCGTCAAACGACACATGACGCATCGTTGCTGTGACGTCACATACCCACGCCCATGTTGCCCATGGCCTCCGCGCGTCCATCGAAGGTGCGTGCGTACCTTGAGGTAAATCGAAAAATGAACTCTGCGCGCGACAGATTCAAATTTTGGAGGGAATTGACGTATGGACGAAACGTTGTTGTAAAATATACTTTATTCAAGTATAAATTTCGAATGATCTTGCATCTTGCCTTCGCGCGTTTTCCTCCGAACTTCAACCACATGATGTTTCCACCAAAACTGATTTGCACACCATGGAATATAATTATTTGAGTTATTTCAATTTCATCGGGCAGATGGCCAATTACTTGGGCACACGGCTAATTATATCGGGCACATCGCCAAATATATCGGGCACACGACATCCGTGTGCCAAATTAAACGGGCACATGGCCAATTATATCGGGCACACCACCAAATATATCGGGCCCACGGCCAAATATAACGGGCATTCGTCCAACTTAACTGCAAAAAGGTGTAGTAACCAAAATGCCATTTTCAAAATCGAGGTAAAAGATCCATTTTGTAATATAGCGTTTTGGACTGCTTCAACGAGTAAATCCCACGTGGAATTATTGGATTTGGGTTAAAACTCTGCAAGCAAGACATCTTTCAATTTTGATGAGATTTGATGAATTCGGCCCTAAAATGGCGCTTTGGGACTGAATACAATGTATTGCAATATTTTCGGTTACCAGACGCACCCTTAAATTTATCCAAGATCTTGAAATTGGTGCTATTGAATCTGGACATTCACGCAATTAACTTGTTGTAAGTGCACTGTAGCATTATATTCTAGGCTTTCCGTTGCTTCTTGCGCATTTGGCTAAGCCAAAAGGGCGATCGCACTCAAAAATGACCATCACTCACGACCCTCGCTGATTGGCTCAAAATTAGGTCACCACATTTTTGAGGTCGAGGTGAGCCACGATAATGCGAGAGGCGGCATATGGGTGGAGCAATATACTGTAGATTCGTCAAACAAGTTTCGTCGGTTGTCAGTATACAGTTACATCCGAATACATGTTGAGTTTGAAGTACTACGTAGTATTGATAATTATCCTGCCTATTGAAATTTATTATTTATTTTGCCGTTGTAGTTTACTATTAATAGTAGTTATCTATTTTTCTTGATTGTAAGAAAAGATAACTCATCTATTATGGTGGTGGCGCCAAATAATCTATTTTCCCTTCGAATAAAAAATACTACTAGTAGTATATTTTACTTACTATTAGTAGATTTGTTTTTGAGAACCCCTGATGGTGTCTATCTATACAGTACGTACTGACATCTAACTCGTACTAACGTTAACGTTACATAGATCATTATTGTCAAGTCGATTCGCATTTCCAGTGGGGTGCTCAGGCCAATCAATCTTCACAATTTTTACATGACGTTACAAAATCCACAGCACCAATCACTGACTTTGGTGAATATTATCAATGACTCCTCCAAATATCCCACTTTGGCTAAAAGCTCAATACGATTAACAAGCGATTTTATGCGATGGGTCTTGACGGAGTCGCCATGTATAGCGGCGGCGGACTGGGGTCTGCAAACTCGTCGTAGTTGTACCAGTCCACCTTGTCCCCGCCGCCTTGTTCTTCGTCGCTACTACCCCCACTCGAGCCATCATCGACAAACTCTTCGTTGTCGTACTCGATCACTTCGGCTTCCGTGTCGTCAAAATCGTCGCTGTACCCGAGCTCGACCGCGGCCGAAACCTGCCGCGCACTGGACAACCACCCGCCGCCGCCACCACATGCAACAACCTCGTCCACCGATGTCTCGAGCGTCAGGTCCTCGTCGTCAAAATCCGAGTCGTCACTGTAAAAGTTCTCTTCAGCGTCGCATTCGCTCATGGACGTGTACGGTCCATCGTCGTCGCCAGACTCGATTATTCCCTGACTCGTTCGAGCCTCTAGCATGTTGTCTTCGTCCAGCGACATCGACGACGACGGCGACATGGACGACGTGTTGCGCTTGGTAATTGAACTAGCTAATTTGACTCCCGCATGTTTGAGACGAGGCGAGTCGGGGTGTCGGGGGGGTAGTTGTTGGTCGGATGGTTGGAGGGCCTTGCCGACTACATGCGGACGGAGTACGTGGTGTTTCTTTGGCTCCACTCGATGACGTGGCAGCGCGTGTGTCGATGATGGGGGGGGCTGGCGGTGGTCCAAGGTCAGGGCTTGTCGGCGTCGGGTCCCTTTGTGGCCTAACCATGAACGGCTGAGCATGGATTGGTGGAGGGGGGGCTGCTGTGACAAGGGGGGGGGCGTTCAAACCGTAGTCGATGTGGATGCTGTCACTGCACTCTTCCGAGTACGCGCTCTCGTAGTTGGGTTTAATCACTTCGTCGCCGCCGCTGTGTCTAGTGTCGATGGCTTCTTCCACTTCGTCCGTCGTAGTGGTGGTGACCACCCACGCCAGTCCTCGCTCGGGGTTTCGACGAGGAAAATTCCCCTCCACAGCTAAACATTGAGGGGGGCTGCCGTGGACCACCAAAGTAGGCGTCGCACCAAGCAAGGAAAATTCCTCGTCGTCCACACTCGACAAGTACTCGTACGTTGTTGTCTCGATAGGAACGTTCCCACTTGAAGGACACATAGAATGGGGAGTATTTGCACTCTCAACGACGTTCTCGTCCATCAAATGACTGGCGAGGGGGTCGGGCACATCTCTCGCATTCGATTGGATGGCTACCACATCACAACATCACAGTAAGACACAAGCAGCGTGTTCGTGAGAAATTTGTACAAATATATATATATATATATATAATGGTTTTTCAACATCACAGTAAGACACAAGCAGCGTGTTCGTGAGAAATTTGTACAAATATATATATAATGGTTTTTCAGCGTGTTCGTGAGAAATTTGTACAAATATATATATATATATTAAATAATGGTTTTTCTATTCTTTGATATTTCACGAAAGCATGCCATACGAGGTGTGCCAGAGAAACATCGAAATCAAAGTCTGTGTACCTTGGACGTGGGCTTGAATCATCGGCATGTGGAGGATGGCGTCGATGGAGGGTCGTTTGGCAGGGTCTTTTTGAAGCAGGGCTTGCAGCAGCGATGTGAATTCCACGGGGTAGCATGGGGGTAGAGGCGGAAACTATCGCCATCTTGTTCATCACACACACATGTGTTGTAGAAGAAGGACAAGGTACACGTACGTCGTGCTGGATGATCTTGACAATCAGCATGAGGATGTTGGGGGCGTCGAACGCGTGCTTTAGGGTGCACACTTCATACAAGACACACCCGAGAGCCCAAATGTCGGACGCGTACGAGTACGGCTTGCTCTCGCATACTTCGGGGCTCATGTAGTAGGGCGTCCCGACCACCGTCTTGGCGTGGTCCATGGTCGAGTCCAACGTCCGCGCGATGCCAAAGTCGCCGAGCTTGACAATGTTCTGACGGGTCAAGAAGATATTGCTCGTTTTCAAGTCGCGGTGGAGGATGTGGCGCTGATGGAGGTACTTGATGGCCAGTGCCATCTGCACAAACCAATCCAGGACAAGAGTCGGCGGAAACAACGCCCCGTCGTCGGCCTTCAATGCCTTGATGCGGGCCGTCAAGTCGCCGCCGTCGCAGTATTCCATCACAATGTGCAACACCGTCCCTTCAACAAAGTTCTCCTTGTACTGTACGACGAACGAATGGCGTAACTTGGACAAGAGCTCGACCTCTGCAAACGCTTGCTTGGATTCCTTGTCTGTCATGAGCTCAATGGGAATCTTCTTGACGACATACTTGTGGCCCGACGTGATTTCCGTCACAAGGTACGCACATCCATAGCTACCACGTCCGATGCATCGCTCTTCCAAGTATTTGTTCATGGCGTCAGCGACGGAGCTGGCACGCCAGTGCTCGGATGACCAACGCGGCGGCGGGCGTTGTGATTACTAGAATTGTCGTCCGGATAAAATCCAAGATCCATGTCGAATTCCGGACAAGTCTATCTTCCGGTAATCGCGACGGTTCGTCACATTTTATCCGGTACATAGACTCCTTGTCATGCACAGGGATCATCAATAATACTAGTATACTACTTCGAAGTACTACGTAATATAAATATTATAATATATTGCAATACCTACAATTAGTAATTGATTATATGAATAATCCAATGCAATATACGTAGTACTTATTATTATCAAGCCACAATAATCGATATGTTGACTGTTTGACCAATACAATATACCAATAAATATTTTCAATACCAAAGACATATTGTGAAAATAGTACCAGTATGAAATCATTGCCATTATTTATACAGTTCCACAAACAATTGGGACTTTTGGGGGTGTACTGTAACTGCTCAAATTGAAGTACATGGATGGGCATAAATAAAACGATGTACAGTAGCCGAGTGTTGCATAAAACACTTTCGTAAATGCCCCGAAGTCTCCCGGACCGAAAGAGTACAGCGATGAACATGCTATCACAATACTTGTCACTCGATGATCACATATCTACAATAAACCAGTATAACATAGAGTCGCGCCACTTTGTATAGTGAAGCGGTTGAACTGTTATGGCCACTACATTCCCAGGAAAGTGCTGCGTTATACAGTATCATACTTCATATACGTATAGTACTATCGTTGTAGTGAATTCTCAATTATTGGTTAGGCTCGAAATCGAGCTGCCACAATTGCTGTCAATGCATGCTGCGAAGCAAAAATTATGGACTTGGTTTGATTCCACTATATTTCTTCACATAAATGTATTTGTATAGATATCTCCTTGTGTTGTAGCTGTTGCGGCACCAGAAGCAGTTGTTAGCTAGCTTATTACCATGGGAGGCTATTGCCACGAATTATGCATATTCAAGCGATGAGATAGATACAATTGATTGATTTTGGTTTGTGTTACTGTATCAAAGGTGGCTGTTGATCTTGGACAACACAAACCAAATCAATTGTATCTGTAGAACCACGGCAAGCGGGTTTGCAAAGTCGAAACGAGCATTTTGCTTGTCCGAGCTGGTGGCCGTTGCTCCACACACTGTAAATGCAAGAAGTGCAATACTGAAGGATGCACTGCCATGTCACAACAACGTAGGCTCTGCCGCCCTTGTGGCGGCATCATTTCGTGTAGTGTGGGCGACTGTGCCAAGCAAGCTCAGATAGCTGGAATATGCAAGCGACATTTTAAGAGCAATATTGACAAATATTGCTCTTAAAATGTGAATAGTAGTATAACTGTACAATATAATAACAATATATCAAAGAATATAGTGTTATTGTTATAATAACGAATATAGCGTTATTAGACAGATTTCGGAACACGTTCCCATGCATTTGCCGTCAATTTACCTCGTTAAAATTTATCGAGTTTACGGGAACTGTCAAAATTTATGTGGGATGCCGTAGAAACGGCCATTTGTACGGCAAAGGTCACCCCTCCTCTAGGGCTTCATCATTGGTCGGTGTGGATTCGCCACCACACATGCAAGCATACGGATATCGTTCCTCATGCGGATGTGGTAAATGCAAATAAGTTTTGTCGAAATCATGAGTTGGGTCTGCCACATATTTCCCGTGCATTAAATTTTCCGTGCGTGGGAAGTCTACGGCAGTGCTTCCGAAATCTGTCTATTGTTACTGGTATATTTCAAAGTAATAACGTTATTCTTCGAAGTTGATGCTCGTCACCTATAAACTACCAACTTTTCACAAATTTTTCTGACTTCTATTTCGTATCCATTACTCAAAATTTCAGCAAATTGAGACGTAGAATCGACAGATCTCGATGTGGTGAAGAAATTCTAAGTCTCAGATTCAAATTTGGTGATGAATTGGTCCAGAAATAGATATTTAACCTAGTGGTATTTTACATGGGCGCATGGATATTTGGACATAGGGGTGGCCGGAGAGATGTATCTTGATTTTTGTACGTGGCTCTTATCCGTATATAATATCCGGAGGTACTTGGGACCTTTAACCTCCCACTGCAGTGATAAAACGCATGAAATCAGTATTTAACGTATTTAGTTTTTAGGCTTAACTGCATTAATTGTACGTTAAATAATAAAACCTCCACCTTGTCGATTTGGCCAGTTGGAAGTTTTTAGATGACGTGCATCATGTACGTATAGAATTTAAAACACAAATGTTAGGGTAATTAGCATGAATTTATACAGGTATCATATGTCTAGAGATTGCCTTTGTCCAATGAAAATCGATTTAGGGTTTGATAGGATGAATAAGTCGGCACATCAATGCACAATCGTATCGACTTCAATGGATTGACTTGAATAAAGTATACTGTTGCACCTGACTTCAACGTTTCGTCCATACGTCAATTCCCACCAAATTGTTTTGAATCTGTCGCGCGCAGAGCTCATTTTTCGATTTACCTCAAGGAACGCACCCACGATGGGCGCGCGGAGGCCATGGGCAACATGGGCGTTGGTATGTGACGTCACAGCAACGATGCGGCTTGTGTCGTTTGACGACTATTTCTATGTTGAATTGACTTTTTATTGCGTGATTTCCATTTTCATCGGGCACACGACACAATTCATCGGGCACATGGGCAATTGCTTGGGCACACGGCCAATTCTATCGGGCACACGGCCAATTCTATCGGGCACACCGCCAAATATATTGGGCACACGACCAAATATACCGGGCATTCGTCCAACTTAACTGCAAAATGGTGTAGTAGTATATGCTTAGTATATATATAATATATATACACGCTGATGGATGTGCAATTTGCACTGGCAGGATCAAAGGAGAGGCAGTAAATTGATCGTGTGCTTCTTCTCTAAACCTATCGGTCGACAATGTCTTCGTTCTCGACGGCACTTGGTGGCGTCGCTTCTCCGTGTCCGTCCGGTTGGACATTCTCGTCGTCTTCTGCGGCTCCTCCTCGCAACGGGTACACGGGCATGATCTCGGCCGACCCGCAGCAGCACACGTCGCCTTCGCACGCCATGAATGCAAACGCAACCATGCCCACAAACATGACAAACATGACCATGTCCGTGTAGAAGAAGATCATGCCTTGCATGTACTCGTCGGGGCTCAGGCGCTGATTCATGCATGATGCGTCATATGCGAACCAGAACGACAAAACCAAAATCGTGGCGCAGCACATGAAGAACGTGGTCGTGCTGAACACGTTTCGGAGCGCTGTAAAGTATACAAGACTTGCCACGGCGAACGCGACCGCGAATGCCACGGCCACGCTCGGCATGTAGCCATAGAGCGTGTCGTCGGCTTTTTTGATGGTACACAGCACCCCCAAGACGGACATGACGACAAATGTGAGCGCGAACACAAATAGGCTGACGTGCATGCCCAGGTACGCGTCGACGCCGACGAGGAACACGGACATGCACACAGTGTACACGCCCAGCACGACAAAGTTGGTCGGGTAGTTGTACTTTTTCAAGTACAACGCGAACAAGAGCACGATCGTGGCGGCGAAGATGGCCACGAGGGGCCAAAACTCCACGAACGGCGCTTTGAGTCCGGCAATGTTGGAGAAGGCCGCGATGAGCCCGACGACCACGAGCAGTTGCATCGAAAACAGCTCAAACAGCTTCCGTCGAAACCCGATTTGGATCTCCAGCGGCATATTGTCGACAATAAACGGATCGTCGACGGGGTTGACGCCGTTCTGAAAAATCGACAGCCCGATCATGGTGCTCGTGCTCATGTGAGCGTGCTCGTAGTGCGACTTGATGCGCTCAAAGAACTTGTTGTCGCCACCGCCCTTGGCGATCTGTTGTCTCTCCAAGTGCTGGAGGAAGATGGTGCCACGCCGATAATGGCTGCGGGGCTTGACGACCGTGTCGGGCTTCTTGCCTTTGATGTGCCCCCACAGATTCTGGATCGTTTTCCGACGGGTGTTGGAAGCCATGGCCATGAGGTCCCCAGCGAGGGCAGAGGGTGGTGTTGAGAACGACTGCAGGTCAAATCGGGAGCTATCTACCGGTAACGTCGGCGGCGGTGGAGTGACTGGCAGGACTTCCGACACTTGGTCGTCCTTTTCGTCGGGGGCTGCATCCGGCTCCATCATGCTTTTTTTACTCTGTTCTTGTCCTTCCTGTTGTAATCACGGAGGTGAGCCACGTTCCCACACACACACCACCAGGATACGATAGTTGGTGTCGCCTTGAACTAGTCAACGACTCCTTCCCGTCTTCTTGAGATGAAGTACACCGAGTGGAGAAACGGTGGAAGGACTGCAAAAATAGCCTCCTCGGTCGTTTTTACCATCGCTATTTATAGGGAACGGTCCTTTGTGCATGGAATGCTCAGGTGCGATCCATCTTGGGCGATGGGCCAGCTCTTGGATCACAAATGGTCATGCATGCAATATTCCACGAAATTATTATATTATAGCAATAACAATACGGTGAATATTGTATTGTTCTTGAGATCTCACATGATTAATTACGGGTTTCGAAAGGGCCATATCAATACCATCGGTATACTGTATTAATAACAGTATATTCTATTCCAGTGAATACTGTACTTCGATTGACAGTGTGAAGTCGAAATTTTTACTTGAATAAAGTATACTGTTGCCCCTGTACTCCAACGTTTCGTCCATACTTCAATTCCCACCAAATTGTTTTGAATCTGTCGCGCGCAGAGCTCATTTTTCGATTTACCTCAAGGAACGCACCCACGATGGGCGCGCGGAGGCCATGGGCAACATGGGCGTTGGTATGTGACGTCACAGCAACGATGTGGCATGTGTCGTTTGACGACCATTTCTATATTGAATTGACTTTTTATTGCGTGATTTCCATTTTCATCGGACAATTCATTGGGCAGATGGACAATTGGTTGGGCACACGGCTAATTATATCGGGCACACCGCCAAATATATTGGGCACACGACCTCGGTGTGCCAAATTAAACGGGCACATGGCAAATTATATCGGGCACACGGTCAAATATATCGGGAATGATTGGATGAAATGTTTCGTTAGTGCACTTTGATTGGCTAGGACATTCTCAAATTCACTTGTCAAATTAATTCGATTGTACTACTAGTACTCGGAAGTCGAAATTGGAACGGATTTGACAAATAACTACTAGTACGTCAGTCGGGTATGAGTACTTTTGATAGATTGGAGTGTTAAATTTATACTACTTACGTAGTACTAGTACAATCTATCACGATTTCAGGCCCTTGGAATGAGCAGGTTTCAACGGCGCCGTGCCAGGCCGCTTTTTGAGTAGCTTCTTGTGGGCTGTAATGTTGAGTTTTCTATCTCCAACAGTATCGCAGATCGGATCAAAAAATGAATCCAAAACGCTATCTAATACTCACTCTAGCGGGGAGATGGGATGAGGTGCCTCCTCTCGAACCCCCACAAGCTCGGCGTTGAGTGGGACAGAGCTTCGATACACCTATGTCAGCATCCCTATCAGCATTCAGCTAGATTGTTTCGTGCACCTTGGACGCAAACTGGCCAATGTTGACCTTCCTTGTGAGGCCGTTGTGCACTAAATCGTGTGCATCTGCGACGTCGTTCTCGGGGTCGCCTCCCGGAAGATCCACAAGAATGTCCTTCATGCAAGACATGCATCTAGCGGCACAAGGCTGCTGCTGCTGCTGGTCCATCGGGTCTTTGGGCTTTAGCATCATCGACTCTTCCAAACTAGATCTCGTAAACTTGAGAAACAATTAAGTAAATTGGACTTTACGCACCCTTTGAGCACCTTCACGTCAGCTTTCTTGCGCAACAGCCGCCGCATATCGTCGACGGCGGCTTGGTTGGCCTGCAATTGCGCCACCAAGTCCTAAATACATCATAAATTGTTTTAAATGTAGATATTTAAAGTATTATATATATGTACGTGGAATTGGTCGGCCGTGCGTTGGTTCGATTGCACAAGATGCTCCTCCACCAAACGCAATCGAGTACCGTGGTCACTGGACTGCATCGCTTGTTCGCGCAATTGTTCCTGTACAAGTACAAACAACTATTAATTTGTATCCATGAATATATATATATATATATATATATATTCATTAATATTCGTTTATATCCACGAATATTAATGTTCTACATCTTACCTGCAACGAATCGTGCCTCACTTGAGCACTGGCTTGAGCCTTGTCCAGTTTCCGATCCATGTCACTACGGGATGTTTAATATGAGTATCCGTCGAACTATTCTTTGAATTCTAATGGTTTCGACTAATATATATATATGATAAATCACTTGCATTTGACTGGCTTTGCCCGCCAGTTTGTCTGCCATGTCAGCATTTACGTGGCGGACATTTTCTTCCAAATCTCGAATTCGGTGCGAGAACTGCACGACCAAGTGCATCTCGGCCTTGTCGTCCGTGATTTTCAGTATCTATCCGATACACATAAATATGTATATATATATAGAAATTTATGCAAAATGAACAAATTATATTCCCAGAAGGATGCAGCCGTACATCTCGATGAAGCGCCTTGAGTTTCAATTCCACCGCGGCCAGAATCTACGATTTAAATAATGCATTATTCAAATGAGTCCAATATATTATTTCAGGTTATGACGTACATTAGTCGACAGATCGTTGTCCTGTTTCTCCAGTAGCAGCGTTAACTAAGGTTTGTTTGTTTACAGTCATGTAAGTCGCCAGTTTATGTCCAAACCTGCTTTTCACCGGCAAACAATTCCTACCGAAACAACACATATATTTCACGTTCATGAGTTGTCGATAATTTTCAAAGAGGCCCAATATATTATATATATATTACCTTGGACTTGCGTTCCAGCAACTCCAGCCGATTGGCAATAGTAAACAATTGCTTTTTCTTGGTGAAGAGTATGTTCTACACGAATACGATCTTACGGCATTACAACGTCGTAGCGCTCTCCAGAATACCTTGGGTCGTTTGATCGTAGCCAGTTTGGAGCGCACTACTTTCCAGCCATGTTGGCCCGCTTCCTTGAGTCGCTGCAACTCTTCCTCACTGGGCTGGACCTCTTCATCGACGCTGTCGCTGCTTTCGTCGGAGCTCTCGGCGTCCTCTTGAGGTGGCCATTTCTCCTGGGAAAGAAGATTGACGGGCGAGGGATCGATGGCGGCGGTGATGGTGTGGCGGTGCTGTTCACGTGGTGATTGGGGACTGCTGGTGGGTAAGCGGGTGGAATGGGGACCAACAGCAGTCTCCTTGGGCACCAACGTTGTTTCGGTTGTCGCGAGCGGTAATGGCATGCCAGCGGTGTGGGAGTATGATTGTGGTTGCGTAGTGGTAGTTGTAATAGTAGTTGTAGTAGCAGTAGTGGCTGTAGAACCCGTCGACTGTGGCTGGGCGTTGGCTAGCAACGTCTGTCGTTCGGCCGCGACAGTCGTTGTTGGGGCAGCGGCTGCTTGCATCGAGGTGGCATGAGGTTTGGCCACACTTGGCGTTGTTTGGGTCGACTTGCCGGCGCTGTTTTCAACGACCAAACGCGATAAAGGAAGGCGAGGAATGGTATGCACAGCTGCTGCGTCGTCTGGAGGGGGCGAAGGGGGCGGCTCGGGGTGACTCGGCCGCCGCCGTTCGAGCTGGATGGACGGGACGTTGGAACCGTCGGCGGTTGGTGTGTGGATCTTGTCGACCTGCGTGGTGTTGGATACTCCGGTTGGCACAGATCGGTCGATGCTGTCTGCCTCCATCTTGGACGCCTCCTCGTATCCGACTGAGATGGTTGGTCCCTTGGATGCTGTCACGTGGCGATTTGGGTCGGTGGAGTTGATAAGATCATCCTTCTTGTCCTCAACGTCGACTAACAACCTCATGTCCGTGGGGGCGATGTTTTCCCAAGGTTCTGCGTGGACTTGCTCAATCCCTATGTCTTCCACTGTGCTTAATCCCTTGGTTGGCGCAGTCACGATGGTCTGCTGACTGTCGTTTAGTATATCCTTTGATATCGCAGCCCTAGGAGTCGTAGCTTCTTGGACGGACAACGCTATGTGTTCCATAGGAACCGCATGCACATTCGCCTTGGATCGGGCAGTATGCGGCACGTCTCTCTGGTCGGGAATGTATCGCGATCGCGGCGAGTCGCGAAGTAGCCGTGCGGAACTGTGGCCTCGGTTGAGCGTCGGGGGAGTCTCTGTCGGGCCAGCCGACAACTCGGCGGTCGGGATGGAGGTTACCAACCCAGCAGGAGACGACAGTGCAGGCGGCGGCTTCTTCCGTCTCTTCTTGGGTTTTTCCAAAGGTTTGGCAACGTGCCCCATGGCCAACGCACTCATCACGTGCGACACCACGGCCGACTTGGACGGCTTGGTCGCCGGCAGGGGAGAGGCCAGCGATGGCATAAATGTGCTCGCGGCGTTGAACGCCTCATCGTTCGTTCCGCCCTCGATGTTGTGCGCAATTATCTTGAGGCGCATGTCCATCTCCACCACGCCCGAGTTGATCGATGCCAGGCACGACTCGAGTGTTTCGATCTTTTGGCACAGCGTCCGTAGAATGTTTTCCAGGGATGTGGCCTGGCTCGCCACCTGCGGAACAAGACCCTGGAAGATTCGAACATGCACAGGAAGGAGAGCGCCGTCGGTCGTGTCCATGTTGTCCATGTTGGCACACCCGTTCCCGCGACAATATTGCGGTTTCATTCAGTAGGACAGTTGCCAGTTACGCACATGTCACTTCGATCAAGCAGCTCAGCTGCCCAGTGCCATCATGCATAGTACTGTTGCTCGTTTGCCTCATGTGAACGTTGGTGGCTGCAAATATGTACGATGAATGACAACCTTCAGTTGCAAACAGCCAAGGTCGGGCGCCTTGCACTGGGTGGGTGCTAGCTGAACTTGATCGAAGTGACATGTAACTGGCAACAGATCAAATTCCAGTCAATCCAAATGCCATTGGTTAAAATAGCCAAAATATCCAGGTCATACTTCAATTTCATTGGATAATAGCCTTCCAATATCCTGCACCAAATTGCTGCCCCACACAATAATTGAACGAAGAAGGATGTCGTGGTGCACCATTGAGTCGGATCCAGGTACCTGCTGTCTGTCGTTGACGATACGGCGAATGTGTACTGATATGCGTGGTGCTGTGTGTATGTGAAGGTGTGTTCACGTCGTTGATCGAAGACATCGGCGTCAAGGGGATCCAAGTCGAGGAGCTGTACTCGTTAGACGACGCGTCGTTCCAGCACATCTCCCCCGTGTTCGGCTTGATCTTCCTGTTCAAGTGGACTCCAGGGCATGCTCCCGCTCCCGCCACGGGGTCGGGATTGCATCACTTGGTATCTCCCGATCTGTTCTTTGCCAAGCAAGTGATTAGCAATGCATGCGCGACGCAAGCGATATTAGCGATCCTGCTCAACCTCGAGTCCCCGCATGTTGTGCTGGGCGACACATTGTCGGAATTCAAAGCCTTCACGCGCGAATTCCCGTCCGATCTGAAAGGCCTGGCCATTTCCAACAGCGACACCATCCGCACCGTGCACAACTCGTTTGCGCGCGCCGAGCCGTTCGTCATCGACGAGGACAAGCGACCGGCCAAAGACGACGACGAAGTGTACCATTTCGTGGCGTATGTGCCATTCCAAGGCAAGGTGTACGAGCTCGACGGTCTGTCCGAGGGGCCAGTGTGCCTCGGCGACATCGCCTCCCTGGTACATCCATCCACCCATCCCATTCCTGCGATCCTCGTCCATCCTCCTCATCGAACTCGCGTAGGACCCGACAGCGTGGTTGAAAGTAGCGACTCCTGTGATCCAGCGCCGTATTGAAAAGTACGCGTCATCCGAAATCCGTTTCAACTTGATGGGACTGGTGCGCAACCGCGTGCAGTTGGCCCAAGACCACATCGCGGCGCTGGCGGAGCAGGACCAGACGGCCGCGGTGGTCGGCCAGATTCAGTCGTGGCAGCAGTGCATCGCCACAGAAGCCCAGAAGCGCGCGAACTGGAAGAAGGAGAACGTCCGCCGCAAGCACAACTACATTCCGTTTGTGATCAAGTTGCTGCAGACGTTGGCCAAGAAAGGACAGCTGGACCCGCTCTTGCAAGCCCAACTGGACAAGGCCATCGCCGCACAGCAAAACGACACAAACAAGGCGTAGAGTTAAAGAAGAAATGGAGGATCGATTGAGAGGGTTAAGGAATGTCGTCCAATCAGTGGGGTGAGAACGCATATCGCTTAGCATCCGCCGCGGAGCTGCAACACCATGTGGATGGTACCTCCGGCCGCGACGTTGTACTCTTGAAGCGTCTTGTCGTCCGCCCTACAGAGTGCGAGAGGCGGTCATACTCGAGGATATGCACCATGACTAGACGTACAGTTGCTTGCCGCTGTAGATCAACCTACGCAGGTGAAACATGTGAGCAATGACATGGGCGGGACGGTCATACCGGATCTGGTCGACTTGGATACCTTCCTTTTCTTGGAGAGCCTGCTTCACATGCAAGATCTACGAAGGAGGGGTTGTTGTTAGGTTGCCGAGAGCGGTCGGTCGGCGAGTCGTACAGTGTTGTCCGGTTCAAAGTTGAACGTTTGCTAGCACAACAAGCAAGTCCATGACGAATGCACGCGTGAGGGATGATACTACCTTTCGTCCTGTTAGTGTCTACACGAACATGCGCCGTTAGATGGATCGACCAAGGGCACATAGGAGCGTCGACGTACCTTGATCTGGATCTGCATGATGAAGGACGTGGAGGTCGCTTGAAAATCTGGTTGACTCGTCCACTTGATTTTAAATAGCACTGACTCGAGAATAAAATAAATGACTTCAATTATATTTTGGAAGATGTATCCAAGGGAAGGAAATAGATTTAATTTTAGGATGACTTCGACCACGTTGTTTTTAAATGCCACGTATCCGGATGACGTAGAGTGTTGGTTGTTTACAATCGTTCTGGTTTTGATGGGCCCCGGGGCACCAGTTTTGGCGCTGGAAATGTCGAATTTGGTTGGCCACAAGGATTGGCTCTTGGTTTCTTCGCATAACTGTGAGCAGCACAAGAAATCATGGTCGCGACTCGACGCTCCACGCGATCTCAAGGTCGAGCGACCCCCGTTGCGGATCCAGTTCCGCCGCCGCCTGCGCCAACCCCAAAGCGACAGACCCGTGGCAAGGCCAAGGTAGTGTTGTCCGCCAGCGCAGAATCTCCCGCCAAAACTCCCGCCGGAACCAAGGACAACGATGAAGTTGACGCCCAAGACGTGACCCCGTCAAAGCGAAAACACACACCCGCAACCAAACGCGCGTCTCCTTCCACCCGTAAGAAGACGACACCTGTGAAGCAGGTGGAAACACCGTCTAAAGCGAGCACAACCGACCCACACAAAGCAACCACCGCCAGGTCTATCGCCATCAGCAGCGATGATGCCGATGTGGAAACAAAACCCGCGATCAACAACGAGGTGGTGGTGACGACAACCCCGTCGAAAGAAGTGCCCTCGAAGAAGAAGGCTTCGCCTGCCGCGAAACAAACTCCCAAGGCGAAGGCAGGCGACAGTGCTGCTGTTGCGTCTGCCACCGCGACACCACCCATTGCGCAGCAGAAATCGAAGTCGACCGAAGTTATTCCGTCCGACACTGAATCCGAAGGTGACGACGAAGATGTTGAGGCTATGGTACGTCGCTCTTTCCATCGCCTCGCGCCGTGTTGATTGGGTGGTGGCTGTAGGTAAACTTGGCGTTAACAGCCTTCACGAGCCCCTCAAACGACGAGGCTGCTCCCATCCAAGACGCAGAAGTCCCTGTTATGAAGGAACTCGTGTCCAACAGACTGCACAGCGGCGTGACCACCCGCGACTTGTACCTCAAGTTCAACGGCAACAAGTGCGCAAACGGGGCACAGCTGGCGTCCGAGCGCAAACTCGTCGAGGAACTCAAGCAGTTTGCCAAGACGCAAAAGGTACAGGCTGTGCAGGACGTCGCCAACGGCAAAGCGCACACGACGACGACGGATGCAGGCAAGAACCAGACCAGCTCCAAGTGGTTCAACATGGTTTCGAACGAGCTCACGGCCGAAGCCAAGCGCGACATCCAGCTGATCAAGATGAGAAACTACATCGACCCCAAGCGCTTCTACAAGTCGAGCGACCACCGCAAGTCTGCCATGCCCAAGGTGTTCCAAGTCGGTACGGTCATCGAAGGCGCGGCCGAGTTCAAGTCGGCGCGCGTGAGCCGCAAGGACCGCCACCAGACGTTCACCGAGGAAATCCTGCACGACAAGAAGATTGGCGGCTACACCAAGCGCAAGTACGGCGACATCCAAGCGGCCAAGGCGAACCCTGGCAAGAACAAGTTCAAGAAGGTCAAGCATCACGCCAACCGCAAGTAGGACGAGGGGTTGTTGATGTTGCCAGTAGAGGGAGTTTTATTTAACATTTGCAACAACCAACGGATGATTGTTATAACTGTACAAACACCAAGGTACAGCGTGATGAAAGTAGTTCAGGTAGTGTTATAATTGAATTTATCAGGTATAACAATACAATCCTTCATCTATCACAACACAGTGTTTGTGCACCTTTATAACAATTATAACAACCATCGTGGACAAAATGTTACACTCTGGAACGAATGGGATTGGTTGGCAGGGTCCAAGTAAGTTGCGTGTGAAAATTCAACATGCAACGGCACCAAGGGGGAACTGGAAGTGGGCTGAGCTTGGAACGGTTCATCCGGGGTAAAGCGCGACCGAACAAGGGCAAAGGAGAGACGGCCAGTGGCAAGCGCAAGCGCGTCGAGAAGGCCGTGCTGCTGCGGAATTACCGCAAGGAAAAGCAACGCGTGAACCCTTCCGCTCCGTCATCTTCGGCCGCTGCAGATGACGATGATGGTGCGTCGTCCAACGCTCCGAAATCGTTTTACGACAAGGTACACAAGTCTTCATCGTTCGTTTTTGTGTGTATCTCATGCGGCGATATATGGCTTCAGTTCTTTGCCACCCTGCACGATGACGGCGGCGACGACAGCACGGCCGCCCGTTCGACGCCCAAAGCCCCATCGACACACAAGCCAGATCCTTTGTTCAAAGCCAAACGAAAAGCCCAGCAAGTCAAGGACGAGCGCACCGTGAAGCGACAAGTGATTGAGCAAAAGGTAAAGGAAAAGGAAAAAAAGGTGGAGAAGCGCAAGAAGCGCCACGTCAAGATGAGTCTGCGCACGAAAACGGGGCAGCCGGTCGTGAAGCACCAGATCAAGGACATCTTGGCCAAGTTGAAGAGCTCCAAGTAATGTGAAGGGCACTAAATGAAAATGAAGTCTGCATAACGTTAGTCCAAGTAGTTGAACCACCAATGCTGCCGACGAAACTGTCACAGCCACAGGTACGTACATACCCCAGGGTGATGCTAGGCCCCGCCATCACTACTACTACCAACCCTGGCAACATCAGTGCTACGTGCTCCTGTGACGTCCATGTGACCCACACAACATTGCAAACAACACGACGGGAAACTAACCAGATCTCGTGTTCTTTCGTGGTTTCCTGTGTTTATCAATACTAAGAGAAGTCGGAGGTCTGGTCAGCCATAGACTACGACCTATTTGGCCATGGGGTGGGCAGCAACGTAGTCGATGACTTGGGCAGGGGTCAACAGTCGTTCGGCTTCGACATCTGGGATTTCAATGATAAATTCTTCTTCAATCGCCATCACGACTTCCACCACATCCAACGAGTCCAAGCCCAAGTCGTCAATGAACTTGGCAGCTTCCGTGAGCTTGGAAGCGTCCACCTTGTTGCCGACGTTCTTGATCACGTTCAACACACGGTCGCTGACTTCGGCGCGATCCAAGAAGGTTTGGGCGGAGAAGGCGCGGATGGCCATGCGAGGGGCAGTCGCATTCAAGCGCACAACTTGCTTGGCGAGAGGAAGAGCAATACGGCTGAACATGATGCTGATTTGGCAAATTTGCTTTACTGGCAAAGCCTGGCCACTCACCAAGCCCCCCATGAACAGTCCTGAACAGGTAGGAAACCGTTATAATGAATACCCTTTCAATTCCTATATTCATTCGGTTCGTCACAAAGAAGTGAGACACAAATCAAGCTAGGCTGGCATTACACTTGAACCTGCCATATTGAATCCCTCGGAGACACGATATTGGATCGGACTAAGTTTGAGTGAATTCGTACTTTACAGAGCGTCCATGCATTAATCACCGCGGTGGGTGATGTTCATGGTGGGGAGGGATCGTACTTAACAGAAGTGGAAAGTTCACTTTGAGAGAGGGAAACCGAGTCACTATAAAATTGTATGTGGTCGAATTGACCGCACACCGAGTGTGGCCACTCGCTTTGGGCAATTGACTAACTACTTCCAAAAACCGAAGAAGCATCAACCATCATCATGGCCGCTCCGTTGTACAAAGATGTTAGCAAGAAGGCCACGAATGTCTTGAACGACGACTACGACTTCTCCCGCAAGTTGAAGATCAAGACCAAGACTGCCAACGGCGTCACCTTCACCACCGAAGGCGCCATGGCCGCCAACAAGAGCATCCTCGCGAAGCTCGGCGCGTCGTTTGTCGTGCCCCAAATCGGCGGCTTGACCGTCAGCAAGTTGCAAGTGACTACGCAAGGTCGCGTGATTGTCGAAGCCGACATTAACAACGCCCTTGTTGACAACTTGAAGGTCACTGCCAAGGTCGAAGACGGCAGCCGCAAGACCAACGCGTCGCAAGTGACTAAGTTGGGCTTGGAATACAAGCAGCCCACGTACACGTTGACCAAGGAATTCGACGTGACTGCCAACACGGCCTCCGTGTCGGCCTTGGCGGTTGTCAGCGGTGTGACCGTCGGCGCCCACGGTGCGTTCAACGTGAACAAGTCGGCCGTGTCCGACTACGGCGGAGCATTGGCGTACAACGGCGGTGACTTCCAAGTGACTGTGGCCACGAAGAAGAGCTTGAAGACCATCAACGCCAACTTCCACCACCAATTCGACGCCAACACCATCTACGCCGCGTCCATCGACTACGACGTCCAAACCGCCGCCAACGCGCTGACCCTTGGCGGCCGCTATGCCGTGGACAAGGACACGACGTATTTGGGCAAGGTCAACTCGGACGGGTTCGTGTCGTTGGCTGTCGTGCAAAAGGTCACGCCATTCCTGTCGTTGACCACCTCCGCCCACATTGATGCCAAGCACTTCGAAGGCGACTCGCACAAGTTTGGTTTGGGATTGACCATCGGTTAAGTTTATAGACACACGTACCTGTTGTGTACCATCCGTGCATCCTTTCACTTATTACGATCTGGTGTTTGCATACGATCTGGACGAATAACAACAACGAAGGTGGTAGACTGTCGAGACTGCGTGCATCAGAATGCATTCATTTTCGCAGCATGATGGATGTCGTGCTGCTGTACCCATCGTCTGCACCTACATACTGTATGTACTGTGCACCCTGTACGACCTGAGCGCACATGGAGGTGTCGCATTATTCAAACTTCAAAAAACATAAAATAGCGGTGGGCATCGCTGATTGGTCATTATTGGTGTGATATTGTCAAGTGGTGAGCAGCACCAAATCGGCAGACAATCAATCGACCAATCAAGACCCACAACACGAATCAAGTAGCCAATCAAATCCACCAATTCCACATGGAATTAGTATGTTTGAATGAAATTAGTGTGAAACTCGACGATTTTACATACAAAAGTTTGTACAACGAATCGATCGATAGATTTGGCGAATTCGAAATTTGGGGTAAAAGGACAATAAAAAGCGTAAAGTTGTAATGACAGCAACGACGACGGCAAGACGACTACTGGAAGAAATCTTCGCGTCGAAGCGAGTCCAATGCGCCATTAGCCTCACGGGCGGTGGGGGCAACGTGTCTGGGGAGATGCTGGGAACATGTGGAGCGTCCAGTACGCTCTTGGAAGTGTCGCTTCCTTACTACCAGCAAAGTTTGGTCGAGTTCTTGAACTTGTCCCCGGACGTCGTCCAACGCGAGGTGCCGACTCGTTTCTCGTTCTCGAGCCAAGAGGTGTCGATTCTGATGGCAAAGAAGTCGCTGGAACGAGCTCGGGCGCTTGTGCCCCTGGACGATGCGGCCAAATGCGTCGGTACGATATATCCTCGTCGGGTCGTCGTTCCGTCCATGATCATCGTCCCTTAGGCATTGGATGCACGGCGGCGCTGGTGTCTCTGCAGCCGCGCCGAGGAAGCCACCGTGCATTCGTGACGTTGTGCTCTATCCATGGCACGTACAACTTCAATCTAAACATGCATAAAGGCGCGCGCAGTCGAAAAGAAGTACGCTGTTGGGTCATCCACCCGTTTTCGACATGTGTATCCATCACGTCATCAACATGATGGTGCTGCTGCTGCTACTGCTCTGTAGGAAGACGAATGTGTCGGGAACTTGATCGTGTTGGCCTTGGCGAAAGCAGCGCGCGTGGACGGTGCATCCCTCCAGACCGCCTTGACCGTCCATGAACTCGACACATTGACCGAACACGCAACGGAATTCGACGATTCGATTCCGTCTTCGTTAATGTCAACCAGTAGCAATAGCACCACCACCACCATCGCCTTGTTCCCCAACAACGTCATCCTGCGCGACATGCCGTGGAAGCACATGCTCGTACTGCCCGGCAGCTTCAACCCCGTGCACCAGGGCCACTTAGAGTTTGCATTGGCGGCGCAGCGCCTCCTTCAATCTATCGACAACAAGGTTGTGTACACACCGCTGTTTGAACTGTCGCTCCAGAACGCAGACAAGGGGGCATTGGCGGACGTGGCAGACCTCTCCCGCCGCGTCCGCGCCCTCGTGGACACGCATAACCAGCGCGTGGTGCTCACGAATGCTTCCTTGTTCGTGGACAAAGCTGCGCTGTTCCCTTCGTGTGTGTTTGCAGTCGGAGCCGACACCGCGGTCCGCCTTGTCGACCTAAAGTACTACGGCAACGACCCTGCCAAGCTGTGGCTGGCGCTGGCGACCATCTCGTCGCACAAGTGCCGGTTTGTCGTAGCTGGACGACTGGTAGAAGGGGCGTTTGTGTCCGCCCAAGACGCCGTCTCGAGGGTCCCCGCGCCCTTTGAGCACTTGTTTGTGCCTATCCCAGAGTCCACGTTTCGACTTGACATGTCTTCGACCCAACTTCGCCAGCAACAATCGAAACGAAATGCCCAAGTGTTGTAACGTTATAAAGGGAGGATTGCATACTGTACTACCCCGGTAGTTTGATAATGTCGAAATAAACACATATAGGCCCTGAGGAGCTGTGTTTTTTCTGCCCAATCAGAGAATTAGCAAGACGTAAATCAGGAAAATCTGTCTGGCTAGGGCCAGACAGATTCATGGGGTCACCATGCCCCATGAATGCCGCGGGCTTGGTCTAGGAGCGCATTGGCAGCGACTCTGAGTGGTAGTACTTTCTATTATTACACGCCAAATTGTCTGTTCTAGGTAGGAGATTCAATCTAACTACTATGAAAACTCTTTTTGACCAATCATATATAGCCATCTCAATAGGCAACATCCGTTAGCCAATCCGAGTGCTCCTTGGGTTTCCGAGGTGGGCTCCGTTGATTGGCCGATTGAAGATTTCCAACTTCAAATTGAAGTGACAAGATCGATTGTTCGTTCATTCTTGAACCAATCCAACACAACAAATCACTACCATGGGCGCGTTTATGACTAAAATGAAGTCCGTGCTAGATTCATTCTCAAACAAGCGGCGCCGCATCATCATGCTGGGCTTGGACGCTGCAGGGAAGACCACCATCTTGTACAAGCTCAAGCTCAACGAAACGCTGCACACACTGCCCACGATTGGGTTCAACGTCGAAACGTTCCAGTACAAGGCCATCGAGTTCACGGCATGGGACATTGGCGGGCAAGACAAGTTGCGGCCGCTCTGGAAGTACTACTACCAGAACACGGACGCGGTGATCTTTGTCGTGGACTCGAACGACAAGCATCGCATCCAACACGCAACAGACGAACTGCATCGCATGTTTGGGGAAGACGAACTCCGAGACTCGAAATTGCTCGTGTATGCCAACAAGCAAGACTTGCCCAACGCCATGTCTGCACCCGACATCGGAGCCAAAATGGACTTGCGATCTGTGACCAAGAACCCATGGTACATCCAGTCGTGTTCAGCGATCACCAACGACGGGCTCTTTGAGGGGCTGGAGTGGCTAAGCAAAGCACTCGAGTAGATGTGCACCCTGACTGCACTTGAGACACTATATAATTGATTAAACACAATACTACATAGTTTATACTAGTATGAGCGCGATTGTTGGTCACACATACGGTAGACGACTTCTCGTTCTCACTTTCACCAGTAAGATCCTTGGATACCGGATGAACCGGGTAGCAGAGAAAATTTGGGTTTCACAGCGCTTGTGATGCTCTTCGGGACTTGCGTTAACGTTAGCCCCCCCAATTGCTTTTGCGCAGCCCTCTTCCTCGCACTGCCAACCAAAATGACAGTGACACAAGAGACCTAGGTACTCTCAATTCTTATTGGTCATTCGTTACGACCACCGACGCGATTCGGTTATCCCATGCTACAGTACGTAGTACTGTAGCATGGGATAACGTAGTACTGGTACTATTACTACAATAGTAGATCGCACTTGCATTTAAGGGTTCAATGATGATAATGCTCAACAGATTGGTAGGCATGCTTTATACCAAGAAGTGCCGCATGATTATGCTTGGTCTAGACAATGCGGGCGAGTCTGCCATACTACTCAACAACCTCGCTCTACATAATCAGCCCCTACCTACTGAACCCCCTTCCCACCTTTGACTGCAGCATGTCAACGTTCCACCACAATTGCGTTCAATTCGATGCCTGGGACATCGGAAGACAAGACGCACATCGCCCGCCACCTATTGGAGTATCATTGCCAGCTTGTTGATGCCGTCATCTTCGTCATCGACTCGGTCGATAATCAGCGCATCGTCGAGGCGCGTGACGGATTCCACCAAGTTCTGGCACAAGCGACAACGTCAAGGTACTCGTATTTGTCAAAAACAAGATCTGCGCAGCGCAATGCCGTCGGCAGACATTGCGTTCAGGGTGGATTTGATAGCTGTGACCATAAAGTTACGACACGACCAGTCGTGTTTCTGTACGACGGCTTGAAGTGGCTAAGCAAGGCTATGAAATAAGGTGCTATCGTTAATCTATACTAGTACTAGATAACACATGTGCTGATTGTGTCAAGTTGCGCTGTGACGAGGTGACTGGACTTGCAGCAGACATTCCATGATGGTGAAGGATCCATCGTAAGTCGAAGAGTTACATTTTGCCGGTTTCGGACTATGAAATTGTAACGTTTACAAGTATCCCGTCCGTTTTATTGCAAGTGTTTCCCGAACATGTCGGGATATTATTGCAATCTTCGCCACCAAGTCGAGGGATACATGGGGGGAGTTTTCGCCAAGTGCCGCCTGCCCAGGTGCTTCAAGAACGTCCTCGATCGACTGTCTGGGAAAGCCAAGGCACGGAAGATCTACATGGTAGGTCTCGCCAACGCTGGGAAGACGTCCACCCTGTACAAATTCAAGTTCCACGAAGCCACGGCGACAGTTCCCACCATTGGATTCAACGTCGAGACGTTCAAGTACAACAAGATCCTGTTCACGGCGTGGGACTTTAGTGGTCGCGAGCAGCTTCGGGCCCTGTGGCGCTACTACTTCGACAACACCATCGCGGTATGACCAGTTCGACGAGGATACACGATTGATACTAGATATACTTCTTAGGTCATTTTTGTGGTGGATTCGACCAGTAAAGTTCTGTTGCAAGAAGCCGCGGAAGTGCTGCACGGGTTATTCCAAGTCGAAGAGCTGCACGACGTGCCCTTCTTGGTGCTTCTAAACAAACAAGACGTGGAGAATTGTATGAGTGTGGACGAACTCACGGACGGCCTTCGCCTTGGCTCGATCGTGTCCCATCGATGGCACGTGCAACCTTGCTCGGCGCATTCGGGCGAAGGGCTGTACGAAGGAATGGATTGGTTGTGTCGAGTTGTGGCGTAGGTTGTGTTGAATGCTAATGACATTGGGCTGCATGTTGGCGTCGCCGCAGCTGTTGTTGGCTCGCAGTTGCTATGAATTGTGACTCGTATGGCTTCATCCGCACCATCATAGATGCAGCCATCGACAGGATAGTTTTCACGTCTAACAGTAAAATTCTTTAACAGTAAACATACAGTGGCGGGCTACGCGGTAGTATTTCGTAATGTGTTGATACTCCGGAATAACCGGTACCGAATATATCTGACACGACCAAATGTGAAGTCGAATCGGCAGAAGCATATAGCCAATCAGATTGCAGGAAATCATCAGTTCACCCAATCAGCAGCTAATTATTGTATGACTTCAATTACAGTCGTGTGATAAGTATCACCGCACACAAAATCCAAATTTGGCTGAAAGGACAATAATTATACTACGCAAAGAATGTGTGTGAGCACTAGAAAACCTACCAGTGATACTGCCCTCTAGCAGAATGACGAGTTCAAGATACATTGGTATGGGATAACTTATTACTACGAAGTAATAATTACTGTAGACTCATGAACATGCCAACATACTAGGACATTGGCCAATATTAGAGCGAATTAGCAAGTACTGTAGATTTACAGTAGTTAACTTTGAAATCCATTGTGGACTCAGTGTCAACGACAAATACCTCGAATTGACATTCTAAAAAAGACAAAAAAATACAGTTGTGTTGACTTTTGATTCTATAAAATGGTACTAGTATTATAAATACCTAATAATATAATACAATTTGCCATCCCTGTTTAGTTCGATCTATATTATTATTGCTGTAATGAATTATATTAACTTGACATATGTAAAGGAGGGGCTTTTTGTATGAGTTTTTCGAACTGGAAGTTTCTATTGGGTTTCGATATTTGGGCAGGAAGTGCGGAGGGTGGCAGCCTTTTTTCACTTTTGAAATTGCCGTCGACGTCGACGACAGAAAGGATGGACTACCGCAAATCCAAGCACACGATCATCCTTGTGCAGTACACGGAGGACCCGAACTCCCGCACGTACCTCGACTTCGAGTCCGTGAACAGCGCCATGGACGGCGTGGTCAAGATGTACGAAGCCAAGCTCAAGCAGCTCAACCCCAACCGACGCAACATTACGTATGACATTCAAGACCTGTACAACTACATTGACTCCCTCGCCGACCTGAGCACCCTTGTGTACGTCTTCCTCTCTTCTCCTCTCAACGACGAGCGTGTGTTCTGTCTTGGTTCAGATCTCATGATGTCGTACTGCAGGCTGGATTTGGAAACGCGAACATACCTTCCCTGTGGCAAGGAATGGATGAAGAAGAAGATCTTCCAAGTACTCCGAAACCAAGCCCAATAAACCAGCGTGTATATTCAATTTTGATCTCTCTACATTGTATCCATCGTAGACTTCTTGCGCAATGACAGATTAAGCGTATCTGATGGATGTCGTCGCTCCGCTTCCTCGAAATCGATTTCTGGCCGTCGCAGCAATGTCCCTTCATAGACATTGATGTGATTGAAATGATAGCTCTCAAGGAGCTTCATCTACACCATTCGCGAAGGTCATGCTGATAGCATCGTCCATTGCGTCCCGCATCGCTCGTTACATATTTTGCTGCTTTCGTGAAAAATAGAAATATATTGCGGGAAAATATTGATGTGTATACGGAAATCCGGATAACTTGCTTTGTGTTCCATTTTCCCACTCCATTTTCGACAACCGCCACGGAGGGAAAAGTATGGCCGATGCGTCGAGCGACCCCGCAGGTCAACAGGAGTACATCAAGTTGATCAGTGCCGAAGGCCACGAGTTCTACATTGCGCGGAAGTGCGCCATGGTGTCCGGCACAATCAAGGCTATGCTCACGGGTCACTTCATTGAAAGCAAGGGTGAAATTCGCTTCCAAGACATCGGCGCGTCGATCCTGGAAAAGGTCATTCAATACATGTACTACAAGAAACGATACTCCAACAGCAATGCGCGCATCCCCGACTTTGTCATCGAGCCTGAAATCGCGCTCGAGTTGCTCATGGCGGCCAACTACTTAGATTGTTAACCTGTGTGAGTAAATCATCGCTCACAAACATGTACCTCCTTTCCACTCAAGCAAAGCACAATGGTCGCACCGGGATCCTTCATTACGAGTGGAGACCACATTGCTCGTTGCTGCCGCCACTTGGTGGCAGGCGGCAGTTCTCAAACCATGTTCCTGTGCTTCCGGTCATGTTGATTCATTGGTTACGACACACGCATTTTGTCCAATGGCATGTCGTGCCTTTTCACCACCATATCATAAAAGATCTTGTGCGCAACAGTCACAGGACATGTCAGGCCTTCGCAGCATGGAGACGACGCACAAGAGCACCGTAAGCCGATGCATCGGATGTGCAATGTGCGCAGGATGAAGACATAGGTTGTCTAACCTCGTTGCGTAGTTGGTGCTTCGGTGCAAAGTTGTTGTGGTGGGAGATGGCGCCGTGGGCAAGACGGCGTTGTTGCAGTCTTTCAAGAGCAACGGACACGAGTACCCAAAGAATTACGTCATGGTACATTATATATACCAACACTAGTACTGCTACATGAGTCTCATGCATGTATTATCTATCTCGACACTTCTATGACGTGTCGTTCTTCGTAGACATCCAATGCCGAATTGGTAGTCAAACCTGTGCCGATTCCCGATACGAATGTCCTCGTGGAGCTGTACCTGTACGACTGCCCAGGGCAAAGTATCTTCAACCAACGCGAGTTTGGCTCCGTGCATGTACATACATGAACTACATGCGCCGACTATATGTACACTCCTCACGGCACGCAGTTTGAAGGCGCGTCCATGATCATGTTGGTCTTTGACGTAAACAGCAAAGAGTCGTTCAAGTCGTGCACGAAATGGTACCAAGATGTGGCCAAACCGTCCTCCAACCATACCCTTCCAGGTGGGTTCACGAAGCCGCTTGTACACGGAAAACACATGAGCATATTCGAAATAGGGGTACTTGTGGGCAACAAGTCGGACAACAAGGAAGGCAACCGGGACGCGATTTCCCAGAAAGAAGCCGAAGAATTCGCCGACCAAAACAACTTGAAGTACTATGAATGCTCCGCGGTACGTAGTACAGCATGGCGACTACATAGCTAATCGATCAGCCCTCTCACATCACCCTCCTAGCGCCTCGGAACAGGGGTCGACGTGCCCTTTGTGCATCTGGCCAATGCGTTCAAGCAAAAGTACGACGACTTTGCCGAGCGCGCCGAGAATAATTGACCTTGAACATTCATAAAGATCAAAAACAATCCACAAATGAATCAAATATTAAAACACACAGGGCCTTTGAAAATGGATGCCTCAACACCCTCGTGTGTCTTTGTGTTTTGACACTCAGTTCATTGGTGTTCTACGATGTTGCGGCAAGTTGCGCGACAAGCCAAGGGCTGCGTGCGGCGATTCTCGTCAAAGGAGAGCACTCCTCCTCATGTGAACACATCCAACACGGGGGTACGTACGTGCATCGAGCCTTCCATGTCTCGGCTGGATGCTCACTCGTACGATAGCCGATTACGTGGGCTAGCATGGCGCTGGCTGGCGCGATCGGCGCCGGTGCGTTGGCGTATTACCACACCGAGAAAGAGCGACTGCAAACCCAGACGACAGGTAAAGTCACGTCCGTGGGGAAGCCTCTCTTGGGCGGGCCGTGGACGTTGGTCGACTGCGAGTCTGGGTCGTGTGTCACGGACGCGTCTTTCCACGGCAAGCATACGCTGCTGTACTTTGGATTCACGCACTGCCCTGACATTTGTCCGAACGAGCTGGTGCGCTTAGGCGACGGTAGGAGGATGCGTTTCTGCATGTTCCTGCCCGAGTACAGTATGCGATTCTAATGGGAGCGTGATGTCAGTGCTGGACAAAATCCCAAACGTCGACATTGAACCGCTCTTCATCACGGTCGACCCAGCGCGAGACACAGTGCAGCAGATGGAAGCGTACAAGAAGGACTTCCATCCGAAGCTGCGCATGCTCACGGGCACCCCCGATCAAGTGAAGGACGTGACCAAGGCGTACCGCGTGTACTTCACCAAGGCCGACGAGTCCGACGTCGATGACGACGGCGAGGACGACGAAGAGTACCTGGTCGACCACTCCATCGTCATGTACCTCATCAGTCCCAGTGGTGAATTCCTCGATTTCTTCACGCAATCTGCCCGCGTGGACGACATCGTCAAGAAGATCACTGCGTTGACGCAATGAAGAGGAGGGGTCGTCAATTGCACAATAAATGCATTAGTATTATATGGCTCCTTCCGTACTTAGCGGTAGAGCTGTTCCACAGACAAGTTGTGCGCGATTTCAAACTCCCACTTGTCGCCGTTCGCAAGCAACTTGGCCTTGTCATAGAGCAACTCTTCGTGCGTTTCGGTCGCGAATTCAAAGTTCGGCCCTTCCACGATCGCGTCCACGGGGCACGCTTCTTGGCAGAACCCGCAGTAGATGCACTTGGTCATGTCAATGTCGTAGCGGGTCGTACGGCGTGCGCCATCTTCGCGCGGCTCGGCTTCGATCGTGATCGCTTGCGCGGGGCAGATCGCTTCGCACAACTTGCACGCAATGCAGCGTTCTTCGCCGCTGGGGTATCGGCGCAACGCATGTTCGCCGCGGAAGCGGGGAGACAACTGACCCTTTTCGAACGGGTAGTTGATCGTCGACTTTCTCTGGGTGTGGATTTCCCAAGCCAACCAGGTCGCACGCGCAATCTCCCCCAAGAAGAAAAGGTTCGCCGCCTTGTCCACGACTTCATTGAAGGTGGGCTTCTTTACAGAAGAGTCCGTCGAGAACGACGCACACGTCACCGCACGCATCGACGGAGCGCGGGCGGCTGCGCCGCGGGCCACAGCTCGAGTCAGCATCTTGCTCAAAACGAAGTCCTGCTCAGTCAGTGGTCGAGATCAAATGAGCACTCTCTACGGAATTTGATTGGCTAAAATATAACTTTTCTGAAATACCAGCCAATCACAGAGCGTTTTCTGCCCAAAGATCACAAAAAATATAAATAAAATTTGCTTGCTGGAATGTATGGCCAACCCAAATAAATAACACAAGTGTCGATCTTGACAATTTGCGATTTTGCGATGGCCGCTGGTACGATGAAGTTGACGTTCCATGACACGACCAACGCTCCCCTAGGAGATCCGACGAGCCCGTTCGTTGTGGCGACCTTGTGCGTCCTTGCATCGTCATGTATCTACGTGCTTCAAAGCCGCCGCCGCAAGCAACCCAGCGCTGTGGACCTCACCACGTTCCAACTGGAGGACATTACGAAAGCGATGGATTCGGAGCTTTGTGTCGTGGGGACCTTTCCTGGCAGCCCCGACAAGGTGCTTTTAGTTCTCCAGAAGCAGAAGTTCGGTCGCGGGGATGCCCTTGGGTTGATCCATGGGTTAACGTTGCGACGCACTCATGAGAACGATGTGTACTCGAACCATATTGGCGTGCTGTCGGGCGACAACGATGCGCTTCGGGTACGTCAGAGCAACAGACCCCTGCCGATCTCATCACCATTGTCCGTAGGTGACCATGATCTATCCCGCGACCGCCGCCCACATTGCCAAGCACACGGAACAACGCTTCTACATGGCGGTGGAAACCCAAGCAGTGTACGAGGACATCACGTTGCCCTACATTGAGAGCATCCCCACTGACAAAATCCAATGGGTGTACAACATCCTCGAACGGTACTACCGCTACTCGATATATCGACCACGATATGGTGATGTTGATCTGGCATTAGGACGAGCGAAACCGAAAAGCTCTTGTTGGAAGATCGAGATGCGAAAACCGGTTTTGTGTTGCTACCCGACACAAAATGGAACGCGCCATATCACGTACGATATATATTGTCCTTTTACCCTTTGGTGCGGATTCTTTGCCAAATTTATCGACCGATTTTTTGTACGGCCTTTTGTATGTAAAGATTGCCCAGTTTCACACTAATTTAATTCAACACACTAATTCGAAGATGAATCGGTCGAAGAGTGGATTTGATTGGCTACTTGATTCTGGGTTTTGATTGGTCAATCGATTGTCTGCCGATGTATTTGGTGATTCTGCTCATTCGATTGAGCAATCACTGCAATTTCGAATCGACAATATATATGACATTACCATGTCGTTAACGTCTCTTTTGTATTTCGTAGGTGGAGGGTTTGTACTGTTTAGCGATCGTGATGGATCGCTCGATTCGATCGGTGCGGGATTTGCGGGCGTCGCATGTCCCGTTGCTTGAAAATCTGCGGTAGTTTCGCACGAACGACGACAGAAACGTGAGTGTATGTATGCTGTAGGGCCAAAGGCTTGGCGCTAATTTGGGAAAAGTATGGCGTGGCCGCAAGCAGCATTCGGTGTTTTGTGCATTACCAACCGTCGTACTACCATTTCCATGTGCATTTCACCCACGTCAAAGTGGCGTTTGGTACGTGAGTGATGACGTGATCACGATAACGTCATGTGACGGCAGGCATTTCCGTGGGCAAGGCCATCTTGATCGAAGACATTTTGTTCAACTTGTCGGTGCAAAGCGACTATTACGAACGCGCGACCTTGTCGTATCTGGTGGGATCGTCTCAGCACGGCGCGTTTTTCCAATCGCTTGTGAACGCTAACGTCATCACGTTGTAAAGCGCTCATGATGATACTATCACACTCCGGCGTAATCAGTAATGTTATTGGTCATTTGATTTCAAAATGGACAATCGACGGACCCAAGTAGCCAATGAAATGTTCGAAAAAAGACGTTCGACCAATCAAATTGCACGTGGGTGTATTCGGTGGTGCATTGCCAATCTTTCTCTATTTCACAAAGAGTTCAACATTGCATCGGACGATGATATTTCAGGAGGATTGGACGAAATACCAAATTTAGCTTGAAAGCACAATATGGGAGTCTTTTTTATTGATAACGTCATGTGGATAACATCATTCGAGCTCGTCAATGAAACACAAAGTACGACTGGTCAGCGTTGTTCTGTAACGCTGAAGATCCAAACAAACGCTCCCAAATGCCCAGAGAGTTGCTGGCAGGCCGTTCCTTGGTTACCGCGGGTCGCCCTATTTGGTTCAAGGCTCGAGAATCGGGAACCCCCTTCACATGCACTAGTGTTGTCGTCGTCGGTGGCGTGGCTGGCATGTGGTGACAAGTTGTGGACAAAGTTGCTGCTTCCACCGTGTTAGAAACACTCGAGAGGCCACGACTTGCTTGGTAAGACTGCACCATGTCCCGTGCGACAGAAGACTTTGGTGGAGGGACCGCCATTCCGCTGGACGAGCAGTACGAAGAATGCATGTCGCTGTCGTCTACTACGAGGATGATCTGCGACAGTGGGGTGATGGCCGCTTGACCGGCGGTGGTTGCGATGTTCGACAGCATCGTGCCCAGGGAGGTGCCTGGCGCAATGGAGTATGACGTTGTGGACAGCGCGATGTGGGGAGGGAGGTCGCGCAGGTGGTTGGCGACAAACCCCATCATCGCATCAAAGTCCGACCGGCGGAGGGTCACATGGTCGTTTTTCTCTTGATGCTGGCCATTTACGTCCGTCACTTCCGAAAAGTAGTCGCGCGCTGCGTTGCTGAGCAAGTTGTCGTCCTGGACGTTGACGGCGACGTCGCCGCGGCTGGTGTACAGGACTGTCGACAACGGAGGAGAAGACGCCGTCGGATGCGATGGCCGGGACGGCGCAGGGAAACGGACATGGGTGTCACCGGTGACATCTATCCGTGCCGCGGATATGACAGACACGGGACCATTGCTGTATGTGGGGGTGATGTCCTCGCTGTCGTCGTCGGCGGCAACGTCCTGCTGCTCTTGCACACAACACTTGTACCACCCATACAACGCATACAGCGACGGGATCACCAGAGCCACGGCGGTGACTCCCCTGCCGCCCATGGTCATGCTCTCAAGCTACGTTGGTCAAACGTAGGATTGCGATGGTGTGGCATCGCGCTAGTGGATGGCGCTACGCTTCTGCAAATACAAACCTGTCAACACATGTTGCAATAATAATACTTTACAATGACAATTGTATACTTGGATATTGTATGAGATTAACTGTTTAAAACAATAAGCCTGCCAGCAAGGACAAAGTGTAACTGTCGACATCAGTCCAGCCCGCAGCGGATCGGTACATCAGTCGTCGACGTCTTCGCCTCGCCTCCGCGCAAGTTTCTTGCGATACGTGATGCTCCATGTCTCGGCCCGCTCGCGGTCGAGCTTGGTGACACAACTAAAGTCGAGTTCAAGGAGCGACGGGATGTGGTAGATGGTGTAGTTGCGGTAGTGCTTCTTCTCTTCCACGGGGTTACCATGCAAAGTCAAGTGCCGGAGCTTCGTGAGGACCGCAAGACCGTCAATGTCCGTGTACTTGCACAGCTCGTTGGCATGCAAATGCACGGTCGTGAGCTCCAAGTAGGGCAGAAACGAGCTCGCGCGAAGGCTTTCGATGGCATTGCCGCTCAGGTCGATCCATTGCAGTCGAGCAGGTGTGACGAAGACGGCGTCGAGGGCTTTGTCCAAGTCATCGATGTGGGTCAGCGAGTTGTTGTTCAGTCGAATCGACACAGGGGGCTTGAATGGAGTGCGTGGAGACGACCCCGTCGTGGCGGCGTCCATGGCGACTGGAAGCGGCGCAATCTATCTCAGGTGCGATGAGATTTGTGTAGAGGACAACATACGTACCGCCACGCCAGCATTTTCAGCCTTCTTCCTTCCTGACACAGGCTCTTCCTTGAGAATGTCTACCTCCATAGTAATGTCTTAAAGAAGTGTTCGTCCAGACGATTCAGTCACCGTACCCAAAATAAACGATAAGTTCATGAACGAGTAGTCCAACGGAATGTCCGGTACGGTTGATGCGATGTCCTTGATGGAAGGTTTCTTCGGTGACAAGCGCGTTGGGGACCCCGCCGCCGGCGCTCGCGTGGGTGACGGCGGCGTTCGCTCCATCGACGGCCCTTTCGCTGCTGGTTGTTCTTGCAACCTTTGGGGCGAAACGTCGCGATATTTGATTGGTTCCCACTCTACCAATCATATCATTCGATATAGCAATGATTTCTAACCGTTAGAGCCACATGGATTCGATTACGGCTCAGTATGGCGGTCGTCTCATGGTTCCTGCGACCTCTGTCGAGCATGAAGGAAGGGAGTGCGTTTCCGTGCTCACATACAACGTGATGCGCCAGATGCACGCCACGCCCGACTACAAGCCGTACTGCGACCCTGCCGTCCTCACCGCGACCAAGCGCAAGGAGCAGATCTTCCAGTCCGACATCTACAACCTCAGGTAGTTGCAACTGACCACCACATCACTGTTGTAGGGAACTCTTGAGTTACAACGCCGACGTTCTGTGCCTCCAAGAAGTCGACGACTTTACGCTGTGGTGGGTCCCGCGGCTGAATGAGGCTGGCTACGACAGCGTGTACCATCAACGCACCGGCCATTTTGACGACGGGCTTGTCATTGCGTTCCGCCGCATGTACTTTCAGATCTTCCACACGTTGCGACTCGACCTCAATGACCTTTGCAACGACCCGAGCGTCACCGCCAACTTCGCCGCCAAGCTCCAGCAAGACAACGTGGCGTTGGTTGTTGCGCTGCAGCCGTGGGAGCAGTGTCAGTTTCCCAGCGCCCTCTGTGTGGGTACAGCAACCGTTTCCCTCGTTTTAAGAACCACGTTCATTGCAACATGCCCTAGCCAACGTCCAACTGGCCAGCCATCCCGACCTCGACCTCGTCCGGCAACACCAACTGGCCTACTTATGTCCTCAAATCGAAGCGTTCAATGCCGATTTCCACCTGCCCATCGTCGTCGCTGGCTCGTTCAACGCCACTCCTATGAGCCATGTGTATCATACCATGCGCACAGGGAGGCCACGACCCGCGCCAGAGCCGCCCGCCCGGATGAGCCCCCCGAAGGCGTCGGATCCGAGCACCAGCACTATTACCCTGTCTTGGGATGTTGCGGTCTCCTCTGTACGGGGATCTTACTCAATACAAATTGAGCGTGATGACGTTATCTATATGTGGTTAGCATGGACCAATTCTTGGCTACCGTTTCGTTCGCCGAGTGAACGGCAGCACCACCGTCGGCTTCACGCACGAGATCGAGCTAGATGACCCAGCCCAAGTCGAGTTCAAAGTCACAATGTTAAGCGCTGGCAACACGTACGAGTTTCGTATTGCCGCGAGGAATGCCGCGGGATGGAGCGAGTACAGTCTCCCGTCGCAGCCACTGCAAACCGTCCAGGTGGATGCAAGTCGTTGGGGTTTCTGTACTTGACGGTTAACATGTTACCAGTCACAACGGACAAGACAAGATCTATTGAAACCACCACTGGTGCTGCTTCCCCTACTTGGAATGCCTCCAATAGCCATTTCCCCCTTCAAGGTATACAGTCTGATTAGACATACGTGGCCATAGTTTTGGTGGTAGGTGTCATACAACTCTGGGAAGACGCCTCGGTTCACGGACGGCCAGATCCGGACGGACATCTGTCCACGCCCTAGCCACTTGATTCCGTTCCCAAAGGGGGACCCCTACGATTCGGTGCATGTACGGGGCGACCGGGAGGCCAAACTGGTGCACTTTGAAGTATTTGACAGCGCCTACGCTCAGTACTACAACGGCGGCGAGCCGGACTTTACCTACTCTGACCACGTCTTCACGGGCACGGTGGACTACATTTTTTACTCGAAAAAGGTAAAGTCAATAAGCCTTCTATGTGAGACAATGTGGTGACGCAAATGCGACAGGAATTGGCCGCCGTGGCACTGCTGTCGCTGCCTCCACTGGAATCCCTGGTTGGCGAAGACGCGAGGGAGCCAGTGAGCGTGCCGGATGCTGGTTAGTTACTCGGCCTTGGGGGAAAGAAGTGTGTTGCTTATGGTGGGCTAGACTATGCAAGCTACGCACCGGAGCGATGGCACGGCTGCGCAGGCGATGCCACGTCATCGTCACCAAGACGACAAGGTGGCCATCGAAAAGGTCCCCTTTACATGGGCGAATGGTCACCAGACGTGTTGCAGGTTCCGAACCCACGAAGGCAGCACCATTGGCTTCCAAATCAAACGTTTTCGTCGGATCATGTAGCTCTTATGGCGAAGATTGCATTCCGCGCCGAAGAGTTGGCCGTGGCATGGAACTAGATTCACACGAACGAAAAACTATGACAGAAGGCAGTATGCATCAACGTAATATAAACGTGATTACAAGTCCGATATGGCCAATGGCAGAGCGCACGGGAGTAGCTGCAGCGTGGGAGGTGCGGTTAAGGTGGTGTCGGCTTGTCGGGCGGTGTACCCACTCAGAGGCGGCACGGCTTGGCCCTTCTCGCACGCTACGTTGTCTTCGTGATGGTTGCGGTACGGGTCGCAGCGGAACATGACATCCGGTGGCCACGACGCGAAGTTCGCGAACGACCAGTAGCCCTGGTGCCGAAAGAGGCGGTAATCGTGTGTTGCGAGATCGTCGCCATCTTGGTCTGTGCGGGTGAACACTGGCACATCGTCGGATCGAAGGGACTCTTCCACTTGGTACACGCCATTCAGTGAGGCATCGCTGGATGAGCAGACATAGATTGTGCGGAGGGACGGCGGCGTCACCGTTCCAAGCTGCTGCGCCGTCGCCATGGCCACCATCATGATCAATGTCCAAGCCAACACCATGGAGTTCACACTTGGTAGTATTGCTCGAATTTCTGGTATGGCCGATGGGAAGCATAGTTATGCAAAAAATCTTCGACGGAAATGCTGCGTTTTCATTGGCTGACACGTGTTCGAAAGATCAAATATCGCGACCTTTCGACACATCGCGGTCATGAAGACTTCTATTTCGACTTTGGCACCAAGACGATTGGATCGATGAGAAAGACAGCAAAGGCGGCAGTGTCTGCTGCGGTCGCGACGTGGTTGCTTCTCACAACTGCCACCACCGGCGTCCATGCCTCGTTCTGCTCCCCTGGTTCTGGCTACGACGCTGCCACTGATAGTTGTATGGAATGCCGTGCTGGGAGCTGGGCAGACGGGTCCACGGCGTTGTGTCAGCGCCCTGTCAAGTGTACCACTGGCCAAGGTCCGAAAGCTGGCGCCACGTTTGTCACGGACTGCATGACGTGTCCACCTGGATACTACAGTGATCACGACGACGAAACTCCATGCGAAGTCATCCAATGCACTCCTGGCTTTTACAGTGACGCCGTCGGGGCCACCGATGCCACCAAAACATGCACCGCCTGCCCCGCCAGCACGTACTCGACTGGCCTCAACGACGTCTGCCACGACTGCGCGTTTGGGGAGTTCAGCCTCCAAGGCGATGGCGTGTGCAGTCCCCTAGAGTGCCCGTTGAACTCGGAGCCAACGGCCCACGCCACCAATGCCACAGACTGCTTGCCTTGTGCGATCGGAACCTTTTCTGCGGGTGGAACCAACACCTGCGAGCCCATGCAGTGTCCTCGCGGCACAGAGCCCAAGGCGGCCCCGTCGTCCATCTCAGACTGCGACCCGTGTGCACTGGGCAAGTTTTCAACCGGCGGATCGTCCGTGTGTGAGCCCACCACGTGTCTTCCCGGCTTTGTGGCTGTGGATTTGGCCTGGGACGGCGTGGACAGTTGCAAGCGTTGTGATGCTGGGTACAAACTACGTACCGTTGCATTTCCAACGATGTTTGACGTTTGATTCCCCTTGTATAGATGGATCTCACCTGGTGGTGCCGCTACGGTATGTACCCAGTGCGGCAATGGTACGTATGCCAATGCCGATTCGATTTGCGCGCCGGCGAAATGCAGTCCTGGGTTGTTTGCACCTCCTGGTTCGTCTGACCCGATAGGCAACTGTGTCGCGTGCGCAGTGGGCACGTTTTCTACCGGTGATAGCGCCATTTGTAAGCCAGTCGCATGTCCAGTTGGGACGGAGCCCCACGCACTTGCCACGCAAGTAGACGACTGCGTGGCGTGTGTGCGCGGGTACTTTTCCCCTGGTGGCGTCGTCGCATGTGAGCCTGCCACGTGTCCGAAAGGCACTGAAGCGAACGACCACGCCGGCGGACCCACCGAGTGCTCCAAATGCCCCCACGCCCAAAACTCGCTCGGCAACTCCAGTCTATGCATGAGTCCACCGTGTGATCCTGGCTTTGAGCCCAACGACGACGGCGAAACGTGCTCCATTTGCACGGCCGGCCGGTTTTCCCCGGGCCGGGGCGTCCCGTGTCAAGACTCTAAATGTCCCCCCAGTACGGAAAGTCTGGACGGCGCGTCGGATGCGGTCGCCAACTGTGTCGCGTGCGACATCGGGTACATCTCGGAAGGCGGCAGCGACCTCTGTGCGCCATGTCCGTCCGGCACATACACGCTCAAGAACATGACAACGTGCGAACCCACGACGTGCCCGGTGGGTTTTGAGCCCAAGTCGCCCCCCCTACACGCGTTCGATTGCGTGGAATGTCTGAATGGGCACTACAGTCCTGGCGGCAACGCAACCTGTGGCCATGCTACTTGTCCGGCGGGCAGCAGCACCGTCGACCACGCGGAAACCCCCACCGACTGCGTGCTCTGTGCGGCGGGAACGTACTCCAGTGGAGGCAACACCACGTGTAAGGATGCTGCCTGTCCACCGGGGTTCGGCGCCCCTGCTGGAGCTTCCACAGGGGATGCGTGTGCTCCGTGTGGTGCGGGGTCGTACAGCTTCGGAGGCTCGTTCCCCTGCACCCCCACGACATGTCGCCCGGGCTCAAGCTCCAACGCCACGACCGCCACCCATCCGTCAGACACGTGCGTCGAGTGTGCCGTCGGTTTCTTCTCTCCCGGCGGCCACGCTTCGTGCCAGCCCATGCAATGTGCGCCTGGCTTTAGCGGGAAACCCAACGCCGTGGATCCAGTGACGGACTGCAAGTCGTGCGCGGACGGCCACTCGTCGGAAGGCACGTCGAGCCCTTGTATTCCATGTGCGAGGGGCTTTTTTGCGGCGGCGGGCGACGCGACCTGCCAGCCTGCCACATGCGCGGCCGGATGGCAGGCGAACGAAGGCGCGGTCCACGCGACCGACTGCAAGGGATGCCCGTGGGGGACATACGCATCCGGTGGGTCGGCGCTCTGCGATGCAGTGTCGTGTCCGGCGGGGTCGTTCGCACCAGAACAAACCAACTCTTGCTCGTTGTGCCGCGGGGGAAGCTACTCGACGGCGGACGCGGCGGTGTGCAAGCCGGCGCTGTGTCCGCCTGGCCAGGCGACGGTCGAAGGCGCGACGTCGCCGACAGATGACTGTCTCGATTGCCCTGTGGGAACCTATGGGCTGGGCCAGAACCAGCCGTGCAAACCCACGACGTGTCCGTCCGGATATGCGTCGTCGACCACCGGCATCCACTTGGAGAAAGGGAGCTGCAAACTGTGCCCCGTGGGCTGGTTCAGCGCAGGCGGGGGCGACCAGTGCGAGCCCGGCACCTGCGCGCCAGGGTGGTTCCTCCCCGAAGGCAAAGGCGACTGCACGATCTGTCCGGCTGGCAAGTTCAGTCTCGGCGGCGACAAGCAGTGCCAAGATACGACGTGCCCGCTTGGCACCGCAGCCCCCAGTGGCGCCACGTCAGCTACCGGGCAGTGCGTGGCGTGCGTCGCGGGGTACTTCAGTCCTGGCGGAACCGCCGCGTGCACTCCGTGTACGTGCGACCCTGGCACCGGCTCTGTCGCAGGCACGCAACTCTTTTTCATTTGAATGTGTTTTGACCACATGATTTAGGAGCTAGTTCGCCTCGCGACGCATGCACCGTGTGCGAACGCGGCTACTTTTCGCCAGGATCGAGCCACCCATGCGTTCCCACCACTTGCGCGCCAGGCACAGCATCGGCAACGCCAGGGGCCGTCAACGAAAGAGACACCTGCGAGGTGTGTCCAGCAGGCCAATTTGGCCATGGAGGATCGTCTCAATGCGCCAACACCACCTGCGCGCACGGAACGTCGGCGTTGGCTGGAGCCGTGGACCCGGTGCTGAACTGCACGATCTGCGGGGCGGGCACATACTGCGAGGGCGGCGGCAGTGTGACCAAGGCCACGTCGTGCCTGCCGGGGTACGCGTCTCCGGAAGAGGCAGACAGCCCCGACGGGTCGTGCGCGATCTGCCCCCAAGGGTCGTTCAGTCCTGGCGGCGCCGTCCAATGCCAGCCCACGCTTTGTCCTCCAGGTATGACTTTGTCTTCCACGAGCACTTGTCTTATAATCGCAACACAGGCACGTCGGCAGCTGCGGGGGCCAAGGACGCTGTAACCGATTGTGTAACGTGCGTCGCGGGCAGTTACTCGCCAGGTGACACCAGCGCGTGTTTGCACCCGACCACGTGCCTCCCGGGGTTTGCTTCGTCTCGAGGGGCCAATTCATCCAACGGATCGTGTGTTGAGTGCGGTGCCGGGCAGTTCGCCGCCGGGGGAGCCGACCAATGCGCCAAGACGACGTGCGAACCTGGCAGCGGGTCGCCGGCAGGGGCTGCGTCCGCCACGGGGAGCTGCAAGGAGTGCGAGCCAGGCCACTTTTCGCCGGGCGGGGGCTTCGACTGCGCGCCCATGGCATGTCCCCCTGGTTGGGCCTCCAACGTCACTGGAGCGTATCGCAGTGTCCACAAGTGTCAAGTGTGTTCGGCTGGGTTCTACTCGCCCGGTGGCAGTGTCGAGTGCAAACCGACCAACTGCCTCGCCGGCTACAGCTCCCCAGCGGTATGAAACGCTGTCTTTTCCATTCCTTTTTGCATTATATCGACAAATACAGCATATCTCACGTGTACATGTTCGAATAGGGCTCAGATGTCGAAGTCGAACAATGCTCGCCGTGTGCCGCGGGGTACTTGTCCCTTGGAGGGTCTAGCCAGTGTGAGCTGGCCAAGTGCAAGCCGGGCTACGCGACCCCTCCCGCCGCCGCCGGCGGCTGTGTGCAATGTGCGTCTGGCTACCACTCGTCCGGCGGAGCTACTAAGTGCATCGCGTGTTCCTGCGACCCTGGGTCGACGTGCCTCTCGCCGGACTCGGCGACGTGCTCCCCATGCCCGAATGGCACCACCACGTCACGCCTTCTCGGTGGATGCGTGAAAACGTCAAACGACCAAGAGGCGTATGTGAATGTAGTCTTGAGCGTCGACGGCTACTCGCCACCTTACTTTAACCAGCAAGTCGTGAATTCGTTCCGCGATGGATTGATGTCCTTCCTTAATGATGATGAGCCCGCGGCGTCGTCTAAGGTATGTATGCACCATGCACCTGGGACAAATAGGAATATGAATATGGGATGCGGTGTAGGTGGCATCGGTCGATCCAAGTGCTATTGTTGTGGACGCGGAAGTCGACTCGACGTCGGATTTGGGTGGCAGTCTCGTCACCCTGCGACTTGCCCTGGCGTCGTCGGTTGGCAACATCTACTCCTCTCTCGAGGTATGCTGTCTGTCACTGCTCTGCTTGTTGCTAAGCGGAATGTCGTAGTCCCTGACGACCTCGGGCGGCGCTTTAACGGGCTCATCAACGTTGGCCTCGTTCATTCAACATGCAGGTCTCGTGCGTGTGAGAAACGTGCAAGTTCAATCTGTGCAGCTATGGCAGCAAGGACATGAGGTAGTCAGACCTTACATTAACAAGCATGCCCTAACTTTCAGTAGACGAGCCGTAGCATCTGGCAGTCAGAGTCGCCGTCGTACGACAACGAGACAAACTCCATCCCTTCTACATCCCCCAACACCACCAAGTCTCCTAATGGAGGAGCTTCGTCGCCGGTTGCGTCCACCACTATCACGTCCGCCGCTGCCGCTCGACGTGGCATGTTGGCCATGTTGCTCATTCTGCTGTGCGCTTGTATATCCTCTTAGACTTAATCCTCTTTAAATAAAATACCCTGTACATTGCAATAATATGAAAAGCCTCTTAAATATAATACCCGGATTCGATTGGTGCCGCGCAAAACCTATTGGGGTCGATTTTCATTTTGATTGAAGCCACCAACATCATGTCGTCTGCCAAGAATGCCAAGCTGGACACGAAGCCCCAAGTGATTGTCGTGCTGGAGAATGCGGCGCTCGAGACCGTCAAGACCACACGCGGGTACCAGCTCCTCAACTGCGACGACCACAAGGGTATCCACAAGAAGCACAACAAGGACCCGACGGCGTCGCGGCCTGACATTTTGCACCAAGAACTCATGGCGCTGCTCGACAGTCCGCTCAACAAAGCCGGTCATCTCAAGGTTCGTCACACTCGCGATGGTCGTCGTCTCACATGAGCTTCCACCTCTGACATGTCATGCAGGTGTTCATTCGCAGCTCCAAAGGCGTGTTGATACAAGTGAGCTCCCAGATGCGCATTCCCCGCACGTACAAGCGATTCGCCGGGCTCATGGGTATGCACACACCTTCTCCATCTGGACGTCACCTTATGATGTTGTCGCTTTCTAGTCCAATTGCTGCATGCGTTAAAGATTCGATCGTCCGACGGCAAGACCACATTGTTGAAGGTCATTCAGAACCCCGTGGACGCGCACTTCCCCCCCAACTGCAAGAAATACGGTACCATCGCCTTTTTCTCGTTCTTCTCATACTCATCCGCCCATTTCAGGCTGCTCGGTCACTGGCGACCTCGTGGACCCGTGGGAGTTTGCCACGGAGCTGCCCAAGGAGCCCGTCGTGTTTGTGCTCGGCGCCATGGCCCACGGCCATATTACCATGGAGATGTGTCCTTACGTACGTCTATATTATATACCGCCCCCCCTTTATCCTTACCGATATGGCATCCGGATAGATCGACGAAATGCTGTCGCTCTCGGAATACCCCGTACGTATCCGTCTGTCCATCCACATATGATATCTCAATCCTGACATTGAAAACTCATGGTATGACGTGGCGTGTCCATAGATGAGTGGCGCCCAAGCCATCGGCCGCCTCCTCAACGCATTCGAGCGCCATTATGGCATTTTGTAATCCTATTGCCCATTGCAGTCTTCAAGTGTGGTGTGTTATTCCCTCTCTTTATGTGTATGTGATGTAGACCACCACGTTGATGGTGGTGGTCTACATCACATACACATCCAAGGGTGGTACAGCTGTATTCCCTCCCTTTAACGACGACACATACTGCCATCATCATCTTGGTTTACATCACAGACACACAACTGCATACATGTTGCTCTGAGTACACTGTACTACGGAGTATTGTGCTTTTCAGTGAAATTTGCCTATTTGGGGGACTGATGAAATCAAATCGAGCAAAGGAGTATGATTGGCTACAAAGAATGATGGTTGCAATATGATTGGCTAAAAAGATTGACTGCTGCATTGGAGTCACAAAGATACCTCTTAAACTTAATTTTATACGAAATTTCGAAGGTCCGGCGATAGGAATTGACCACACATACCATAACATAATAAAGGTATTATTTCCCATGTGACACGTTAGATATGCGACACCGTCTTCTCCCATGTCGATCGTGTGCATGTCGCTCACAGATCCCGCCGCGTGGACGACGACGAGGCAGCCCCTGGTGGCGGCATCTGCGACATCGTATCGAACGACATGTTTCTGTCGTCTTTGTCTGCAGCATTCGAGTAGTCGCGACTTTGCTGCTTGGCTTTGGCCGACGCTTTCAGCGACTTGAACCACGTCTCATACCGCTGCAACTGCACGTCCTATGACCCCACCAACATGGTCACAGTCATCATCGTGGTACCGATTCAACTCTGTCGCATGGGAAACCTACTTTTTGACGACTGGCGTCGGTCGCAGCCGCCAACTCGTCGCGCAAGATCTGCATGTCGGCTTCCAGTTTGGACTCTGACGACGACAACTCCCTAAGGCTCTGTTAACTATGTAGCCCAGACAACAACAAGTACTACTAGTAGTAGTACTACTACTAGGTAGTACACAACTAACTCGACGTACAGTCTCGCTAGGTCGTGGCTTCGCGTGGTCTGGCGACTTGCTTCTTGGCGGCGCCACTCCTCCAACGCGCGCTTCAACACGGCAAACTATAGTTCGTCCCTATCCGTTATGACATGTCGAATGCGGTATATCCTTGCCTTTTGATGGTATTCCGTCTTGAACTCGTCCATGGCGTGCACGAGCCGCTTGTTCTCTTCGCGCAGCCGCGCCATCGACTCAGTGTCCTGCCACACATTACTATTTATATATCGTCTCGGACATACTTGAATCAACTTGGCGTTTTCGCTGCCGAGGGTCTTGATAGTATGCATCAACCGATTCGCTTCAAACTTTTGGTGAGCCAGCGCCGTCCTGAGCTGCTCCATCTCCGCGTCCATGATCGTCGAGCCGTCAGTCGTTAATGATCCCTGGGAGTGAAGATGGTGACCTTTGCGACAGAACACGGCAACTTACGTCGAAAGCACCCGCCGATGCCGATGGCCGCCTCATGGATGGCTTCTCCGCCGTCGTACTGTCTACATGTGCCACATCAGGATGTGATGAATGTAGGTCAACTCGAATACCCGACGCGCTTCTTCGGCCGCTGCCCCCTCCGCTTCCTTGCTTCTCCATTAACCTTCCCATATGAGATTGCCATGATGAGAGGATGATTGATTCGCGGACAACGAGCGTACATTTCGCGCTGGTTCTTCATGCGATGGGCCGCGGCCGCCTTCAACGTGGCCCCGCCATCCACACGATGGGCAGCCAACGACGACGATGACGACGCTCCTTTGCCATGGCTGGCTTTCGGCAACAAGCAGAACGAATCGCCCAAGTCCGAGCTCAAGTGCTGCTTCATCCACGGCTGTGAAGGATGGTGACCCGGGGAAGGATGAGACTGTGAGGAGTGGCGTGTCGAAGGAAGTGGGCCCAGACCTAACGCCTTCAAGCGATCAAACAACTCCTCCATCTCCGACGCGGCCGTCTGCAGCGGCAAGTTGTAGTCTTCCGTGGTAGGCGCCGTCGAGGGAGGAGGAGCAACGGTGGTTGGCGACGTGAGATGATCAAGCGGCACCGAGGAGGTTGTCGGTGTTGCCGTGGCGGCGATAGTGATGTGGGACGGAACGGACGAGGCATGCGGACTCTGATTCAATGTGAGCGTCCGATGCCACCGCATCGCGCGCTGCTCGTGGTTGTCGGCAATGAGCTTCAATGCTGCGCGCGTCTTGTTGTCTTCTTGCCGCACCGCCTCCATTGCGCGAAGGTAGCTGCTGCTGGCGAGCCGCTCGAGTTGTTCCGCTCGTCGCAGCTAAAGGCACAAATCGAGGTCACGTGAGGTTAAACGTCTGATGGACATGGACGTTGTTGATCTACGCACATTTCCAGCCTGGGCACTCTCCTCGGCTTCCAGGGCATACTCGTGGCCCATGAATGCCGCTGATCGATCGAACGAGGCGGCGGCGACAGCATCGCTCCGCAACGATGGTTTCATCATCGACAACAACGCAATATGTTCGCGCGATTAGCAGAACGAGGAGATCATCACTCTTGATTCATCTTATACCTATAGTGTTGCGTCTGGTCTTAAAAAACGTGTTCGTTTTCTTATTTTCATTTCTTTTCTAGTTTTTCAATGCGAAAACGAATTTAAAAAGCACACTTTTCTCCGACGAATTCCTATATTCATAACGCTCCTATCAGTCAGACCTTGTCCCTCGTTCGTCCAGTACGGCGGCACGAATCGTTGCCACGTGCACACTCCATACTAATACCAATAACAGCATCGATCCAAGGGCATTCTTCTTGTGTATTACACATATATAGTCACCAGGCAGCTAGCTTCTTCTCCGTCGGGATCACCCACCATTTCCAAGGCTACCGTTGCCAAAACCGTGGCCTTAGGTCGTTGAGGGACCGAGCCAGTACAAGCCCAAGGTTGCGCCCGCCTTTAAGAAATTCCCACCTCGATGCAACACCTGCACATATGCATGCGCGGGCACATCCATCACATGCGTGATGTTCATCACGTCCACCGCCTTGCTTCCCGGCGGCGCCGCCGCCGCCATCCCGTTCACGAACAGCACCATTGCGTTGTGGCCATGGCGGTGCTCAAACTGGCCCTGCACCGTCACGCAGTACTTGCCGGACTGCACCAGCACCACCGCGTCCGTGAGGGGGGTGAGTGCAAACTGGGCCGGGTCGAGCCAACCAAGCACCGACCAAGTGAGGAACGTATCGCGCGGGACTTTGAGCTTGGACGTGGCGACCACCGACACGGAGCGCACCGGCGCCGCGATGGCGCGGCGAAGGACGTCGTTTTCTCGTTCGAGTTTGTCCATGGCGGTTTGCATCAGCGTCATGGGCGCGACAACCGACCTGGTGAGGGGAAATGTGTAGGTGGACCCGAGGGGCGAGTCGGGGTCGATAGTGAGCACCATCCTCGCCGAGCCTTGCTCTAGTAGGACCAGCGCCAACTGGACAAAGGTGGCCCCCGGACACATAGCCTTGCTTTGGCTTAACGCAACCTGCATACATACATGAGCAAAACGTGGTAGTATAGTTGAAGGGAAACAAAGGCAAGGCCACACGTGGAGGGCGTTGATCACGTGCGAACTGTCCCAGACAAACACTTTGCCCGTGGCTTCCAGTGTGGTGTCGTGCACGGTGCATTCCCTACACCATCACCATCACCACCACTCCCACAACGTACACAAATTTCCGTTAATCGTCTAAGGATTCCACGACAAAGTTAACACACCATTTCGTGTCTGTGTCCACACACCGAAGCCACAGACGCAACGGCAAGTTGCCGTTCATCGTGGCCATCGTGACGTCGAATGGCCGCCCCACGTGAGACGTGAATCGAATGTCGGAAAACTCGGCGATCTGAAACTTGCGCAACATGGCGTCCGTCGCTGTAGCAGCAGCAGCACCAACCATGGATGGGGCGGGGGGAAACCAAGAATGATCATATTATCGTCAAAGCCAGTTAGATGGATATGTGACCGTTGGAAGATTGAAGTGCACACCCATTGTCCCACCATCACGAAGGCATTGAGAGGGGAGATATGACGACAGTTGGGACTGTGATAAGCGCCGACCCCCCCCTCCCCCCGATCAATCTCAAACCAAACCCCAAACTGTATCATTCCTTCAATTAAGTAGTACCATAATATACTAGTGGTGTTATGCTAACGACATTTCTCTAGTAATCGTTAGCTCTCTTTCCTACACTGACGACTCACACAGTGGAGTGTGCACTGTCGTACATAGCTATTATAGTTGATCCATCTGCTTGAGGTGCACCCGCACCACTGCCGCCACTTGCATGGCGGTGGGTCTGTTTTCTGGCTCGAAGGCAAGGCACTGCAGCGCCAGGTCCGACGGGGGACACTGCCCTGACATCGTCGGGTGGATCTCGCCGTGGATGACCATGCTCATGATCGCCGTGTCCACCAACGGTTTGCCTGTCAAGATATCAGGCATCCCATCGTTTGTCATGGCTACCTTTTCCGTTGATCTTGTTGGCGTACGGAATTGCATGCGTGTCCAACTCGGTGATGACCATCCCGAACGAGTACACGTCTGCCGCGACAGTGTAGTAGTTCTCCTTGAGGATCTCCGGCGCCTACACACAAGGCAAACGTCTATACTAGTACTAGTACTAGGACTACTACAAGTAGTAGGAGGAAACTACTAGGAAATAAATGACTGACTGTACCATCCATCGATACGTGCCCACGCCAATGGTCATGGTCTCGCTGTTGGCTTCCCGCGACGCCCCAAAGTCCGTCAACTTGGTGCCCTAGCCCGTTCCATTATATACTAGTATATATATATATCGTAAATATTATTGATCCTTTTATAGATATTTTTTTCATTGAAAAATTCGATTTCAAAGAAACATGTGACACTGTCGCATGCGATACCGTTTGAGAGTCCAACAACACGTTGCGAGATTTCAAGTCGCGGTGGATCACGTCCATCGAATGCAAATACACGAGCCCTTCCGCAATCGCCAGCATACACTGGACCTTGTCGCTCCACGGAAAAAACGTCGTTTCGTCCTTCCGAGGTTGGACTGATGCAATGGATGGCTTGGACTGGTCCAGCACGTGCTTCAAGTCGCCCCTGTCCATCCATTCCACGACCATCTCCAACGTCGCCGGGGTCGACCAACTCGCGCCAATCGTTCGGACAATGTATCGACTCACAAACCTAGTCAGAGATAGTTATTACTAGTAGTAGTCGTACTAGTACTACTTGGACGTGAGGGTGATTTCGTCGACAGGGATTGTACGTCGGTTTTCTCGTGTTTGCCAGGCAACATGCACTTGACCGCTACGGGGGCTCCTAACAGTAAGCACAATATATATATATATAAATATTTATATACAAATATATATAAATACATATATATACATATATATGTATTCCATCAGCTTAAGAGAGAATGTGATTTACCTTTGTATTCGCCATACCACACTTGGCCGTACGCGCCTTGGGCGACGACTCTGGTTTTGTTCAATTTGGACTCTTCCTGTCGAATCAGAGCTAGTTCCTAGTCAAGCAAAAAAATGATGACGCAATCATATCTTGATAACGTCATCACTACCTCCATGTGCAAGAAAGTTGACGTTGGCGGGGATGATGTGGATGGTCCGAGTAGGTTGCGTTGGCTCGACGTGTCTTGGTAACTGAACCCTCCAGTCGATCTACACGCAATTTACATTTGAATAAGCAACATGTATCTATCTATATACTAGACTATCTATATAACATGTATCTATCTATATACTAGATTAGTTCATATAGTCCAACGAAATACAGTACGCACGCGTGGTCTGTAATGTGTGTGGGTCGTTGCACATCATTCTTCTCGAGGTGGCTATGGGATGCAACATGGTTATCCCAAGTACCACTGTAGTTCGAACAAACGACAGATGGGTACGACTTGTGCAAGGCATCCGTGACGTGGCGGCGGCGCGTGTACACAACCCACGCGGCGGTGCCCAATACGAACCCGCCGCCTAGGGCCAGCGCCACAATCAGGCCAAAGTTGGGGTGCGCCGACGGCCGTCCGCTGCCGATCGCGTCGTCCGATGTCGACGGATCTAACATGTCGAGGTGAGTCCCTTCCGGGCGGGGACAAGTACCTCGAATGTCACAAATCGTGTATTTCTTGACGAAGCGCGGGACGTTGGGCAACCGGCACGAGCCGGACACGTCGATCGAGCCGACGCGGAAGGTAGTGGGGAGGGCGTCGAGAGCTCGGAACGACGATTCATCCACGAGGAACGTCGTGAGAGCTGCGGTCCCAAAGTTCCTGTTGAAATCCACACGATCAGAAAAGTTATTCTCCCATCGAATAATGTCCGTGGAAATATATATATTCGTACAACGACATGAGCTGGGATGCCATCAACACCTTTGAAAATGTGGCCACCTCTGGGTTGCCTGTAAAGGTCAAGTCTGTGGCATGCCGAAAGTCGATGTTTGCGACGCTTGTAAGTTGGTTGTTGGATGCGTCGCTACAACAGACGATGATAAAGAAGAGATGAACGAGAAACATAGTTGGCGTACAAGTTTGTCAGCAACGAGTATGGAATGGACGCGGGAAGGTCCGAGAGGCCATTGCCCGCCACAGACCTGCCCGACATGAGCATTTGGATAGTGATGCATGTATGTACTGTACGTACAAGACGGACAGCGTCGGCCGGAACCTCGCCCGTGCAAAAGAGATCGACTTTCAAGTTGGCGTTGTCGAAGTGGCTAGAAACGCATACGTCATGCGAAAAGAGATGCATGGAATTGACATCAGCGTACATGTATGTGCTGGAGAGAAGCGGCAGCTCCGCAAGGTAGTCGGCTGGACCTGCAGAAGTGTATCATGACGCTTGGGTGCCACTCGACACAAGAAAGAATACAACGGAGAAGTACTGTTGTACGTTGTACCAGTAAGGCGAAGGGGTATCGACGGACGTGACAAGGTCCTTGAACACATTCCGACGCGAATATGACACGAGTTCCTGTGGGATCGCAAAGATTATCAACGAGAATGTTGGGGCAGTTCGAGACATACCTTGCAATTGCTGTCCACTATGCACAGTACAGCGTCGGACTGACCGCAATACGACCGAGTGAATGTGGTCCGGAAGGCAGAGTACGGGCACGACGCTGTGGTGGCGGTGGCAGACGCATCAAGAACCAACGCCATCGTCGAGATTGATAGCATTGAGTGCATGAAGTACGTTGACATGGGCCAGCAGCTTAAAAATGTTCGAGTCGAAAGGGTGCGTGTTGTGATTGGGTGACACTTCCAATAGATCGCTCAACTCAACATGACCTCTCTTCTTACAATTAACAGAAAGGCCACGGGAACTATATTCACTTTTCACGGTAGGAAAATGGAGGTATCGACATCGAACTATTCCCACCGTCTAGCAGATGCCACCCCCTTCTCGGGATTCACAGAATACACCTTCATGAACACGCGTAAATGCTTTCAAGTAGAAGTACGAAGATCCGTGCGAGTTAGAGATTCTTCCGTGTGAGCCAATGCTTCGCCATCATGCGATGGTACTAGAACGTTTTGTTGGACAAATAGGAAAAAAACTACTTATGTTTCATCCAATTGCATGAGAGCAGCCACATCAGCGAACTTAGACTCTACCACTGTAACATAGTTGTACGTTCTTTAGAATGTCCCAAACCACTGAAGTACCACATGTGTTGACGAGCATCGGAGATTGACCTTTGGGTTGACGCGAATGAACTGAAAGGCATTCAGATTAACACACGTAGAAATACCTCCAAAACATGTGGTTTGCTTTGGTTGTTGACGAAGCTCTCTGTGAATGTCCAAGACCAAATGATTTAAAGCGCATTTGCATGCATCCTCGCAGTCAACAACGGGATAATGGCGGCAAGTGAAGCATCGCCCTATCTTGTGGGAGCATGTCATTCAACACGGTTGGAGCTGTTTCTCGACGATTTAACCTCGCTGTTCTATCCCAACGAGCTTGGGACAATGGGGATTTACTTCCTGGATCGGAACAAAGTGCAGATGTGATGTCCGAGTACAGTACCTGTAGTTTTAGTTTTATCAATACTCTGATTAAAATCAGATTTGAGCTACTATGGGAACAGCCTTTCGACCGGAAAAGGCCAGAGTGGTTATTAACAATATATAGGATAATTGATTATCTAAGAATATCTGACTAATCCATTTTGAGTTCTACAAGTATGCAAAAACGTTACTGACATTTTTACTGGCATTCCATTGGAAGAAAGAACCAAAATGTGTCCAATGACACGCGCAGAGCGGCCGTTGAATCCATCGAGGGCCAATGGGCCATGCAAGTTTTCGCGGTTGTTCCGGCCTCCGAAAGCGTGCAAATGGCATGTGAAGATGGCCGAATAGTCAAGGACGCGTTCCGAAATCTCTGTGGCTTACTGAGCTCTGTGGACGAAGTTTGAAAATCATAGTATGACCAAAATTTGTACATTTTCCCCTGGCCTGCCTGTTAATTGAGCGAACAGTAAATGTTGACATCGAATTACTGTCAAAATTAATACTATTACCATATTCCGCATAGCTTACAATAAATAAAAGGGAAATATAATCAGTCGTTTAAATAGAAGCTTATCTTTACTATGCTCTCCGAATATTTCCAAATAAATATGATTTGTTTAGAGTTAATTAACAGTAGTCGACAGCGTGGAGGGGGTCAGGCAAAAATATATCAAATGTTAGAGAGTTTTTATGAGAAGCTACAATCTGCAACCCATCAACTGGATACTTGTAATCAGCCAATGAAAATGCACTATATTTTTATGTCTCTGATTCAGAGTTACTCGATTCATTACTACTACTATCACTGTCGGAATTGTTGTCACTCTCGCTGTCGCTCACGTTGCCACTTGCGTCCTCGTCTTGCTTCTGCTTGACGTACTCCTCGAGTTTGTACAGCTGCCGGTTGGCCTTGTGTATGCAACCCTTGATGCTGCTAGCCTTGAGGTCCTTGAAGGCTTCCTTGAGCCTTACCAGGACTTGATGAAACGTCGTGTCTTGGGTGTACTGACGCCCAACCTTGTCAAAGGTAAAGTAATGTAGATAGTAAATTGAATCACGATAGTACCTGGCATTTGACAATGGCCCACACAATTTCGATAGGCTGCAGGTCACTGTGGTAAGGAGGCGTGTATGTCACCGTGTGACCTGCAGCCTCTGCCATCGCAACAACCTCAATCTTGATTTTGTCGACGTGCACGCGAAGTTTCTTCCACAGTCCTGCTTTTGTTTCATTTGTGAATGAAATTCCATAGGCCGTACATGCATTTTGTAAGACAATCTTTTTTTGTCCATATTTAGGTGTATCTATAGGGAGACCTTTATGGTATTTTGCATTGTCCATCACTATAACAGCATTGTTCAAACCATTATCTTCCATTTCATTTAGAAGTTTAGCGAACCAACTGACAAAATATTTATGGTCAAACATTCCATGATAGTCCTTGGTTTCAGGTCTACCAGTTCGTTTGCCACCTTGAAATATACCTAACGCTAAAAGCTTACTTTCCATACAACCACTATTTAAAATTGCAGCAATAAAACAAAATCTTTCACCTTTGTGTTTTTCTTTGACATCAAGGTCTAAATCATCACTAGGATCATATAATGAATCATCATGCCGACTATAATGGTGATGGATATAACTTTCATCTAAATATATAATAGGCCGTCGATTGGCATTGCCTTTCAAAATTTCACACATTTCAGAAACATACATGTCACGATGCTCAATATTCGCAGCACACATTCGGAGCCCAAGGCTTTTTTTCTTTTTGCCACGTTTGTAGCCCAGTTTCGCCAAAACTCTTTGTGTTGCTCGATACGCAGCTTCGGTTGAGAGCTGCGACTCCGGATCGAACGGCAACATGTTCTGTGACCGCAAGAAGTGGGCGACGTCCTTTGCGACGGTTCGTTGACGAGACTGGCGGCGGATGCGGACGAACTCTTGAATTGCGTCGATGATCCTCGGGGTGATTGGGAGCCTTGTACGCGAGGACATATCCCGCGTCGTTGTGGTCTTGATCGTGGTATCTCCAGTTGATATGCACTCTTTCCAAACGGCTTGAACCAATTCATGCTTTCGGCGCAGGAGCCGAGCGACTCTGCGACTGGCAGCGGGGGTGCCTTCTTGGCGCAGCATGGCGTTTAGCATTATCATGTCCAAAATCTCTGGTTTCGAGACAATGGACTCGCGTGAGCGCTTGACGTAGGCAATGGCGCGGTGGATGTCACTCAGTTTTTCGGCGGCTGTGGGCATGGTTGGATCAGCTTGGTTGTGGCAAAGAATTGGGTTGAAATTCATGGCATGTGTTAGTAATGTTGAACCTCTCGATAATTTTATAACTCGGCTAGGTAGGTATTTATAGAATGTGAAGAGTTATATGGTCTTAAGGTTATTTTAGCCTCTATTTTGAACTTTCATGCATTGAGTTGTCGAGAATATCATCATTCGGAGTGTCAAATGAATATGAATCCATAGCTAAGGCTGGGAGCTTCATTTCCACACCTGACATTTATTTTTAGCATTTTGTTTGCAATTTATATGGGGAAAGACCCCCTCCACGCTGTCGACGACTGTAAACTCTGATTTAATTTGAGAGGTTTTCAAGATTGATTTATTCTTGGCGCGAACGAGATGTCGTGGCCGCGCCGAGGCGACTCGAGGAAGGACGGCAGCGATAAGGTAGCCACCGATGCATCGTGGCCTAGGCGAGAAGCAACATCCACCGTCGAAAGCGGAAAGACCCAGCCTGCATGGCCCCGACGTGAGACGAAGAAGGTGGATGCCATCAAGAGTCATCAATCCAAGAAAGACGAAGCGTGGCTGCTGCAAGTCTTTGAGAAGCGGAAGGAACTGAAGAAGAAACGCAAACTGGAAGCCATCCTGCTTGAAGCGCGTGTGAAGGAGGATGTAGCGGAGCAAGCAGAACAAAAGCGCGCCATGACGACAGCGCCATCGATCGACGAGCCGCCACCAACGACGATTGTTGTCGATGCAATCTCCGACGCTGTCATCGACGCACGTCCGTCCACACTCGACATCGACGATAGGAGTGTCCCTGTAGTTCGATCGAATACCTCGTCGTTACCATTACCCACTGTTCATGCTGCTCCGCCATCGTCCAGTGTCCATCATCGTCCCGATCTCTCTAAAACGCCAGCATCGTCCACGTCAGCGAAATTCAATCCACTGGCGCTGACGCCGCCGCCGCTGCGACCAGTCAAGACACTAGATTGGAAGCCAACGTCGTCCCCATCCACCGCATATTCCATCGACGCCGATGTGACGGCATGGAAAGAGTTTGCCAAGAAGGAAGTGCACCGTGAAAAAGGCCCGTCAAGTGTCAGCGACAACTTTGTGCGCCTCACGATGCGAAAGCGCGTGCGTGGTAGCACGGGTAAGGCCAAGAAGCGACCGCAGTACCTTCATGCCACCATGTACAGCAACAACAATGACAATAACAACACCCATCAACCCGGGAATCCAACGCCAAAGCAAGGCGATTCCGCCGCCGAGGCCACAGATGCAATGATATCCGACGGCGTCGACATTGTCGATGAGTGTCTCGCCCAGCCTCCCCATACTCTTCCTCCTCGTCCTTCCACCGACCTTCTTGTTCCCCCGACGGTGACTGAAGCGGCGGCGGCACCACCCCTTCCTCCACAGCTCCATCCAACTGACGACATGCTCGACATACCCATCCCCTGCTGCGCCCATGGCATCCCCTGCCATCGCCTCGTCGTATCCAAGAAGACCAAGAACCACGGCCGTGCGTTCTTTGCATGCACGCGGCGTCTGGACGAAGGCCGGTGCGACTTTTTTCTGTGGGAGCAAAACCACCCCGCCGCCGTCACCCTCGCGTGGACTTCATCTTCCTCTGACCTGCCGCCACCGCCGCCGATTCCTCGCTTCGTGTCGGCACTACACGCGCTCCGTGTCGTGTTTGGCCATGGCGACTTCAAACCCGGCCAAGAATGGGCCATCCACCGCCTGCTCAACGAACCCTCGTCCAAGTCATTGCTGGTGCTTCCCACCGGCTCGGGCAAATCGCTGTGTTACCAGCTGCCGGCGCTGTACCTTCCCGGACTCACCATCGTGATCTCGCCGCTGATTTCGCTCATGCAAGACCAACTGACCAAGCTGCCGCCGCCACTCCAAGCTCGCGCGGCGTCGTTCTCGTCGTCGCGGTTCAAAGCCGACCAAGCCGCTGTCATCAAGGCGTTGGTCGAGAACCGGCTCAAGCTGCTGTTCGTGTCACCTGAACGTGTCGTCACGGCCGGGTTTGCGCGGCTGCTGGCGCGCGTCCACGTCAGCCTCGTGTGCATTGACGAAGCGCACTGTGTGAGCGAATGGTCGCACAATTTTCGCCCGGCGTTCCTACGACTGGGTCGAGTGACCCGCCGCGCCACCAACGTGCTCGCGCTCACGGCCACCGCGTCCGTCGCCGTCACCCGCGATATTGTGCGCATCCTCGAGATCCCCACAGACCGCGGCATCCACCGGTGCAGCGCGTACCGACCCAACTTGGACTTGCATGTCCAGCGCATTCAACATGATGACGACAGGTACGCGGCGCTGCGGACGCTCTTGACCACGGCGCCACTCAATAAGGGAAGTGTGATCGTGTACGTCCACACACAATACGCCGCTGCGCAAGTGGCCGCCCTGCTCACCACTGAAGCCAACATCAAAGCGAGTGCGTACCACGCAGGACTGAGTTCCGACGTCAAGGAAAAGGTATGACTATATATATATATATAAATATAGTGGAGTTTGTGCAATGTATTGTTAGAAATATATAGGTGCATGTTGCGTATGTTGCTGTCATGGTGAGAGCGTTTTATAGAACGCTCTATGATGCGATGGAATGTTGGATATTCATATATAAATATATATAGTCATATATAAATATATATAGTCATATATATATATATATATATATATTCATATATGTAGTCATATATAAATATATGTATTCATATAAATATATATATATATATATTCGTATAAAAATATATTTATTCATATATAAATATATATGAATATCCAACATTCCGACACATCAAGACAAATACATATATATATGTATACTTTAGGATATCGTATATATCATCGCTGACAGAATCGATCGACTTGATACAGAACATAGACACTAACTATATCATTGTATCGATGGAGTAGGTGCAAAAGGGGTTTGCGAGTGGCAAGGTTCGTGTGGTGGTGGCTACGATTGCGTTTGGGATGGGCATCGACAAGGCGAACGTCCGGGGCGTCGTGCATTTCCATATGCCAACTAGCATGGAGCATTACGTCCAGCACATCGGGCGGGCCGGCCGCGACGGGAAGAAGGCGTCGTGCGCGGTGCTGCTGCTCCAGTCGGACTTTGTGCGCTTCCACTCGCTCGCGCACTCGGACGGGCTGTCCATGCCCCAAGCCCACGCGTTGGTCCGCACTCTCTTCTGTCGCCACAACACGTCCATGTCTTCACCAAGCATAACACACCCCATCGCGACCCTAGAACAAGACCTGGATATGAAACATTCGGTGGTGGATACGGTGCTCACGACGCTCGAGCTCCAAGGGATGGTGGAGCTGCTGCCTTGTCTGTATGCCACATGCACGATCAGCGTGCACCAATCTCAAATGTCCAAGTGGACCGTCCATCCCATGTACCCCAACGTGATGGCGATCGCGGCCGTGTCGGCTGTCCAGGACGGGTACCTGTGCACGACCTCGTTCGTGTACAACGTGGTCGAGTATACCCACCGGTTTGCCAGCAACTCCACCAACGACGCAAGTGCGTTTATAGAGCTACGCCGGCTGCAGCAACTCGGCATTGTACAGTACAAACTGTCCGACTATGCCATCCATTTCCGCATATTGAAGTGTCCATCATCATCCGACGCCGCCCTCGACGACCTCGCGCATGCCATCTACGTACACCACCAAGCCCAAGAAGCCCGCAACGTTCATCGGTTAGAAGCATTGTATCACGTCTTGTCGGCAGCATGTCACATTCCACTGAACAAGTCCCCCGTCGGCAAGAAGCAACCGAGCGACCCGTTGAATGCTGCGATTGAAGCATACTTTGAAGACAATGGTGGTATACGTACAGCAGAAGAAGAAGAAGAGCATGACGACTGGCCCCGCACGCCGCTGACCCCGGCGGAGACACTGGCCATCCAAGCCGCCACCACGCGCCTCCTCCAGGACGACCGCGTCGCCTGCCGCCTCGTGTCGGCGCAGAGCATCACGCGCATCCTCCACGGGCTCTCCAGTCCCCGGTTCCCTTCCGACGACTGGCGAGACCACCCGCTATGGGCCAAGTTTGCAGCGATGCCGTTTCCAAACGTTCGTGCTGTCGTCCACGACGTTGTCACAGACCACAAAAAAAATCAAACTGCGATGACGGGTGACGACACGAATGTATGCATCGACCACCCAGACCAGAATCAAGAGGGTTGGTCATAATAACACGAGTCTGGTTCATATACTATGGCTATGTTAAGAGGTTGTCGTTGGCGCTTTGGGTGTGGACGCCGTACGTCGACGGTGGCGCTGCGCGTCGAGCTCGGCGACCCATGACTGTACCAGGGGCGTCTTGAACTTGCCTTGGGTACCCGCAAAGAACTGGTCCAGTTGAAGGTTGTCTTGAGCTATGGAAAACATATGAAAACCAAAACATGGATTTTATGAATACGAGTCATATATATATATATACTAGTATATACTTGTGTATCAACAAAATATGTGATGGACTGTTGACGACGATATTCTATATATATAAATAGCAATATATATATATATAAATAGCAATATATATATATAAATAACAATATATATATAGCAATATATATATATATACATAAATAGCAATATATATATATATATAAATAGCAATATATACCTATATATTTATAGCAATATATATATATTTATAGAAATATGATGGAATTTCAACAAAACGTACCGCCTTCGTACTCGTCGGCTTGCAAAATCATTTCGAATTTATCGAAATCTTTGACCAATTTCGCTTCGTCGGACGTGGCGTCTTCGTATTCGTGCCACAATTCTTTGATCTCCAACGCTAGATCGAGTGTGACCATATGGAGCAGCCAAGGGGGAATGGATGGTGGGTATATGTACCAGCCTGCGAGTGCCCGAGCCTGCTGCAAATGTTGTCAATGGCATTCTAGACAAGATGGACACGAGTAAGCGACCCACGATGAACAACGTTCATGGAGAAGGGGTACCAGTTCCAGGCGATGCTTTTCTTCGTTGGACACGCCTACATCACTCGATCAGGCATATTTTATGGAGAGATCGAAGGCTTGTCGTGGCCATACGTACCATCGTGAGGAGTGATGTCGCCGACGAACGACTCCGCCAAGTCGTGCACGATGGCCATCTTGATGCACCTGCCTCACCATAGCATTGACCTTATTCGTTCGTCACATGCAACAAAGTGGTTACCGTGTCTTGTCCAACGACGAGTCTCCATCGAGCAGCAGCGTGCACATCGCCATGCGGTACATGTGATCGGCAACCGACTCGGGGCCATTCACGTGATGGTTGACCCAGCCTGTGCGTTTCAAGCGCTACATTGGACACGCCATGCTTCAGACACTCATGTTCGTTCGTAGCAAGTGCATGCGTACCTTGAGTTGCCCGCAGATTCGAAGGAATTCCACGGCGCTTGTCGCGGTGATGCCTCGCGTTGTCATCGCAGCCACCGAGGTCAAAAGTACTCACAAATCAATTATCCGGATAATCCTTCCGGTTAAGAAAGCGTATCCTAAAAAATACAGCATGAATAATAATTCACCGAGCGGCGGCGATGGTGCGCGTCCAGATTAGCAAGAACAATGGGTTCCTCGAATACAAAGAAGCCGAGGTCGACATCCCAACGGAAGAAGAGGGCAAGCTGTCCATTGAGGACGTGAAGCTCCGGTGGGCGCATGCCATCTACGCCGAGGAAGACTTGTTCACGCTAGAAGGGCCGCACGAAATCAAGCTGTATCACATGCCATTGGGACACGACGTGGACTTGCTTAAGCCAAGCCAGCTGCATGAATGGATATCCACTCCGTCGTCTCAATGGGTCCTCGATATCTTTGCCCGTCCTCTGATCACGTCGTCCATCGGCGGCGCCATCAACATCGACACCACGACGACCGACAGGTATGTCTGTCGGATTGACACTCTCACACGCCGCCGTCATTCATTACAGTCCCCGCCTCGTCATCACGCGAGCCAATGCAACTCCCAAAGTCGCCGCGCGTGCCACAGCCCGACATCCGTTCTCCCGTCGCGACCCCCATTGGCATGTGGGCACATGGTACCCGTCCATTTCCGTCCACACAAAATGAAATGTTCTTGCAGGGTTCCTCAGCTCAACACATCTCTCACCACCCCCCGTCGCGACAGCAACACGAGCACTGGTAGCGCCACGTCGTTCATCGGCGGCATCATGGGCACGCGCGGCCACCTGCAGACCGAGTACGAGGACATTTTGCAGACGACATTTCGTGCGCAGGAAACGTTGCGCAAGTTTGCCAGCATCGGCAAGCCCGTGACCACCCACAGCATCCAAACCACGCTGCTCCCTCTGGCCATGGTAGACCCATGGCGTTATCACACTCTCATGGCGTTATCACACTCTCATGACGTTATCTGTAGGCATGTCCCAGCGCAATCTCGCGGCATGGCCCGAACGTGCTCTACCAAGGCGTGTACAACCTCGTGGATGCTGAGCTCCAGCGAGGCTTTGTGCAAGCTGTGCGTATTTGGTTTAGCTTTGACAACGAGCACACGGTCGAGGTTAACAACCCACCCACCATCCTCCTCCGCCTCACCATCGGCATGCAGGTGGCCAAACGAGATGGAAGCTTGGGGCTGAAGCCCGTGCGCCAACAAGATGGATGGATCGTCGTGCAGGCGGTGCCTGGCTCCCCGTGTGCCCTCGCCGGCATGCCGGACGACGAAGTGTTTCTCACGCATGTGAATGGCGTGGACGTGTCGCCGCCGCAGTGTCCCGCCAGTGCCGACAAGGCGCGGCAGTCCAATGGCAACGTCAGCTGGGCGGGCAACGTCGTGCCGCTCGTCGAGCCCTGCGACGTGTGCGTGTTTACGTACTTTTAAGGACAGAATGCCGAATATGGGTAGATTGTCCACTCGTGTTCGACTGGGAAGAGTAGTAGTACTAGTAGTAGTAGTCGTAGCGCGCGCGGGTCATCAAAACACATACATATCCTCGATATTCGTAGCCCCACCCCACGTGTCGTCCAGGTAAAAGATAGACACGATCATGTGTATGTGCGTGCATGCCGTAGATCTGGCGAGCTAGCGCGCCCGTGGACCGACGACCAATGTACTCTGACTGGACGATAGTTGACAAGTTAGTTGGTGCCAAAGCTGGCTCGGATCTGTTTGGTCACAACGTCCATGCCGGTGTTTGCGTCCACTTGGACGAGCTTGCCTTGGCGCGCGTAAAAGTCGATCACGGGCTGGGTCTGCTTGTGGAACGCATCGAGGCGGGCACCCAGCGTCGCCACGTTGTCGTCCTTGCGCTGGATCAGCGGTTCGCCCGTGATGTCGTCAATGTCGGCCACCTTTGGGGGGTTGAACTTGACGTGGTAGCTGCGGCCGCTCGCGGCGTGGATGCGGCGACCAGAAATGCGCTCGACCAACACTTGGTCGGGGATGTTGAAGTTGACAACCTTATCCACTTGAGTATTGGTCTCCACGAGCATTTCGTCCAACTTCTCGGCTTGGACCACGGTGCGAGGAAACCCGTCGAGGATGAACCCGCGGCGGCATTCTGGGCTCGTGATCGCGTCCTTGATGATGCCAATCACGATTTCGTCCGTGACAAGGGCACCCGATTCCATGGCAGCCTTGGCCTTCTTGCCCATGTCCGTGCCGTCCCGCACCGCCGCGCGAAGCATGTCGCCCGTGGCCAAGTGGCACAAGCAATATTCGTCCTTCACGATCGGACTTTGGGTGCCTTTGCCGCAGCCCGGAGGGCCGATGAACACGGTACGGCGCTCCTTCTTGCCGGCACATTCCAAGCGCGTTTCAAGCTCCGCCAGTAGGGCCTTCGTCGGGATAGCAGCGAGAGACATTGGGGATGTGATGGATGTGCACGTCAACTCGCAAATTACAGATTGACTGGCGTCGTGATGTCATTGACCTCACATGGAGGACCTTCCAAGGACGGCCTCCCATTGGCTCATTAGTGCCACATCCTTCCGGATAATTACATCCTTAAGGTATTTTGACGAGATTGTGGGATGGGAAACCTTAAACAAGACTAAAATCGCCAACGTGGGGCTAAGCTCAGTCCTGTCACTTGAGCCGAGATCTTATAGGTATTCGGTGACCTAAGTTCACAAGAGGGATCTTCGCCTAAGTAGGAAGTGGTAAGGGGTCGTTTGCCCTATGAAATGACAAACACGTGGAAAATGAAGGGTCGGGTGTTGACGCGTTGGCTGGGGTGCAAGGTTCATACCGGTACAGTAACGTTACTGTCAGTGAAATTGAAATACCCTAAGCGGATGGCTCTGCTTATCCGGATGCACGGAGGAAGCAGTGGGGCTTCATTTTGAAAACACTAAAATTAGATGCGCAACCAGCGACTTGGATCACTTACTTTGCCATGGCGTTCAAGAACATCCAGGCTCGAACGCGAGATGAGCGCAAAGCGGTTCGAGACAAAGAGACATGGGAGAAGGATCGCCTTCGTGCGCGCAAGGAAGGATACATTCGCGTGGACACGTCAATTTCGGGAAGCGCCATGACAGTTCAAGCGGCCGGGTCGCAAGGGTACATGTCGGACGCGGATCGTTTCCACACGGACGTGGCGGGTGAAGAAAAGGTAGTGCGTGAGTCGCGTATTGCGAAGCATCAGATGTCATACGACACCCGCCGCCGCGACAATCAAGTCCGCGAAGACCAGCGGTGGAAAGCCATGGATGAAAAAGCTACCGAGGAAAAGAAGCGATGGGACCATCTCCGCGACGACGGCGGCAAAGCTCGTCGCAACAAGTCTAGTTGCGAATTCAATCCCATCACACTCAAGTACAACGACGGAAAGGACGGCGAGCGGCTCAAGCAAGCCGACACGGAAATTCGGCATCGCGCGTCCGTCCGCGCTGCGAACTTGCAGTTCAACAGTTCCCGAGGAGGCATCAACCCCATCACCGGCGACCCCATTAAGCGTGTGCAGACCTAGCTAGCTTGATCCATAACCGTCAGTTGCATCAGTGTTATTGGACTCACGTTAACTTGACTTACCACATGCTAATAATTTGGCGCCGTTTCGAAGAATCCGGATAACAGGATCGCCGAGAGGTCGTATCCGTACGAGCCTGTGGTGGCGCTTCTGAAAGTTCTCATTCCAAGCAATAAGCAACAAGATGGCTGACGCGGCTGTGAAAGGTATCCTAACGCAATGCATTCAAATGGCAGTGCAAGGAATGTTCACATGATGACGTCGTGTAGAAGTGCCTCCTTCCACAGAAGACAAGGACGTTGTGTCCGAACCCAAGGTACGAACACAAGTCGTCTCCTAGCCCAACGTGATCGTATATGTGTTGTATCATGCAGGTCGATGGCTCGGCCGAGTCCAAGACGCAAGATAACGACGACACCACGGAAGCCAAGAACGCGGAGAAGGTGGCCGATCAATCCGCCGCCAAGTTGGACGTGCAGTCGCTTCCAATCCGCGCTTACTTGGACCAAACGGTGGTGCCCATCTTGCTGCAGGGCATGTCGTCCTTGGTCAAGGAGCGCCCCCCCAACCCCATTGAATGGCTTGCGGCCTACTTAATTAAAAATAACCCCCAGGGCCCGAGCACCAACTCCAAATAATCCCGCGAAAATGCTTTCTTTTTTTTCAGTTTTTTTTTGCGTTGGAAAACCAGCGACAGTCGGAAAAAAAGATCGTCGTTTTTGTTTATGCCGTGTCGCCTTGATACCCGCGTCCACCGCGGGAGCTCCCCCGACCGCCGCGACTGCTTCCATCACGTCCACCTCGGCCACGACCTTCGCCGCGTCCGCGGCCGCCGCCGTCCCCTCGACCACGGCCGCCTTCACCTCGTCCTCGACCACCACCTTCACCGCGACCCCGGCCACCTTCGCCACGGCCGCGGCCGCCTTCACCTCGACCGCGACCTCCGCCGTCGCCTCTGCTGCCGACGCCGCCTCGACCGCCCCGGCCCCGACCGCGAAGAGAATTTCGATCTACGATGGTTATATCATTCAACTGCATAAGTAGTGCGGATGCAGATGCGATGCTTACCTTTCTTTGTCAAGTCTTCCTCGACCACCATGTCCAAAATCTACATTGTCCTCGTGAGTACCATATGTACAGTACATGATCGCGCAAGGCGTACCTCGTCCGGAATGCGAATGTACTTGATCGTGTTCCCTCGGATGTAGCACTCCGGAAGCTTCCAGAAGCGATCACCATCCTACGAAGGGGATCGTCGAATACTCAAGTGTCGTGGCGATGATGGAGTTGGCATGTCGAAATTGACTCTACCTTGGCCGTACAGATCACTTCTTTCAAGTTGATGTTCATCCATGTGTCGCAGTTCACAAGCTGACCGTTATACGTGTCGCCGCTCTTCAGTTCCACCAACTAACAATCGTCATGCTGGCATGAGTCACTCTCAAAGAAGAGTTTCATTGCATCGCCTTACCATGGGCGCCCCTTGGGCAGTCTGCAGCAGCGACAAAGGTAACTATCCACATACGCATCATGAGTACTTTACTGCACTCCACCATGGCAGACTGGCAGGTGGCATCAGGACAAGTCGCTGTCGCCTCCACCGCCGACGAGGCTTCCCTACCATCTTCTGTGGCGCTGTGAAATTCTACTCCCTTCGTCTCGAATTTTAGCCAATCAAAACGTGTTGTGAAATCTACCAATCACGCCCTCAGATTATTTTTTGCAAGGACAAAGCAACATGTCCTCGGCTAGCAGCCGCGCCTTGGCGCTCTACCGACGCATCTTGCGCGTCGCAAGGACATGTAAGGCAAACTGATCGTCGTACACGTGACTCATGGCTTAGCTTGCAGGGGAAGGTCCTGAGAAGGAGCGTTTGTACATCAAGCAAGAAGCGAGGTACGTTGGTCGTCCATTGTCCTCATTCGTTTTATCCCACCACATGCAAACGGAAGTGGAATCAACAGCACGACGTATAGGCGTCAATTCGAAGGGAATCGTCAACTCAGGCGTATGGATGAAGTTGAAAATGCCATTCTACAAGGAGAACAGCGTTTGGAAGTGGGCTTGCACTATAAAATCCCATACCCTCGACCAATGTACGCCGATCCTGGCACGGTTGGCGGCGACAACAACTTCCAGCGTCAGTCCAACCGCCACAAAGCGAAGGGTGGACAATTGGAGAAAAAGTCGAGCTTGAATGCGTTCAAATGGAAGTGATTGCACCTGCATTGACATAAGCTTCCACGCGGTAGAATTCAGCGGAGAAACAGCATCAGGTGTAACCATGTCGAAGCCCCTACAAGCGCGCCATTCTCATGAAAGAATGACATTGCGCTTTGCATTTCTAGCAAACGTCACTCCGTATCTTGATCCCCAGAGTTGCGGCGGCGCGGCCTCTTGCGCTTGGACTGGGGATGGATACGTTATCCGGATGATCTCTAAATTGTCATTTATCCGGATATGCCTTGAAATATCATACGCCAAAGTATAGATTTTCACAGGATTAGTAGTCCCCACAAAGCCACTCCAAGACGCACACATCATGGCCGGAAAGCTGCTCATCGCCGCGGGCAGCCTGCTCCTAGTGCATGCTGGTTACTACACTCTGCAATGTAAGTCGATGCCACTTTCCATATGTGTGGCTGTCGATGTGCGTGAATCTCACCTGTCCTCATTGCCTTCAGACGAAGAGTACGTCAAGCTCGCAGAAGTCCCAGACGCCTCGTTGCCGCCACTTGCGGTGCGTGCCACACATGCAACGCAGTCTCCCGTGCCCTAGTTTGCTTGAGCCCATCACATGAGTGGTTATTTTGAGTAGGCCAAGGTGGAGCTGACGATTTCGTTCCTCTTTTTCCTGGTGGGCGTGCTCCTCACGGCGGGCGACTTTGCGCCGATCCGGTCGACGCAGTTTTTCAACACCAAGTACGATCTACGGCCACATTCAACCTCCCATATGGGTCCTTATCTCATGCATTAGATCGTTTGATTGGATCGCGTCCAACCCCGAGTTTGCCGTGTTCAACCACCGCGGCAAGTACCTCCCAAAGAAGAAGGACACGTAGCCATATTGTTTCAACGACAAACGTGGTCGGTAGAAAAGCAAGTACAAACCCGTAGTTCAGCCACACTATTTCATTGTTCAGGATGACTCGCGTTACTAAATACACTATTTTCACACAACTAGCAACCGATGTATCTATCACCTCCATGAACCCAATATGTAACTTCGCACACTACTAGTAACGTTAGTGAACGGTTCATGCATGCGAAATATGTACACCCCATCGTAACATGCCAAGGATCTACCGGTAGGTATGACCTACGAAGTTATATGCACTACTAGTACATCAATAGTACGTACTTAGTAGTTGGCGACTACCGGTATCTCCATGGTCAATCGGTTCTACTACATAACCCAGTCGAGTTGAATCGTCCTCCATCTCCAACGCCATGCAGTTCCTCCATCTTGATCGCCATGCTATGTATGCTGTGTTACATTTGCTGCCACATCAACGCGACTCCTATTTATAGCGCTCAACTCGTTCCCCCGTTATTGTTGCCCTGCACACTCCAGTTTACAACATGCACGTTCGTGGCTTGTTGGTGCTTTTCGCGTTGGTCTTAGTAACCGACGCGTACCGCCTTCGCCGCACGGCAGACGACGACGAATGTGTGACAGAGTGTCGCGCGTTCGTCGACAACTTCCAAGAAGACACGTGCGAGCCATTTCGGTACCGCGTCCCTCGGCCGGCGCTGTACTCTCGATGCACAGAGGCCTACTCCGCTGGTACGCCCCCCCTCCATCTCCCCTGTCTTTTCCCCCAACTTTTTAATTTGTTCCATTCTCCGCCTCAACTCATACGAATGATATTCGTTCTAGCCACGGCGGCAGGGTGCTCCTACTGCTCTGCTACGGCCGCCAAGTTAGCGCACATCACGGACAGCGTGTTCCACTACTGCGACCAGTGGGGCCGCGGCCACGACCGAGGGTACGAGCAAGCGTGCAAGGACGGGTACCTTACCTCGACCAACCACGTCAAGCGTTTCCTCAAAACCAGCCAGTACGAGCCCGTGCAAGATGACCGTGTCGACAGCCGGCCGAAAGATGAGTCGAACAACCCGCGCCGCAACACCGACGACGACGATATGGTCGAGTCAGCCGAGTCCATCGTCCAGCGTCATGTACGTACGCTCTCCAGGATGTCATCGTATATGCGACACAGATATACTAGTTGTACTAACTAGTGCGACTCATTAATAACGTTAGTTGAACGAAGCGCGCCGAGAAGCCATCAACGACTTTGAACACCGCGACCGCCACGACTACCGCGGCCTTTAAAAACAAGTTGATGAACATCATCTTGTGCCGATACCATATTAGCATTCATTCTTTTAGCCAATCATAATTCAAAAAATCAATATTTTTAGCCAATCATATCCCTGAGGCCATTTTGTTGCCGATTTCTACAATTCCCCAAAATTGGCAAATTTGGGTGAAATTGACAATAATTAAACACTTGTTGATTTTCGATCGCTCGTTTTTGTAGTTTTACTCCATGTCATCGTCATCATCGTCGTCATCCTTGTCGTCATCATTGTCACTGCCCATATAACTGCTATTGTCGTCAATCTCCAACCCTTCATACGCTTCGTCGTCTTCGTCGTCGTCACTGCCCATCTCAACCACGTCGTCGTTCTCCTCCGCTTCCGCCTTGACGACGGGCGCGACGGGCGCGGCCTTGATGCCTTCGTCTGTGAACAGCACGGCATTCAGGCGCTGCTTTGCGTAGTACGTGTGCACCGCCTTGCGAGTCTCGACGTGATGCACGTGCACCATGCGATCCAGCCCCACGGACGCCACGTACGGCAGCGTAGGGTGCAGCGCCAGGTCCCGGATAGACCCCACGGGGCCGTGGTATCGCCCCAGGTGCTTGAACGTGCGCATGTCGATGGCGTTCACGTTCCCGGCGGTGTCGCCGAAGATGACGCGGTTGCCCTGGACGAGCACGGCTGTGATGGGCAGGTCGCCAAACGATGTCTCAGACACCGGCCGCCGCTTGGCGCTGGTATCGTAGATGCGGATTTGATGGTACGCGGTGCCCACCACGAGGCGATGGCCTTCGCTGCCTCCCGCGGCGGACGTGGGCGGCAGGAACGTCATGGCTTTGACCCACACCGGCACGCGCATATCCAGGTTGTCGTGCGTGATGTTCTTCGCTTTAAAAATGGCCTTCTGGGTCTGCAAGTCCCACAGGTTCGCGTCGCGCTCTTTCCCGCCGATCCCAATCACATTCGATGCGAATGGGTTCACTCGCAGCGTCTGGATGTCGTTGCCAACGTTGAACGACGGCGGGTTGGGCTTGACGTGGAGCGGGTGGACGACTTCTACGTGTCCTGCCGTGTTGCATCGCACGATGGAACCATATTCCGCGATGACGCCCATCCCAACAGGACTGCCTTCGCGCGTGAAGCTCCACGGCGACCCGCCGTGGACGCCAACGCAATCGACATCTCCATTTGTGCGCGCCACGACCACGTCCTTCTCAGACCACGCGAGGTATCGAGCAGACGTGCTACGGCTCTGAGCTGTGCCTGCCAGCACGGTGGCCGTCGCCGCTTCTACTGCCACGTTCTTGACCAACCCTGTTTCATCGGCAATGATCACGCGCATGGTGCTTCAACTCTAGCACTATCCAATGAATGATTTCAAACGCAAAAAACTCAACGAACCACTGGCCGCAACCTGGGGGCCAATACAGGCTTTTCATTGGCTGTATTGGTAAAACAAAACCTGAAAACTATCCAATCCTTTTGTTCCATTTGGAGAAAAACAATGTAGATATAACCAATCAAAACTATACTCTCAGTAGGGGAGTTTCAGTCCTGTGAAGTCTACTCGAGGAGAGACACAAGCATGCATTAAGAAAAGTGCGCGGAGGCAGGAGCACACACAACATCCCGCGGTGGTGTCCTTATGAAGGTCATGCAGGGGGGATACGCCGACGATCGTGCGAGCCCTTTCCTCGTTCGAAGGTCATTGCATACTGTAGCAAATGGGAAGCAGTGCATAGTGTTCAGAACTCGACTTCGAGTACAAGGCACATCAAAAGGGCATGAAGTAAAAGCAAATATGTGTCGCATTGACATCCATTACATCGCCATGGACGCCTCGAGTCGACGCAATTCTTCAAGCTCGTCGGCATCGGCTTTGCCCGTGACTTTGACCTGGGATACGGCATGCGTGGGGACCTCGGGAAGGTTGAACATAGCTTGCGCAGGCTGCTGGGCGACAGTTTGAGGTCGGGCTTGGACAGGCGCCGCGACGGGGGACGCAGCCAACTGTTCCTCCATGGCCAGGTCGTCCAATTCCCTCAACTGCTGTTCCAGTTCGTCTTCGTCGTACAAGGCATTCCCGAGGGGCTGGGAGATCGCACGACCGATTTCATCTGCCGTGGCCATTTCTTCCTGGATGTCGTCCATGATGTCGTCGACGGAATCCACGTTCATTTGGCCGTGGATTGCCTTCATCTGGTTCGCGCCGCTGCGGAGTGCCGTGAACGTCGCCATGTTCACTTGCGTCGACTCGAGGGTCATGACTTGTGTCTCCAACGTCATGCGCGCGCCCTGCAGTTTCTCCACCTCCGATTCGTACATTTTTTTGCGCTTCAAACAAAAGATGGCGCCGCGCTTGTCTTTCGCGGCCGATTTCTTCTTGGCCTCGTCTAACTGCAGCTCCATCTTCTTCTCGATGTGGGCCTCCCGCTTCTCTAGGGTATCTAGTTGTTCCCTCAGCTTGCGGATCGTCTCTGCCGTATCCGCGGGACTTGTTCGCACCGGCGCGGGTGCCTTCCGTCCGAACAAGTTCATCGTGTCCACGTAAGTCCAAGAATGGCAGAAAGCAAATGATAACCCCCAGAGAAAGACATACATTCTCGAATAGAAACCCAGCTTTCCTTCCACTGAGCGACCGACATTCCGATGAACTGAATTTTGCCATGTACGGTTTTATACCGTACGTACACTGTACATTAACGTACAACTGTGTTGTACGTCCAGTGCGCAACCAATTCAACCAACCCAGAAAGTGATGGGGAACGAAGCGAGCCGGGCTGTGGACCTGTCGCCAGGGCCGTCGTCGTTAGCGGCACCCTCTTCTTCGGGCATGTCGGCGCCAATGGGATCCATTCGAAGGATGGACAAGGTGATTCGGAAGAAGGTTCGCGGGGAGATAACGTACAACATGAAGCTGTTGATCCGTGGCGAGCGCGGGACTGGGAAAACGTCGTTGGTAGCACGATTGCAGGGTTTGCCGATCCCAGAAACCCACGTGCCCACAAGAGAGATCGAGACGGCGTCCATCAACTGGAGCATGAAGGGCAGCTCGGAAGAGAGCGTCAAGTGCGAAGTGTGGGACGTGGTGGACGTTGGGTTGACGTCCAAGGACGACTCGGACGCCGCGGACGCGGCCATGTTGGACTCGGAATCGCAGGGCCGACACCAAGTGGCCCCCGTGGATGCGCAAAACGTCGACGTGTACCAGAACGCCCACGGCGTGATCTTCCTCATGGACATCTCCAACTACGCGAGTCTCGAGTATGTCAAGCATCAGCTGGACATGGTGCCCATTCACATCCCGACGTTGATCATCGGCACATTCCGCGACTTACGACGTGCAGACGGCGAGCCTCTGAAGCGCGCGATCTTCAAGGAGGATGTCCAAGCGCTGCTGTATGGCACGGCCAAGGACATGAAGAACCCCGCGTTCCGTCGGCCCGTCGAGCAGCATTACTTTGAGGCTTCGCTTAGCAATTGCTACGGGCTCAAGGCGCTGCACACGTACTTGAGCATTCCGTTTCTGCATCTCAAGGTGGCCACGGTCAAGCAGCAGCTCAAACTGCTCGAAACCGACTTGGCCACCGCCAAACTCAATGTCGACACGACCATCTCGACCCAAAAGTACAGCCACTTTGTGCACACGATAGCCGCAGGCGCCGACATTCGAACTGGGCGCCGCCACGTGTCTAGTACTACTACTAGTAGTACTAATCCTAGTAGTCGCCCGGCGTCGGCGTCAACTACTACTACGACGACTGCAACTACCAATCCGACGCTCGGTGCAGGAGGCGACTTGGACGACGATGCCACCTCGACGGATGCCGAGCCGTCTACCCCTCGACCTCGAGACCCTCGGCCGCCATCGCCGCCAACTCCGACGCCGCTGCGTGGACCCGCCATGCCAGACATGGACGACGACGACGAGGACGGCGGTGGTGCCGACAGGGGACGAGCTGACCGTGTGCAAGAGGATGAGGCCACGGCACGGAATGTGGACCATGTTGACGACGACGACGACCTGCCGGCGCGCGGTGCGGACGACGTCGAACCGGAAGCGCCGAGTCCTCTGCGCACCGAACACATCCAAGTGAAGCCGTCCCATACCAGCACAAGCAGCAAAAAGAAGGACAACCTCCCCCTTCCCCCAACTCCATCCTCCCCCCCTTCTTCTTCCACCGGTCGTCCTACTCCTCCCCCCGCTCCTCCATCATCATCATCAGCGTCCAATGCTGGAAAGGCATCGGCGGCGGGCGGTGCGAGGCGCCGGTCGTGGGATAAAGCAGAGACGTTGGAGGATTTCACCGTGTCGACCGACATGGACCGGTTCTATTCCGACGCCAGTTCCAACGACGACGACGACGACGAGGTATTGTATCATGTCCTGGTCGCATGTACATATATATATTGATATTGTTTACAGGATGTGGTGGTGCGCACGTTGGGGCAGCAGCCGCGAGTCTACCGCAAACAAGACTTTCTCTACAGCGACTCGTCCTCCGACAGCGACGACGACGACGTGGAGGTACCGCCAGATGTTCCGGCGTACGTTTCGGTTCAACAGGTCGCCCGCCAGTCCACGCGACCGCCGCCGCCGTCTCTACCTCCGCCGGCCATCGTCGTTGTATCAGACAAGCAACAACCACCAACGTCCCCCCCGCCCCCACCATCGACACGATCGCCTACCAAGGCGGGTCTGCAAGCAGAAACCACCCCCACGCCCCTCAACGACGACGGCGACGACGAGGGCATGGACGACGTGACGCAGACGAAACCACGGTCGAGTGACTCGGAGGCTAAACCGGTCACGCGACCTCACTCGAAGACCCGCCCCTTGGTCGTCGAGTCGGACGACGACGACAAGCCCGACGTTGTCATGTCGTCATCCCCTGCTTCCGTGACCCGAAAACAAGAGTCCAGTAATGATTCAAACCAGAGTGACACCGATGACAGCATCGCGCATGCGACAACGCGCGCCACAAGCCCCTTGTCCCCCCCCGCGGCAGCTTCGAACCAACGACCGCCCCCCGTCGTCGATTCTTCGGATGCTGAGGCGTCGCCTTTGCAGCCAGATGATGCGGACGAGGGCGGGACCGTGGAGGACGAGCTTGCCGCCGACTCGCGACCAGCGCCTTCCCCTCCTCCTCACCTTCCCCGTCGAGAAGCAGAGCCTTTGGTCTTATCACCGCAACATGGAAAGGATCATGCAAAAGACAACGAGGAGCAGCTTTCGAGTGATGACGACGACGATGTGTTCTTGGATGTAATCTTGGACGACGACAATGAGGACGAGGATGTGCCACCGCTTGCTAACCACCACCCGTGTGACTCTCCAGAGTCGAGTGACAGCGACGTACCCGACGACATCACTCACACCGCAAAGCACTTCGCACAACTCCCGGTCACTCGAACGAAAGGGGCGCAGCTTCCAGCAACACCTGTAGCAACGATTCCCGTCTCGACCACCTCCACAATGCCGTCGCTGACTGTGCTCAACGTGATGTCGTCGACACCAGTCGACGTCGTGCCGCCCGTCATAACGTCACCCGCGCGGTCGTCTTCGTCGTCGTTCAAGGCGACCACCCGGCCCATAAAGACCCGCTTGCACATGGTCGATTCTGACAACGACCTCAGCAGCAGTCCCGTGGCTGCCACTTCAAAGGCGATGCTTCCATCAACCAGCGGCGACCACGAGTTTGTCGTCGAAAAATCCTCGTCGTTCTGGAGTGATGACGATGATGATAATGACGAGGACGAGAAGGTGTTTGTCGGGAATACAAACAGCCCAGCAGTGGGTCGTAATGCCGCCACCACCGCCACCGCCGCCCGGCCTTTCAAGCCAACAGCCGCTGCCGCGCCTCCTGCCGCCGCCGCCACCGTGCCCCTGAATGCCAGTGTACTCGCCGCCATCGAACAAGCCCGACGCGCTGCGTTGGAGATGCTCCCAAGCACTGCTACTATATCAACCCCAGCATCTTTTGGCTCTAGGGGAGGGGTATCGGACGAGGAGGTGGCGCTGCCGACAAGGAAAGTCAAAGCCGACAAACCGAAAAAGAAAAAAGTAGGTGCCTCGTCGACCAAAAAGACAAGTAGGAAAAGTAGTGCCAGTCGGATGCACGTGGTAGCCAGCGACGAGGACTAACACGTTTGATAAAGCAGAGTAACAACTAGTTTTGTCAAAGGGTGGATGGGATTGCCATGTGCTTTTGGTCAGTGGCAGGCAGAACCTTGGTGCGGAGTCCATGCTTTCGATGAAACTTGTACAGGCATCCCTTTGAAAACGCGAGGCGCTGGGGACACTGGAACGTCGCGTTGAACACAGAACGCCAAGATGACATTGGCTGAAAAGAGCGAACTGGCTGCATGCTCAGCATGTACGGAACCCTGCCGCGACGTATTCCGAGCTGGCAACATGGGCCAACGAAGCGATCACCCCCTCAAAGTCGACCAGTGGAAATGCCATCAAGCGCCACGTGAATCAAAGCCAACGTCCCCACAACGGAGAAAGAAGCATGGATCGCGGTGTGTCGCTGCCGGACGTAGAACATCTAGTTGTCGAGTGGGTCCTCCGTTGTGAAGTGTTGCGAGTAACGTTATGCATCACTGGAGAGCTCATCCGAAAGCAAGCCGCCTTCATCTTTCACAAATGATTATTCCCACAATTTTTGTTACATGCACCTTGAATAATAACATTATTGTTCGTCGTATTAATATGTTACTACGTATTATTGTGCTTTTGACAGTAATAAGGGAATTGAACTTGAAAGTGCGATATAATTAATAAGTTAGCTGTGTTTTCTGGCAAGAATGTCAGCCCACGCTGTTGGATATTTTTGACGCCAAAGTTAACTTACAGTTAATGACAAGAGGTGCGTGAGTGCATGCATGTATGTTGTACGCATCCATTTGCTGCACCACAATGGTTATTCATCAAATTAACGATATTTACCACAAACCCTACACGAGCGAGTTTGGCCTTCCATAACAAAGTCGGTGGGTTGTATGTTGGCCATGCCGCTTTCATTATGGCACGCGCAAGCTTGATTTAATTCGGCAAGTACGGTTCAATGAAGGCACGAGCAGCGCTGACGCGTTCATAGATACCTGGCGTGCCGCGTTCACCACATTCAAAGCCCCAGCTGACCACCCCCACCAATCGCACGGCACCGTTTTCTTCGATGGTCAACGGCCCCCCCGAGTCGCCGTGACAGGAGTTTTGTCCTTCCACCCCTGCACCCAACATCGTATCGGTCACTTGGGCAGGGAACAACGCAGCCGAGGCCCTGGTGTTGTTCCAGGTCGTGACGTTCAGCTCCTTGAGCACTTGCGATTTGGGGCCAACAATCTCGGCAGCTCCCCAGCCGCGTACCCAAGTGAGCACGTCCGCCGGAACGAATTCAAACGACACCGCCACAGGTTGGATGGTCGTGATGTTGCGGTCCAAGATTACGATGCCCACGTCGGTGCCATCGGGGTGTGTGATTTCCTGGATGACAGTAGCATTTTCCCCGTCGGCAAAACCAGTTAAATAGTGCGTGCCCACGACCACATAACGTAGAAAATCTCTAAAACAATGCGCCGCTGTCAAAACGACATTGGGGGCGATCAGACTACCGCCGCACACGGTCTCACCATCGCGCGACGCCTTGAGCCCAACCACATAACGGTGCTGGCCGAATTGGGCTTCCTGGCCCCCGAGGATTTCGAAACCGTCGTCAGGGGCCTCATCACCCCAAGCGATTTTGGCTGGGACAATTTGGTCTTGAGCCAAGGCAGCGACGGCTACGGTGAAAACGAAAAGGAGTGCGAACTTCATGATGAAAATTGGAAAATGAATGGTCTTTTCATCTACATATGTATACGTATAGAGCAAGTCAATCCAATCGTTTACGTCAGACTGTGATTGCACTAGCACACCAACTACCAAGGTTAACCAAATGGATACAGTTGGGAGCGGTGCGACTTGTGCCACGAGGGCCTTGACCTTGTCGGGCTCGGCATCGGAATAGATGGTCGTGACGGCCTGAAGGACCTTCTCGATCGCAGCGGCCCGTTCCCTGGCCATGTCTTCTTGCAATCCCACGAGTTTCTTGCGCAGGTCGGAGCCATTGACTAGGTCTGCCGTTGGTGGGAACAGCGCCGTGGCATGTGTTGAATAATTCCCTCATTAAAAGAGTTCCATTGTTGTTTTGACCCGAAATACTGTTTCAATGAGGGAATTATTGCATCCAGATACAACTTTGTACCTCGTTGTTTCCGACAGCTGATCCGCCATGCATTCAGCTCCTCTGACATGTGCACAAACGTCGTCTTCGAGAGGAGCCCAACGCATGGCGGATGTGCGCACAAGCGAGAATAGTTCCCGCATTATTAATAAAACAGTTCCACTGTTGTTTTGACCCGAAATACTGCTTCAATGAGGGAATTATTACATCCAGATACATCTTTTCGCCAGTAGCCCTGTAACCTGGGACTCCATCCTACCCCCGGTGACTACCAACGATGCTAAATCTCCGGGGTTAACTGCATCGCTAGTGGTTAGCTATCGCTAACCACTGAGATGCATTAGAGCATCTCCACCGCGCCCAGTAAATTGGCCAATCAGTAAATCTGTGTGCTGATTTACTGAAAATTTACTGAAATATTTTCGCACCGCGAGCGGCATCTGGTTCAGTACTTTACTGACCAGCAAATATTCCAGTAAAAGTCTCGCTAATTTACTGGACTTTGGGTGGATTTGCTGGAGTCAGTATCCGCATAATATAGCCGGATACAATCAAAAGCCCCCAATCACTCGTTTTTATTGTCGAAAGAGGGTCATGTCGAGGGAAGGAACTACCTTCCAGCTGAGCAAGAAACTTTCTGCCGCGCGTGGTTGCATGTGTCGCTAGACCCTATCGTTGGGAATGACCAGAAGTCATCCACCTTCTACGAAAAAGTAGCCGCCGTGTACAACGATAAGCATGAGTATGACATAGTCCATAAGCATTCAAACATCATATATAATGCATCGCGTAGAGCACGCACGCCTGGAAGCTTACAGATACACTGGCGTGACATCATCCAGAAACATGTTTCCCTCTTTTGTGGTGCGTACAAAAAGGCGTTGCACAACCCTCCTTCTGGAACCAACAACAATGATCACTTATAATTAAATGTAATAGACGAAGTTGGCATTTTCAAAGTTCAAGCCGATATGGTGAAGGCGATACATGAACGCAACGCCATTGCATGCGAGAATAGCCAACTCAAGATGTTCACGGTGCGCGTTGACCCCGACGACGCTGCTGCTTCAGCGTTCATAGCCGCGAAACGACGCTCAGCAATGTTGGACATCGAGTTAGAAATCGAAACCAAGCGGCAAAAAGTCATTGCACTTCGTCGGGCTAATGATGGTGCAGCCGGTACTTTAAGTACTCTAGCCCAAGAGC